TAATGAAAGATCGTTCTGAATTATTACCTATCTTTAAGTCTTTCCTTAACGAAATAAAAAATCAATTTGGAAAAGTAATCCAAGTTTTACGAAGTGATAATGCCAAATAATATTTTTCTACTGATTTCTCCACTCTCTTAAGTTCCCAAGGCATTTTACACCAGTCTACTTGTCCTCACACACCACAACATAATGGTATAACAAAACGAAAAAAATTGACATTTGGTTGAAATTACTCATACCTTATTACTTGGTGCAAATATGTTTGTTCATCATTGGGGAGATGTTATTCTTACTGCATGTTTTCTCATTAACAGAATGTCATCTTCTTCTCTCTACAATAAAGTTCCACACTCTATTCTATTGCCAAAGGACCCACACTCTTTCATGTTTCTCCTCGTGTATTTAGTTGCGTATGTTTTGTTCATGATATGTCTCCAGGTTTAGATAAACTATCAGCTAGAGCCATCAAATGTGTCTTCTTGGGATATCCTCGTCTTCAAAAAGGATATCGATGTTATTCTCCTGAAACCAAGAGGTACTACATGTCTGCTAATGTCACTTTTTTTGAGTCAACTCCCTTCTTCCATTCTTCTATGCAAGATATTAGTTCGGTCCAAAATGTCCTACCTATATCCTTAGTGGAGCCATTTGTACCTCCTCCTCCCGACACCCAAAATTCCACACAAAATACACCGGAATCCTCATCGCTGCCTCTTATTACCTATCAACACAGGAGCCAAATGATCAGTCCCATGTCCCAAGATGAGTCTTCCTCCGCAGATCCTTCTCAATCATCCCCTGATACCACGATTCCTGATGATGATGACTCAAGTTGGCCCGTTGTCATTCGCAAAGGTACTCGCTCTACCCGTAATTCATATCCCATTTACAATTTTCTTAGCTACCATAGATTGTCTCCTTCCTATTTTTCTTTTGTTTCTTCTGTATTCACTATTACTATTCCTAAAAATGTGAAAGAGGCACTTGATTATCCTGGATGGCGACAAGCCATGATTGATGAAATGCAGGCTCTTGAGCACAATGGTACATGAAACTTAATTCTTCTTCCACATGGGAAGAAGACTATTGGTTGTCGTTGGGTCTATGCCATTAAAGTTGGACCAAAAGGTGAAGTTGATCGACTCAAAGCTAGATTAGTAGCAAAAGGTTACACTCAGATCTATGGCCTTGACTACAGTGATATTTTTTCTCCTGTGGCCAAAATGACTACTGTTCGTCTTTTCTTTGCTATGGCAGCTATCCGTCATTGGCCTCTTCATCAGTTAGATATCAAGAATGCATTCTTGCATGGTGATCTTGAGGAGAAAATTTATATGGAGCAACGTCCTGGTTTTGTTGCTCAGGGGGAGTCTAGTTTGGTTTGTAAGTTACATCGTTCTCTCTATGGTCTCAAACAATCTCCACATGCTTGGTTTGGAAAGTTTAGTCACATTGTTCAAAGTTTTGGATTAAAACGAAGTGAAGCAGATCATTCTATTTTTTATTATATTGCTTCAAGAAAATGTGTTTATTTAATTGTATATGTAGATGATATAGTCATTACAGGGGATGATGTTGATAAAATTTCTCTGCTAAAGAAACATTTATGCAATCACTTCCAAACTAAGGATCTTGGTTGTCTCAAATACTTTCTAGGGATTGAAGTGGTTCAATCAAAAGAAGGCATCGTAGTCTCCCAAAGAAAGTATGCTTTAGATATCCTGAAATAAACAGGCATGATTGATTGTAGACCAGTAAACAGCCCTATGGATCCAAATCAGAAATTAATGGCGGATCTGATCCTGAGAGATATAGAAGACTTGTTGGGAAACTCATTTATCTCACCATTACCAGACCTGACCTATCTTTTGCCGTTGGAGTTGTGAGTCAATTTATGCAAAATCCGCGTACTGATCATTGGAATGCTGTCGTTCACATCCTAAAATATCTCAAAAAAGCTCCAGGACAAGGTCTGTTGTATGAAGATAAAGGGGGTACCGAAATATCTGAGTATTGTGATGCTGATTGGGCTGGATCCCCTATGGACAGACGTTCCACTACAGGATATTGTGTTTTCATTGGAGGCAATATTATTTCTTGGAAAAGTAAGAAACAAAATGTAGTGGTCCGGTCTAGTGCTGAAGCTGAATATAGAGCAATGACATCTCTCACTTGTGAACTAGTGTGGGTGAAACAATTCCTTCAAGAACTGAAATTTTGTGAGATCCAACAGATGAAGATGTATTGTGACAATCAAGCAGCTCTCCACATTGTCTCTAATCCGGTGTTCCATGAAAGGACCAAACATATAGAACTTGATTGTCATTTTATTCGTGAAAATTTGTTGTCTAAAGAAATTTGCATTGAATTTGTCGGGTCCAATGATCAACTTGCAGATGTGTTAACAAAGTCTTTAAGAGGACCTCGAATTGAATTTATTTGTTCCAAGCTTGGCACATACAATTTGTATGCTCCAGCTTGAGGGGGAGTGTTAGAATTATTATTAGTTAGTGGTTAGTGGTTAGTAGTTGGTGGTTGTTAGTAGTTGGTAGTTGTTTTAAATGTTGTAATCCTATATATATATGAGATCATAGAGTGGAGTAACGCATCCCACTAAATTAGAAATCTTCTTTTCACTCTCTTTACTCTATTAACTGGATTGAAGTGACTCAATCAAAAGAAGCCATCGTAGTATCCCAAAGAAAGTATATTTTAGATATTATGAAAGAAACAGGCATGATTGATTGTAGACCAGTAGACAGCCTTATGGATCCAAATCAGAAATTAATGGCAGATCAGGGTGAACCGCTCTCAAATCCTGAGAGATATAGAAGACTTGTTGGGAAACTCACTTATCTCACCATTACCAGACCTATCTTTTGTCGTTGGAGTTGTAAGTCAGTTTATGCAAAATCCACGTACTGATCATTGGAATGTTGTCGTTCACATCCTAAAATATCTCATAAAGGCTCCAGGACAAGGTCTGTTGTATGAAGATAAAGGGGTACCCAAATATCTAGGTATTGTGATGCTGATTGAGCTGAATCCTCTATGGACAGACACTCCACTACAGGATATTGTGTTCTCATTGGAGATAATATTATTTCTTAAAAAAGCAAGAAACAAAATGTAGTGGCCCGGTCTAGTGCTGAAGCCGAATATAGAGCAATAACGTCTCTCACTTGTGAATTAGTGTGGGTGAAACAATTCCGTCAAGAACTGAAATTTTGTAAGATCCAACAAATGAATATGTATTGTGACAATCAAGCAGCTCTCCACATTGCCTCTAATTCGGTGTTCCATGAAAGGACCAAACATATAGAACTTGATTGTCATTTTATTCGTGAAAAATTATTGTCTAAAGAAATTTGCACTGAATTTGCCGGGTCTATTGATCAACTTGCAGATATGTTGACAAAGTCTTTAAGAGGACCTCGAATTGAATTTATTTGTTCCAAGCTTGACACATATAATTTGTATGCTCCAGCTTGAGGGGGAGTGTTAGAATTATTATTAGGTAATGGTTAGTGGTTAGTAGTTGGTGGTTGTTTTAAATGCTGTAATCCTATATATATATATATATATATATATATGAGATCATAGAGTGGAGTGATGCATCTCACTGAATTATAAATCTTCTTTTAACTCTTTTTACTCTCTTAACTTGGAAAATAATATTTGTTGAGTATGCTTTTGTATTAATTAGGCTTGCCAGGCTAAGGGGTGTTGTAGCTTAGCTAGGTGCACCTGTGAAGGCTTGGGTTTTGGGTCATGACAAATAAGAAACACGATCCTGAATGCAAGGTGTCAAGGACCAAAACTCCTAAACGCTTGAGCTGATAAGTGAAGGCTCATTAATGATGTTATCTTTATTCAATCCATTGTGTCGGAGGGAGCCTCCAGGCTTTAATCATAGACAGTAATATGTATGCAGGTTTATTTTTCTCTATGATGATACTAAACATTATTTAAAGAAGAATGGGGAGGTTCTACTCTTGACCACTTGATCAAAAAGGCTCTAATAGGATGCCAGTGACCAACTATCCTAAAAGCTCAAGTAGTTTGTGAAGGCTCATTAATTACTTAATATCTAACCGATAGTAACCATCAACATGTTAAACATTTTATTCACAGAGATCTTCTAAGCATATAGCACCAAATGAGAGGTTACGGGTGCTAAATTGATTAGCAAAGAAGTTGTGAACTAGGAAACTTTGATGGATGGAATGGTATGTTGAGATAAAAAACTTTTAAAATGTCTTCCTTAGAAATTTCAACTGGTACAAACCCTATATAGTTATTTTTCCCTTTGTTAACCCTTCATGCCAACACATAAGAGCATAGTGATAAAATTTACATTTCTTCCCAAAATTTATGATTCCATCTCCTTACAATCAAAATGAGACCAATTAACTAAAGCCTACCCATGTAGTAAATAAACATTTTATAGGCCATGTCATGTTCACTTTCAATAAACTGTTACTAGAACACTAAAATTTTCAATTTCTATAAACTACATTGCCACATAATCTAAGCTGGAATTCATTACCACTCTAAAGTCTAACCCACATAATAAAAGGTTTACATTATATCTAGTGTCAGTGGAAAACACTCAAGACTGCCATAGAACAATATGCCACTACCTATTAGTATTGCTGAAAGTAAAATATCATATTTTCACAGTATGGTGTATAAAATTTATATTGATAATAAGTCAAAGTTTAACTCCAAATTAAAAATTAAATTTCTTAAAACATCTCTGAAATTCTTGTGAACAGGAATTCATTGACTATTCAGAAATATACCAGGAATTAAGGTGAAGCACTCCACTTTAATGAATGTTTTGAATATATATTATAAGATAGAAAGAAAGTAATGTATATTGAAGAACAAACAGTTCTGTAGGAAAATAAATAAATAACATTATTCTAAAAAAAAAAAATTAAACCTGTGTGATGCACAAATAAATGATAATAGTGTTGCATCTAACAACATACTTGTTTTGCGGCAGCAAGATTCACATCTAGAATAGCTTGCTGTTGTGAATTTCCATGACCAAGCATCCCATGTCCTCCATTTACATCAATAGAAACTAATGCCTCAGTTTGTTCAATGATTAAAGAACCTCCATTAACAAGTGGAACCCTATAAAGTGATCAACATAAAGAAAGCTAACATGTTAAAACATTTAACAGTATCCTCAAAGGACAGATTCAATTGACATTTAACACAAGAATATTGTGGGGAAAACTGGTAATGTTTTCTGCCATTAGCTTAATAAAGTTGAGAAATATTCATCATCTATTCCTACTACATTTTATATCAAACTATACTGGTTTACGTATAAGTTTTGATGCACTGATACGTTGGCAAGCCCAACGTATCCGATACGGATACGTATCTGGTATCGATTCACCTTGATACTTAAAAAATTCGTATCGAAAAATAATCGAAAAAAACAAAATCCAAACAAAAATAAAATAGAATAACAAATATTTTTCTGTTATTATTACTGTTAAATTAATCAAAACAGATTTGAATTATTTAAATACGTATCTCTTTTCCAGCATTTTATTTTTTTGAGAGTTGATTGTTTCATGTTGTTGTTGCCGCTTGTTTCTTCTTGATTTTCTTTCGCGCCCTCAGTTGTTTCTTATTTGTTCCCGCGTTTGTTTCTCCTTGGTTTTCTCTCACTCCCTTCGTCTTCCAGCGTGAGACTGCATGGGATGACTTTGACGATATTGGAAACCTTAGAGTGACAACATTATCTTTTGATAAACCAGACACGGAAGCTATTTTATTTATTGATGATGCTCAAGGAGGAGATGAAATTGATACTATTTCTATTTCTAACCAATAAGTAGTTATTGTTAACTTTTATTTTACATTTAAATTTTTTTAAAGTCATATATACATTTAAAAATATAATTAATATGTTCAATTTAAATAATATTTAATAATTATATATAATATTTTTTTATGAATTATATATATATATACACACATGTATCTTAAACGTATCGTATCTTATATTTTTTAATATAAGACGAATTGTTGTAATATAAGACGAATTGTTGTATCGGATATGTATCGTGTATATATATATATACACGTATCTTAAATGTATCGTATCTTATATTTTTTAATATAAGATGAATTGTTGTATCGGATATGTATCGTATCTGTGCATCACAGCATATAAGCAATCTATTGGAATTAGGGTTTAGGTAAGGAAGTGATAAAGCAGAGACATAAGCCATCAAATAATCCAACCTTTTTCTTTATACTGATACTAATATCAATTTAAATACTAGTGTAGTATACTAGTATTATTACTATCACTATTACAAACTTACTAATACAATAAGACTTCTAGCCCTAAACAAATAATGGAACAAAAAGTGAGGACTAAGATTGCCTCCTCAATTAAATAACTAACTGATTCCACGAAATGCTCTAAAGATATTGTAAGATATTCCAAAACACTGTAAGATGAGGATATTATAGTACAATCAAATAAAATATCTATAAAGAAAAATAAGATAATAAGGACAAGGATAATACACACTAAAAGTTTTAAAAAGAAGTAACAAAATTTCACCTTTTGCTGAGGATATTGTCTATCTCTCCTTCAATGTTGAATTCATCGAACAAGGGAACCTTTTTATCATATAGTTCAACTCGATCACAAAGATCAGGGGCAATTTCTTGAAGGTAATTGCTCACCTGAAGATTATATAAAAAGGTTGAAATCACCAAATTGGAAGCCCAGTTTCTATATTGAAACTTAAATTAATCATCATGCTAGTTTTTCTATTATAAAAAACATTTATACCATTCACATTTCACTATTTGACTACAAGCAACGGGAAATAAAGTCTTGTATACATGTAAGATGTAAGATTCAGTCTTCACTCTTTTTCTAGGCTTTGATTGGATTTTGCTATTAGAAAATGGTAAGCTGCCATGTGACAGCCTGATATGCTACAGTTAGGTTCACAACCAATTCTCGCAATGAATTACTCTTTTTGATTAGATCTATTACTGGGGAAGAAAAGGCAATATTGTTCACATTAATAACAGACATGCTCCAATCCTAATATCGCAAAACAGCCCTCTGTGATCAGCTAATGCCTTACCTCATGGAATGTCCTTTGGGAGTCAACCACCATTTTCTTAACCTGAAGTATATCATGAGAAATTGAAATCAGAAGAAGCAGAACGTAAACTGGATTTTCTTTTTAATATATGTAGCTACCAATAAGTTAAATACTCTTCTAATCAATAGTGATTCTAAACTAGTAACAGAACTAACATTTTCATTAAAATAATCCTGAACCACTGAGAGAGTTTGACCCATTGCCCTGTGCAAAATTACAGGAACAGCTCCCTCCACCCCTTCATCAGCAGCAAGAGCAGCAGACTTTGCATGTTCCGTTATATGTTTCCATGTTGAAAGCAAACCTTCTAAGTCTTTCTGCAGTTCCTCAAAAGATTGACTAGCAGCAACAGTTCTTACAGTGAGGCCAAAACCCTCAGGCTGCAATGTCTTTGCTATAACCTTCAACCTCGTGCGCTCAACACCAGAAATCTTTTTGGAGACTCCAATTTTATCACAGCATGCAAGCAAAACCTGCAAGTCAGAGTCTGATTCAGATGAAACATGGTATATATAATTTACATGAAAGACAAGAATGATATACAATCAAACTTTATTGAAGGTGCAACCATAGCACATACCCAGAATCTACTTCTTAGTTTAGGATAAGCAGTCAGAGTGGGACCTTTTGAACCAAGGTCCTCTTTGACAACTTGAACAATTATTTTGGTTCCCTTGCGAACTTGGATCCATTTGTTTTCTCCAGAAGCCATGTGAGTTGGTCTTTTTGAATCTTTTGTTCGCAAAATAGAAGAGTTGACAGACCCATTCATACCAAGAGGAAGATAACAGTTATTTGTTTCTCCTTCCATTTGGACATCACTCCCTTCTATATCATCCTCAAAGTCAGCTTCTACTTCATCGTCAATCATGCTACCATTTACATTCTCCTTAAGCACTTCTGAAATATAAAAATCATCCTCTCCGTCATGCTCATCATAGTCATTGTGTACAGATTTTAAATAACCATCCTCTCCTTCAGGAGAGGTGTGATCATTTTTTCCTTCAAGATGACTTTCTTGTTTCTTTGTCCTTTGACGAAATGGAGGGAATATAAATGGCTCCTTATTTTGCTTGATATCCATAAAAGCAGATCTAGAATTCCCAATATTAACAAAAGCTCCACCCATATGAGGAACAAGCTTTGTGACCACGCCGACATATACACTATCACACTGCACGTTACTCTTGACTGGTTCCAATAATAATTCAACCAATTTTTCGTCCTCCAGTACTGCAATTCTTTGCATGGTACATACTGATGAGTTAATAAGAATAATGGTGGAAATAGAGTCTTGTGACATTATATTACTGCTTTCTTCAAGTAACAACTGTTCTCTATCTACCAGCTTCACCTTCTCTTTTACAGCATCACCAGTTTCAGATTCATTTGATTCTATATTTTCCTTAGAGACAATTGAATGGAATGAATGTAGCCAGGGTTCCTCAACAGGCTGGAAATTGTCAGAAAGCATATTTGTAGACTGGAAATCCTTGTCATTCGCAATCACCATGTCATCATTGTCGTAAAGTAATTGATCTTCTAAACCAAGTGTCTCAAACTTTAGGATGTCATTTTCAAGGAGACTCTCAATCCTTCTATCATCTGTCAAACCACTGGAAGCATTTGAGTGTTCAGAGACATATTAGGAAGACCAAATATTTCAATAATAGCATAAAAGCACTAAGTAATACCTTGGCTCAAGAAAGAAATAGAAGGTTGGTCCAGAAGATATGTTTCTTCTGTGAAGGGACTCCATGCATGAGTAGAAGTCTGGGAATAAGACCTAATCCATGAATCCCTGACCACGATTTTATCATCTTCAAGGACTTTTAGAGGTACTGACAGAGAAAAAGCTGGTCCAGGCCTCCAAAGAATGTCATTTGAGGACTTCAGTTTACCCTTAACGAAATAATTATATTTGAAGTTCAAGCCAAAAGCAATCTGCAGTCACAAAATTAGAACTCAGTCACTATGTGTATTTTGATCTCTGCAATCATGACAAGATATTGAAGCTTCGTATAATAATCTAACTAAACTTTAATGGAAGAAATTTTTTTATCAGGAGGATGCAAAATTTTGTTGCAATGGGTCTCCTATTTGTTGAAGTATTTATTAGATTAAGTGTATCTTGTTGGACATGTATGAGATTAGTTGTAGACCTAGTTCCTAGAATGCATCTGTTTATCTTCTCTAGGATTAATCATGTCTCTCTATTAATTGTATCTCTGAATCTGTATTTTTATCTCCTATAAATAAGAGAACACAAGAAGATGATTTCAGGCTCTCAAAATCAGTTCTTTATTTTCTTTTTTCTATTTCAACTTGGTATCAGAGCGGGTTCATCCCGCTTTACCTGTCTCTGTTTTTTTTCTGGCATTAATCGCCGTTCATCGCCGTCCGCCGCCGTTCGCCGCCGGTGCTGTCTTCTCCGGCGCCTTTTTCCTCTCTGACACTTGGGTTTGGCTCGCCTCGAGGAGCGCGACCCAACCCCAGTGTTCGCTTCCTCTATCTATGCCTCACGCGCCGCCACGCGCCACCCTCGTCCGCGGCTTCCTCCGCGCGTGGGCCTCACGCGCCGCCCTCTCGGTGGCTGTTTTGCTCCAGGCCACCTCTATCCGGCTCGCCTCGTCGCCCTGGTGTCAGATCTGCACTTTGTTTTGTGTTCTCGGTCACAAAACGTGGTGGGTCTGCGTTTTTCTCTCTGCCTCTCTCGGTCCTCTCTCTGACAGCACGCTGGTCCTTTCTTGTTTCCTGAAAAATGTCAGGACCTGTGTCTGTATCTTTTTCTGGGACTCCGACTATAACCACAGAAAAATTAAATAGAAAAAATTATTTGTCTTGGGCTTCCTCTGTTGAGCTCTGGTTTCTAGGTCAAGGAGTTCATGATCATCTAGAAGAAGATGGAAGTACTATACCAGCAGATCAGGCTCCTCAATGGAAGAAACTGGATTATCAACTTTGTGCACTATTATGGCAATCTGTTGAACCACATATTTTGAGCACTCTTCGAGCCTTCAAGACATGTAATTCTTTTTGGAAAAAGGCTCAAAATATCTTTGCTAACGATATTCAACGACTTTATGATTCTGCTAATAGACTAGCCTCCCTTAAGCAAGAGGATAATTCCATGATGTCCTTTGTTGCTGAAGCTCAGTCAGCTGTTGAATAATTAAAAATGTTCCTAGAGGCAGAATCATTAGAAGAAAGGAAGACGAAGCTGGATAAATTCTATATGGTAATGATTCTTAGGGCTATGAATCCAGAGTTTAATCATGTTAGAGACCAGATTCTAACTGGAGAAGAAGTTCCTTCTACAGAGAGTTTAATCACAAGATTACTTCGTGTTCCTTCTATCAAAAGCAAAAACAGTCAAGAACTTGCTGATTCTTCCGCCATGATTTCTGCTCGTGGAAGAGGTAATCACAGCTCTAGAGGACGTGGTGGGAAAGGACGTCCTCAGTGCTCTCATTGCAAAAGAATGGGACATACTAAGGAAAATTGCTTTGCTCTGCACGGCTTTCCCGATAAGGCAGCCTAATACATCAAAATCGAAGTTGATGAGCCCAAGTTCTCTCATGAAGAGTATCAAGAATATTTAAGGATGAAATCAACCAATTTGGCTCAAGCATCTACAACACCAAATTCGTCAACCGCTTGCATTTCGCAATCTGTGAAAAGTCAAAATCCATGGATTATTGACTCAGGTGCTTCTGACCACATGTCTGGTAATACCTCTTTATTTTCCTCTCTTTCATTTCCTAAAACATCCCATCTCATATCTTTAGCTAATGGATCTAAAGTAGCCTCTAAAGGAATTGGTCAAGTATCCATCTCTTCTTCTTTAAACCTTCAAAATGTTCTTTGTGTTCCTTCTTTTCCATCCAGTCTTGTTTCTGTAAGTCAATTAACCAAATCATTGAATTGCTCAGTAACCTTTAATGCCAATTGTTTTGTTATCCAGGAACGTGGTACGGGTTGACTGATTGGAGAAGGACGTGAATCTGGAGGCTTATACTACCTTAGGACTAAGTCATATGTATCTTGTGTTGCGTCCTTATCCCCAAAATTGTTACATGAGTGATTAGGGCATCCTCATTTAGCAAAATTGAAAAAAATGGTTCCTGAACTTCAGAACCTTCAAACTCTTGAATGTGAATCCTGTCAACTAGGAAAACATACCAGGTCATCCTTTCCAAATCATTCTGAATCTAGATGTGATTCTGCTTTTAGTATTGTTCATTCAGATATATGGGCACCTAGTCGTGTTTCATCTTTTGGTTTTAGATATTTTGTTACTTTTATTGATGGGTTTTCTAGATGTACTTGGGTTTATCTTATGAAAGATCGTTCTGAACTATTGCCTATCTTTAAGTCTTTCCTTAATGAAATCAAAACTCAATTTGGAAAAGTAATCAAAGTTTTACGAAGTGATAATGCCAAAGAGTACTTTTCTAATGATTTTTCTAATGTCCTAAATTCTCAAGGCATTTTACACCAGTCCACGTGTCCTCACACACCACAGCAAAATGGTATAGCAGAACGAAAAAATAGACATTTGGTTAAAACTGCTCGTACCTTATTGCTGGGTGCCAATATGCCTATTCATCATTGGGGAGATGCTATTCTAACTGCATGCTTTCTCATTAATAGAATGTCATCTTCTTCTCTTGATAATAAAGTTCCACATTCTATTCTATTTCCAAAGGAACCAATTTTTCATGTTTCTCCTAGGGTATTTGGATGTATATGTTTTGTTCATGACATGTCTCCTGGCTTAGATAAACTCTTACCTAGAGCTATCAAATGTGTCTTCTTGGGGTATTCTCGTCTTCAAAAAGGATATCGGTGTTAATCTCCTGAAATCAAGAGGTACTGCATGTCTGCTAATGTCACCTTTTTTGAATCATCATCCTTCTTCCCTTATTCTATGCAGGATATTGATTCTGTCCAAAATGTGTTTCCTGTTCCCTTAGTTGAATCAGTTGTACCTCCTATTCCTGACACCCCAAATCCCAACCAAAATACTCTAGAATCAGCATCACAGCCTATCATCACCTATCAACGCAGGAACCAGGTGAACAATCCCATTCCCCAAGATGAGCCATCCATAACAGTGTCCTTCACCATCATCTTCTAATACCACGGCTCCCGATAACGATGACTCAGCTTGGCCCATTGCCATTCGCAAAGGTACTCGTTCTACTCGTAATCCTCATCCCATTTACAATTTTCTTAGTTATCATAGATTGTCTCCTTCCTATTGTTCTTTTATTTCCTCTCGTCTCCTCTATTACAATTCCCAAAAATGTGGTCGAAGCGCTTGATCATCCTGGATGGCGACAAGCCATGATTTCTGAAATGCAGGCTCTTGATCACAGCAAAACATGGGAGCTTGTTCCTCTCCCTTCAGGAAAGAAAACAGTTGGTTGTCATTGGATCTATGCTATTAAAGTTGGGTCCAATGGTCAGGTTGATCGTCTTAAAGCAAGGTTAGTGGCTAAAGGGTATTCTCAAATATATGGACTTGATTATTGTGATACTTTTTCTCCAGTAGCCAAAATGACCACTGTCCGCCTGTTCCTTGCCAAGGCCGTCATTCGTCATTGACCTCTTCATCAATTGGATATTAAAAATGCTTTTTTGCACAGTGACTTAGAAGAAGTTTACATGGAGCAACCTCTTGGATTTGTTGCTCAGGGGGAGTCTGGTTTGGTTTGTAAATTACGTCGATCCCTCTATGGCCTAAAACAATCTCCACGTGCTTGGTTTGGAAAATTCAGCTCTATTGTTCAAGCTTTTGGATTAAAACGCAGCGAAGCAGATCATTCAGTGTTTTATTGTCACACTGCCCCTGGCAAACATGTTTATTTAATTGTGTACGTTGATGATATTGTCATCACAGGGAATGATGCTGCTAAAATATCTCAGCTAAAAGAGCACTTGTGTAGTCATTTTCAGACCAAGGATCTTGGAAATCTAAAATATTTCTTGGGTATTGAAGTAGCTCAATCAAGAGAAGGTATTGTCATCTCTCAAAGGAAGTATGCTCTAGATATTCTAAAAGAGACAGGTATGATTGATTGCAAACCTGTGGACAGATCCTATGGATCCAAATCTGAAGTTAATGGCAGGACAAGGTGAAGTTTTCTCCGACCCGTAAAGATATAGAAGACTGGTTGGGAAACTTATTTATTTGACGATTACTAGACCTCGATTTGTCTTTTGCAGCTTGGTGTTGTCAGCCAATTTATGCAAGCTCCTTGTGTGGATCATTGGAATGCTATCATTTGAATCTTAAGATACATTAAAAAAGCTCCAGGACAAGGATTATTATATGAAGATAAGGGAAATACCCAAATTTTTGGGTACTGTGATGCTGACTGGGCTGGATCTCCTATGGATAGGCGTTCCACTACAGGCTATTGTGTTTTCATTGGAGGAAATATCATTTCATGGAAAAGCAAAAAGCAAAACGTTGTTGCCCGATCCTCTGCTGAAGCTGAATATAGGGCAATGGCGTCTCTTACTTGTGAACTTGTTTGGGTAAAACAATTCTTGCAAGAATTGAACTTCTGTGAGATTCAATCTATGAAGATGTATTGTGATAATCAAGCTGCTCTTCACATTGCTTCCAACCCAGTATTTCATGAGAGGACTAAGCATATTGAGATTGACTGTCATTTTATTCGGGAGAAGTTGTTGACTAAAGAAATTTGTACTCGAGTTTGTTGGTTCCAATGAGCAGCTTGCAGATGCATTAACAAAATCTTTGAGAGGACCTCGAATGGAATTCATTTGTTCCAAGCTTGGTACATTCAATTTGTATGCTCCAGCTTGAGGGGGAGTGTTGAAGTATTTATTAGATTAAGTGTATCTTGTTGGACATTTATGAGTTTAGTTGTAGACCTAGTTCTTAGAATGCATCTGTTTATCTTCTCTAGGATTAATCATCTCTCTCTATTAATTGTATCTCTGAATCTGTATTTTTATCTCCTATAAATAAGAGAACACAAGAAGATGATTTCAGGCTCTCAAAATCAGTTCTTTATTTTCTTTTTTCTATTTCAAGTCTATTATTTATTATCTATTACAAGAATACAAACTATAGTTGTGTTGACAGGAACTGCAGAATCTTCAAGAGACATTATTGGCTTTTCAAGGTTAGTTGGTTTAGGGATTTCCAGAGATAAAGGAATGCTTTGGAGATGTAAATCATCCCTATCAGTAGTTTCTTTCTAATATTCCCAATATACTATGGATTTGCTTCATCATTTTATTTGTGTATAAGAAACCTACTTAACTGAGCTTGGGTCTTTGGCAAGATGAATAAAATAAAGTTAATCATAATGTAGAAACATCTCATTCTTAACTATTACTTCTTTACAACAAAAATATACACATCAGATTATATTTGACAGTCCAGCCAAATTACCTGAAATTCAGCTTTCCATATGTTAGTATTTTCTGTAGGAGACAATAGTACAGCCATGTTTGGTTTCCAGCAGCCTAACACAGCAGGTTCACCAGTTACATACAGGAGTTGACCATCTTCTAAATCCGCTTCCACAGTCCAAATGACCTTGCACAACTCGTCAACATTAGTGGCTGACTTTCCTGAGAAAGCAGACAGCCCAGTCCGTTATTTATTCTAAACTGGAGTAAAATATATTAAGTAAGCATGATTTTGAACATTAATTACCAAAAGGTAGATTTGTACCCATGCAAAATTTATATTACTGAGAGAGGGATTTTTTTTATAGTAAAAATGCAGAATGAGAAAGTATCCTTAGATTATATAAAAGGATGACGAGAAGCATGAACACAATTACTTGAATTATTAAAGTTAAGGGATATCAAGGAGAGGAAGTTGATTTGTGATGACCAAGCCACTCTCCACATTGCTTCTAATCTTGGTTTTTCATAAAATGACCAAGCACATAAAGATAAATTGTCACTTTGTTAGGAGAAAAACAGTCCTTGCAAGCAAAATTTCAACTGACTTTGTTAAATCCAGTGAACAACTTGCTACAAGTTCACCAAATCTCTCAAAGGATCCAGAGTTGAATATATTTGTAACAAGCTTTGTGAATATGATTAGCATTGCTAACAAATGTATCACTGTCTAATTAAATTTCATCACATAAACAGATGTTATATACGTAACATATCATAGGACATCATTAGTATTTATTACTCTATCCCACTCATATATGTACAAATACAATAGTGTGTAGTCTGCTTTAGACATAATTTCCCAAAATCGTGAACCGCAAAATTCTTCTAATGATTGTATGTACAGCCAATATTTACATGTTTATAGCTCAACACTAACCTTGAGACTAGTAACAAACCAAGGTTGAATCTTAATATCATATTCTACTAATGTATTAAAAATAAATTATATGATTTGGACTTGAACGATACTGTTATCATGGGTATCCAACAATTAACAAGCAAATCAAAGCAAGAAACCAGTAGCCAACAGAAAGGAGAAAGCCATATACTTCAAAAATGAAGCCATAAACAAATAAATTGGTAAGAGATAACAAAAATATGTTTAAATTACCTTTCTCAGCCGATAATGCAGCCAAAGTTCTGACTGATTTCCGATTCTTCATACTGTAGATGAAACGAAATACACTATGCAGTGGTACTTGATGGCATATGTGTCTGTTTCAACATTTGAATACATAGGCGCAAGCAATTAACACTAAAGACAGTGCATCCATAAAGGCATCAACATGACAATACATCATCATTCCAGGTTGTATCAATCATCATTCTTGATCTGTCTACCATTATCTTGTCTTTCAAATATGAAGGTATAAATAACAATGACTTGATATCTTTAATGATCCTATCAATATATTTTTAGATTCAAGACATATATCTAGTAAATGGATTAATAAACACCTCAGTATGACAAGCCATTACAATTTGTTAATGTTTGGTGGGAAAAATGAGTGCACTGTACAGGTAATAAAATTGAAAATTTCTCATTAAGCTAGAAAGATATTCTAGATGAGCAAATGATGAGAAACCAATTATAATTGCGTAGCCTAAAAGCTTCAGCCAGGCTAGTCTTTGTTCACGAGGTGGCAAAGCTAGCCATTCGGCAGTCCGACTCAATTGCTGACAACTATACAAGAAAGTCTCTCTTAAAATATATCCAAGACATCTTTGTTTGAGTAGGCGAAAATCACCTCACTTTTGCTTCATACTACAAAAATGTGAAGGATGAAAAAAAATGCACAAGCCATTAAAACTCCACCCAACAAATTTTCCCCATCACCATAACATAAAGCCGAGTCCAGACATCAAACTGATTCCCCACTCTCTATCAAGCAACAAAAATAAGTGAAAATCAAAACATTTTTAATCTAACCTCCATTTCCATTCCCTCCCTACTGTTTCCCACCCACTCAAACCAAACAAAGGGGTGGAAATTGAAACGGAAGAAGTTTCCTTCTCAGGAAGAGAATTCCAAATTATTCAACCAGGTAGGCCAACATAACAGCATACACAAATTGGGTACACACTCATTCATTCATGCAAACGGCCTTTGTGGGTGGTGGAATACCTAACAGAAATGAATTGGGAAAAACAGGAATGTGAAAAGATACATGCATAGATACCTCTTGGGTGGCATAATGAAGGGGGTGTTGGGGCGAAAAAGGTGATGGGGGTGCGAAAAAGCAAGTTCAGCCATTAAGAAGAAGAAGCGGTAATTGCAGATGAAACCGGGGAAAAGTGATATGAAATGCTATGGTGGGTATCTGATAGTGTAAAGGTTGAAGGAGTTCATCAGTGTATGTGGATTGAGAGGGTGGTGGTTAGAGTGAGTCAGAAGGGAAATGGTTAATGGATAGAGGATGGATAGGTGATGGCGTGGTGGTGACTGGGGACTCAGGGTACTGCACACACACTGGATAATGACTTCATTTGGCGCCTTCTGTAATTTCTACACATTACGCAATTTCTTTATGCACATCAATAAACAAACTCTGTTATAAAATAAAATCAGGGCTTAAATTAATGTTTTAGTATAAAACCATTTCACATATCTTAATTAGATTAGTAATTTTTTAATTTGGTTTATCCTTAATTTATTTTATCAATGTTCTCAAACTCCAAAAGCCCAATTATCCTAACTGCACTTCCTGTCTTATATTTAATACATTTTCTTTGAATGGACATTTTAATTAAGTGGGTTTTTTTTTGTATGATTTTTAATTTAGTTATTAACTACTCAAAGCCTGACCCCATTTGAAAATTTATAATTAGGTTACTAAACAATTTTTTTCTTTCATTTCGGTTGGTGAACTTGTATTTTTTTTTTTATTAATCAGGTCATTATGTTAATTTCCCTTAAAAGAGATAAACGGAAAGACCAAATTAAAAATAAAAATAAGTCTAATGATCTAATTGAAAAAAAATATTTAATAATTCCATTAAAAAAAGTTTGGCAAATAAATCTTAGGCAGAACATTTGAGCTAGGCCCAACGCAAGTTGAAGGCGGGCGACTCTGAAGCCCAGTAGAAGATGTTGTCATTTTAATTTAATTTTTAAATTCAGAAATAAAATATTTTGTCTGTGTCATTTTAATAAAGAGAAAAAGTATAGAGATTCCGTGAGCGTGTGTGTTGATTAGAACAGAAAGATTGTTGTTTTTATTATTATAGGAAAAGATTTGAGTGAAAGAAGAAAAGAGAAAAGATGAGAAATGAATTAGGTGGCGAATAAGCGGAAAACAAGTATTGAGTGTCGGCGTAACGCAGGTGGTTGAATTGTTAATTGTTGTGTTGTGGTGTGTGGCTACAACCACCACAAATGTAGCATCTTTCCACTAACAACATAATATTCAATTAATTATGCATCTTTCCACTTTCCTGCCATTGTTCACACCCCTTTTCCTTCTCTTCCCTAATCCACATCTTCTCACTTTCCCATTCAACTCCTTCATCATTAATCATTAACCTCTCTACACCTCACCAACCAAATCAAAATTCATTATAAATATTCTGATGCTCAATCATAATATATAAACAATTATGTTGAATAAAATTATTTGATGAGGTTTCTCAATAACATTCAGACATTTCGAGTTCCTACGTGAAGATTATTAAACAACTTTAACAACACAAACCACTTTTACAAGTTTTAATAAACTCTACCAAGATTTTTATATTTTTTAAGCCTTATTTAGAGGGTGTGCAACAGAGTCAGTGAATATAATACTGAAAACACAGAAGTAGCATCACATAATCAGTTTGTTTGCATAATTGTGCTAATCTGTCATTCGGCTGAGTGGTCGCTAATTGCATAAGATTTTGATAGAATCATTATCAACCAAAGCTATTAGGTAGGGTTAGTTACATAGATCCAATAACATACTTTGTTGTATTCAAAATCAAATTTTCAAAAAGAGCTTTATGACATAAAAAGAAGCAAAAGAATAAAAAGAACACCCCCATTTAATAATGTAAAAAATAAACTAAACAAGACGCCTGCAGTATGTAGCAAAACCAAAACGATTAGTGGTTTGTATTGTTTAGTGAAACTGAATCTTATTGCCAACCACAGCTATTTACACACTACACTATATATACATGGTGATGAGAGTTGGAAAGGCAAAACAAATGGATTCTACAATCCATGCTTCCAAATTAGGATCAAAATGCCCAAAATAGAATTAAGGCTCTGAGGTCCGAACAAGGTGGGCATTCTGAACAACATAATATGCATGCAAAAAGTATACCCCTCATTTGTGCTAAAGAGCACAGACAGAAAAGGGAAAACAAAACCCTCCACAAACTCTAGACCATAAAAGGCAAAAGGTTAAAGCTTAAAAAGGTGGTAGAACTCAGATGCATGAACATCAAAACCCTCAAAAATATGTACACTACACTGTGCATGAAACTCTCTCTTATTGGCGTGCTCACTCATTTTGCTTACTGAAAGCAAGGTGTGTCATCTTCAGGCATCAAGGGAGTCCTGCAAAGTGGGCATGTAATGTTCCAGTAGTCCAGCCACTTCTCCAAGCAAGCTTTGTGGAAGAGATGGCCGCATGATAAGCGGTTAATCTCTGATTCCGGTTCGAACTGAGTGAGACATACAGAACAGTCATGCTCAGGTCGTTTGCAGCAACACACACTGTCAAACCTGAGTGTCGGTGTCCGGCTTCTGAACTCTTCAATGTAACTCTCAGAGGGACTAAGATGGAATTCAAATGACTCAGGTGGGGCTTGGGAGGGATCTGGTGAAGAGGTTGAAGTGGTGGATGATGAAAGATGGATTCCAACAATGTGTAGGATTGTCCTAACAATGCCCTTAAATATGGAAATTGACAATACAGTGTTCACCAGAAGGACACATAATACTCCTTCAGATGGTGCTGGGAGACTTGAGAGGCCCATTTTGTTCAATGCTGAGAGTCCTCTAAGGATACCAAGTTACAGAAAATTTGTGGAAGTTGCAACTGTTGAAGCTCAAACTGAGCTAAGAAGCTCAAACTGAGCTAAGAAGCTCAAACTGTTGAAGGGCAACCTTTGGGACAGGGAGAATCCACAATCATGGAAATGAGGAACAAAAAGCAGGATTGCTATGTGAAGTTCTCAAAGAAACACCAAGGATGGAAACTCTGTTGATTTCTTCTTAATATTTGGCCTGTAAAAACAATAAAGGAAAGATTAGAACATTAAATACTCAAACAAAATTAAGAGAAAGATTCATTTATAAGATAGTGAAAGATCAAATAATAGATTGAAAGAACAAACATGCTAGGTTTAAATCCTCACTATGTATAGCTGTCATAATATTTGATTTCACAAGCTATTCATACCCTAATAAAATATCCATATGAAAGTGAAAGGCATAATAAATTGCAAGAAACACACGTATAATTGTCACTTTCCCAAGGGAAAGACCAGCTACACAGAAAATTTGGGTTAAATCCAGCAACCTCATAATCGTGAATTCAAAGAAAAAAATAAAAGCAAACACACGAAAAAACAAATTAAAATCCCAAGTAGCATGTAATATGCTTGCCAAAATTTCCAGAATGAAAATTGAGAAAACGAAAGTAAATAACAACATTCGATTGGCCTCTTATCATCAAAGAGATCTAACACATACCAAATCATCACAAAGAAATATTTTGATCAAAATCAAAATAAATTGTTGATCAACAAAGGAAAAGGAGAAAGAAAATTCAGAACTTCACATGTCCCCAAAAAACTCCAAACCCAACACGCGATCTAGCGATTTCGAACAGAAAAACAGAATTCCTAAAAGACCCAGAGAAGAAAACTGAAAACCCAGAAGAAAAAGAACGCATTTTGATGAGACTTACGAAGTGGGGTTTGAAGATTACGGTTCTGGAATGATGGAAAATCCGTAATTTCTTCTCTCTTGCTTTATAGATAGAAGAAGAACCCCACCATCTCAGGGATTCATTATTGGCAACAGTACCCAGTGCCTTAACCATGGTTACACATTACCTCTTTCCTATGGATGCATCCATTAACTATGGTTAAACATTATATATATATATATATATATATATATATATATATATATATATATATATATATATATATATATATATATATATATATATATATATAGAAAACTCTTAATTATAATGGGAAAATAGTTAGGAAATAATAAAAAAGAATGAGAAAGGGACAAACAAGTTTCAAGAACCAATATTTATGCACTCATAATTTATGTTGGACAATCAATCATCTCACCGGAGTTGAGGATAAAGTTCACTGATTTTTATTTTAAACCCCAAAGAACTGATAGTGTTCCATGGCATGTTTCCAATTTTGGATTTTTATACTTTATCCTTATTTTCAGCCTCAATTTATGCTTACAGCACCTCCATTTTTTATTCATTTGACATACTGTAAAAAGTTATAAATATTTTTAAGATTATTATTATTATTATTAGTTGTTTTAATTAATTTGTTAATTTTAATAATTATTAAAGTCTATATCAACAATTATGATGGATTGACTTTATGTTATTAGTAACACTAAATATTTTTATTTTACAAAAATTTAAATGTTAATTTATATTATTATAGAAACTAATTCTTTCCTTTAAATTTATCTCCCATTAGTCAATAGAAAAGTATATTTTTCTAAAAAAGTAAACAATATTTTGGTTGTTTCTACTTTTAGGATATTTTTAGTCATACTATGATGTCGAATTTATTTTATTTTTAATATTTTTCCTCATTAAAGTTTCTTTTATCACTTTCTTCATTTAAATTAAGCTTTAGCCTCTTTTTTTCTATATGGGCAGTATAGTTTTTTTTCTAAAAAAATATTTATAACTGCTAGTTTAATAGCCTTAAAGAGCATTTGACATTTCTCGTTAAATATTTATAATTTATCTCAGAAAATTAATAAATATTTCTAAATTATCAATACATTGAAGTATAAGCTTTTCCTTTTTCATTTAATATTTATTACTTTTAATCTAATGTTGTATAAAATTGTTAATAGTTAATAATTATTGACAATGATAATAACAAAATTGAAACTCGAACTTTATGCTTAATTACTCAAAACCATCAACTCCAATAGACCTACCTACCTTTTAAAGTTATAATCTAATTTTCACATTTTTTTCTTTCAACTTTTATTCAGTTCTAACTGCTCATTCAAATTATACATTCCTTTTCTTATAATTTTGAATATTTTAAAATTATATCAACTTACCTATTTAGATGTCCCGTATAATTTAAATATTTTAATTTAATTGTAAATTTTCTGTAAATTCAAAAACATTTGTAAATCTAAAATTGAAAATATTTGTACAAAATAGTTGCTGAATAATGGCAATTAAATGACACATAATTTGGCCAAGCACCATGGAAAATAAAAAATAGGAACAGTTTGTAAAATTATCTATAAAACACAAGAAATAAAATTAGAAAATCTTTCTCAAATTAACCTGACCTTTAAATCGCGTGAGTATCAACAAATCCATAGATATTATTTTGATTTTAAAAATAAAAAACCGAGCTAAAGCATTTATTTATCTCAAAGTATGTTAGAGAAATAACACAGATCATAAATATATTGAATGAAGATTTACAAAAAACAAAAATAAAGTTTACGCTTGAAACATCTTTACCTTGCCAAATTTCTTACACACAATTCTGTAACAGGGTTTATATTCTTCTTTTCAGAAGTGGCATACATTGGAAGTAAATACGCCATGTAGTTGAAGTGTATCCATGGCACTCAAATAAAATACAAACAAAACTTTTATGAATACATTATACATGTCCAAAATAGAACGTTTTGTAATCAAAATTATAAATAGCAGCATCCTATTCTATACATAAATAACCTTCAAATTTACAATTTGTCATACCTAAGGGCTTTTGGGCCATTACACCTCTAACTGCACATATGTATATTCTGCACAATACATGGCAAAAAAAGAGGGACAAAATATTACAGCCTACTACAGAGTAGAACATTGTCTAGAATTTATCAAATTCAGCCACTTATCATGCCATCACAGGCACTTGTACATGTGGCATAGGATCAGTGAGGAGTGACATAAAATATGACAAACTATGAGCAAGATCAAGGCCAAGGACTAAAAGAATTTTGCATTAGATTAGAATCAAGAAGCAGGATTTGCCAAGACAGAAGGGCAATCAAAATTCATGACATATATGCCTGAAGGGGGCAGTTTGTGATGTTCTCATTTCAGCAGAAATTGCAACTGGGATGTCCATTGCAGTGAAGGACACACAAGCTGTTCCAGATCTTACACTGTCTGTTCATTGGAATAGGGCCTGCTTACATTCTTCTTCCCTTTCAGAAAATTTATGCCCCTGTGATCAAATCAGACAGTTTGTTACTGCATGGATAAAGAGTGCATCAAATTTCATCCATTTTTTCAGGTAAGAGTAACTGTTTTCTTTTGCAACTATACGAGTGTTTCTTTCCTTTTATAGAACATGGTTAAAAGTTGTACACTCAGCAGCTTCTGGTTTGGCTCAAAGGGTCATAGTCATAGACATCACCGGCTTTAACAAACCGGCCCTTCACACGCCTTCTGACATCAGCCCTAGCCTTGCGGGAGGCATACCTCACTTTCTTCTCGAACCTATTAAGACAACCACGATTGATGGTAAACCACCAATAGAGCAAACAAGCTTTAAAATTAAGAAATAAATCAAATCCAGTAATTACCAAGTAGCTATATTGCTAAAGGTAGCAAACCAAACTAAAGAAACTAGTGACAGGATATCCTGAATTGGCAAATCAGGATGTGCTCAATCTAGCCGCAGCAATATCATGCACTAAAGTTTGAGCATTTGTAAACAACCATTTGCATAACTAGTGGGCCTTTTTTTTTGGTTGAAATCTCTGGTACCTAAATAGTTTATCAATACAAACTAACCATTTCAGCGAATTGTAAACTGAATGGGCAAAGAGAAAGGCGCTTGGCTTGTTAAGTTGGTCAATGAGATGATAAAATCAGTGACAGTGTTATTTGGTAATGCATGTTCGGTCTGATGTATGAGGTGCCAACAAAAGCCATAAAATAAAGTGTATCAGACATGGGGTCTTCTATTGAATGAGTGGAAATACAATAAAAGACTTAGGAACAAATGTAACTGAGAAAGTCGGGTACATCACCTATTGAGAACAAGATGACAAAACTTGGCTAAGGTAGTTTGGTCACCAGAGAGATGATTAGCAGAGACAAGGACAGGTATATAAAACAGGCAGGCAGGCAAAGTGGACAAACTACATGCAACCTTGTATTGGTGGGATACAAGGCCAGAGAATATATATATATATATATATAAAGCTACAATCTTTATATATAATTTTAAAAAATATTGAGTCCCTTTCCCTCCTTCAATCTGAGGGTCGTTTGCTGTTTTGTCATAAAATTCAGAGTCAAATTAATAGTCCCATGTTGAGACCAGAATAAAGACATTGGATTGTGGCCGCCCAGCACTATTATGCCAACCAAGAATTAACAGTAATATGGGGCCAACACCATTGGTTGTATAAATATAATCATTACAATTAACTTACTTCCGGGTCTTCTTCTTTTCCTTATAGCGCATGACAGCATTGCTACGGTTGGCAGAATGCAGAGAACTCTCAGGGCAAGGAGGACACCAGGGAGGCTCTCCCATGAGAAGCATTGAAGAAGCATCACAATCTTGATATTCAGCAGCACTCTCTTTGGTAACACCAGAAAAAGAAATGTTTGATTGAGATTGCCTTGTCGTAAAACAAACAATGGGTTCAGTTTTTGTACTCAAAATTGAATCTGCAGATGCTGCAGTGCTGCATGCAGGTTGGATAGCATTGACCAACCCAGCAGACGATCCCTATAAAGTATAAAAAGAGTTTAGACATGATATTAAATATGAAACCCAATGGATGTAAAACCATTCAACTCAGACCTCACAAAAGAAACTACATTCTCTGCCTATTGACTAATAACTTCCACATTACCAGCATGAAAACACTGGAAAGAGAAATCCCATTACTCAATATTAAATATAACTAAACCTTTCACATAAAGAAAGGAGATTTAAGGAATTGAAATACACCGATATAATCTACCCCCAAAAAAAACACATTTATATTTTAATTATTTCTGGTACTACATTTTTGCAAAATGGAGAGTCCTAGCAATCAGGACTAAACCTCAGTAATTTGGATTATCAGTTTGTGCATACTGCTGAATTGCATAGTTTACAAAAAATTGATTACATAACGAAGATCGCTGGAACAACCATTGAGGATAGTAGTTTCCATGGTTTTTTGTCCAATGAAAAGGGGGTGAGAGAGACCAAGGACTTTGGAGAAAGTTATTAAACGGAATTCCATGATAGATAATACTACTAGTCCAATATACAAGAAATAAATGAGAACATTCTTTTTGTCCTTTTTATAGGAATCTCGGTACCATTTTTAAATTAATTGATTGTTAATTTCTTGTAAAGTCTATAAATGAGATATGCATTCATTTCATATAAAAGTGGATGCATTTCTTGAGTTACAACAAAACAAATCAACCCATTAGTTGAAAAAATTATTTCTTGAATAGCAATTATTCAGTAAGATAACGTTCATTATAAAGCATTTCATCATATACATTAAGATATTCATTATCGCAATATCATCAGGTAGATAAATAAACATTTTACACAAGTGAACAGGCTAAAAGATAGTTGAATTGAAAACTGTAAAATTTAATCACATTAAAATACATAGATGCACAACTCAACAAAAAAAAACATGTTTCAGTTATATGAAATACAACAGATGATGCTCCAAGAATAATAATAATAGAAAAACCAATCTTATTACAGGAATGGAAGCTGAGATTTTAGTACCTCAGCAGCAACAGCACCCTGACAATGGGAATCACCAGCACTAGCAGACATGTCCTTTGTTTCAAATAAGCTATCAATTCCACCATTTTCAAAAAGCTCTTCAGAATGACTGAGAGCCATCCCAAAAAGTTCCTCGTAGTTCTCAAGTTCTAGATCCACTTCATCCATGATGAAATCATCATATAGATTATCATCTTCACATATCCCAGAAAATTTTTTCCCAGGACAGTACAACTGCAGATTCATCATGTGGAGATTAAGCCAGTTATTAGATGAAACAAGAATATAGAAAGCTAAGGATTGTGTAACTAACAAGAAGTTGGAAAAAATATATAATGGTTTTGTAGTCAACATGTAGCCATCAATATGTGCAAGCTACAAGACTATTGTATTTTTGCAAGCACATGGTTATATCATGGCCTACTGTAAACAAGTTGCATAGGTCAAATTTTAAACTGATTAAAGGTCAGCAATGAAGGGAGAAAATTTACAGATACCCAAGCCTTGTAGACAAGGTGATATTATCGATGTAAATAAACTACAAAGACAATATTCATAATATTTGTAAACCACTCATCAATTTGTTTCCTTTGTCTTCAAAACCTATGAAAGAGGGAACACCTTGGTACTTTGAAATGTAGAACTTCATAAGAATGTGTTACAGTACAACAGTAGCCAAACCAAATTAATACATGATACAGACTGGGAAATTATAATTTATTTTCATTTATCATCAGAACTAAACTTCCACCCCCCCCCCCCCCCTTTCAATAAACATTATTCAAATTAAATTGGCTACAGTTGCATGCACAGAAGGTATCTAAAAGAGAGAAAGTATTAAGCAAGGTCAGTCGTCCCTGCTTTGAGTTCAAGCAAGCACTAAATCAGGAAAGCTGAAATATTTGTGGGACTGAAACAAAAATATAGTTTTGACCGAAAAACAACATACAGGCAGAATCAAAGCAAGTCAGTTTCGAATGCTGTTATAGTCATCTGGAAAATGAATGATAAATCAATCACAATTTAAAAATGATATAGCCAAAAAAGAGCCGTTGATGAGAAACTACTTAGGAATAGCTACCCAATAGTTATGTTATTAATGTCATGGCTTCTGCGATAAAGCATTTACATCAAAACCATATAATAATTGACAAAAAGAACCCATTCTTTGCAAGCATGTAATTTCATTCACTGTTCATTGTTAGAATGCCCATCACGCCAACTATGGTCATGATTTCCCAATAGATTTTGCCTATGATGCACAGATACGTTGCATGTCCAAGATAAACCATACATATCCAATATGGCCATACAATATTTCTTAAAATATATATGATATGATATGTCTTAGATACATATCTAGATATGTATAAAAAATTCATATTGCAATTCTGCAAATTCAACTAAGAACATAATTCTTGGATATTACTAAAATGAATATATAAATTATTGTTATCATAATAGTAATAGTACCAATCTCATTTCTTTCTTGAAAATATTCATGAAGGGGACAATTTCTATTTTGGTTCATCATGGAATAATGCTTCTATATTTCATATGTAGTTGTATTAGATTTTCATAACTCTTTTAATGGTTTGGAAACTTCAAAGATACATGTCGGTAAAGTAGTATTCAAGAGCATCGATTATGGATATATACAGTATCTAATACATGTAACATATATACGTGCATCATAGGAAAAAAACACTATCGGGAAATCATGCCCATAGTAGATGTGATGGACTTTATAACAATGGAACAGTGAATGAAATCGCATGTTTGCAAGGAACGAGTTCTTTTTGTCAGTTATTATATGGCTTTGCAATAAGGGGAAAACCAAAACATCAAACAAATTTATTCAGAATTCATTTCTAGCAACCTTGCAACTTTGTTCACTCTACAGTTGCTAGAATGTACATCAAATCATTACAGTTATAAATTTGGGACAAAAATGAAAACATTTGATTATACCTTGGGCAAACATTCATTGGCACCAGGCGGCTGGTCCAGAATACGAGGTTCTGAGCTTGACTCAGGTATTGAAGATGTGCCAGCCCAAGATTTACCTTTGCTGGGTAGATCTGTCACTTGAACTGAACCAGACACATTCAGCCCTTCAGGAGGAACCCAATCACTCTTGTTGCCATTCTCATTAATGCTCATCAAACCCAGTTCCTGTTCACATGCATCACCCATAGAAGGGATATCTAAGAAAAAGGACCATATTGAAGAAAATTCTGCAGCTGAAGGGCAGCCAGAGTAGCTATTGATTGTTTGCCTCTTGTGTGTCGAAGAAGTCGGTGAGGTACCATGAGTCAACCAATCACAGTTCTGACAAAGTGAAATTTTCTCTTCAACACACCTCACAAAAGCTGGTTGTGAATTACATCTCTCACAGAGAAGGGCTCTCGAATGACGCCTAGAAAGGGCATTAGCAGAATGAACATTTCGATCACACGACAAACATAAGCATGCAGCATCACTGCGGCAGTACACCAATGACCTCTGGTCTCCACAAAAATCACATAAGTAACCCATCTTGAAACCGCTTCTTTGTTTGCTCCTGGATATAAATGAACAATTCTCAGTTATTAATTATATCTACCCAAACTACAACAGAAGATCCTTCTTATCCTAAGATGTTGAAACCAAACCGAGCTATGTTCATAGAACTTACAAGCTGTTGGACAATGTGATACTGATGAAGAAAGCTACAATTCAGTTCTGCAAACTTGGCTGCTGAAAATAGGTAATAAGTAAGCATTTTGATAACATTTATACCTACTTAGCAATATGAAGAGAAGAGAAAAATGAAAGGGGAATTATAATGCAAACTCTGAACAATGTATAGATGTCATGCCATGACTAGCAGTTTGTGGAACTGGGGCGAAACGGAATCAAAAAATGCAGCCAAGATAAAAAAGTGTCGATTAAAGAGCCAACTCAAAGAAAAAAAAAAGGAAAATAAAAATAAAAAGTATGTTCCACAAACAAACTGGTAAAAGTATTAGCAAAAAACTACACAACAGCACACAATTTTTTCTAAAGAAGATTGATAAAAGATAAAGCTAAATTAAATCATAAATAATTAGGACAACGTTAGCTAATAATAAGAGATAATTTCCAAAGGAAAATACGGGTTTAGATTTAGAAAATAAAATAATATAAATATATATACCTGAGTTATCGTTTTCAGGCAAAGGAACCAACCAGACTTCCATTTTCTGTTAAAAAAATTGCATTTTTATATGTACAAAATTTAGCAAATCAGAAGTTAACTGAAATTTCATTCGAATAAATAGCAGATCAATTCTCAGCAAACAGAAAGTCAGAAAAATCTCCAACACATCATCACATAAACCCACAGAAGAAAACACAAGAGGAGGCAGAAACAACAAATCAATCAAATCCAATTACCCGTTTATCAAAATTCTCAACTTTTTCTTAATCTCCCAGAAAAGCCTTCAAGCCAGAAAAACACGAACTTTGAAAAGAAAAAGGAAAAATACACTTTTTAATAATAAAAAAATAGAAAAGAAGACATGTATTTGTACGAAAGATGGAATAGGGAGGAGGAAGAGATCAGAAGGCAAGAAAATTACCATACGGCAAGAAAGACAGAGAGGACAAGATCGGTAAGGAAAAGGGGTTTGTTGCTTTTTTCAGAAAAACAATATAAAAATAATATTTTTATGCAAAAATTGAAAGCAAAGGAACCCTAGAGATGGAAGCTGGACTTTTCAAGAGAACAAGCACAGACCCTTTTGTGTGTGATTCTCTCTCCTCTGCTCTGTTCAGATAGATAGGAATAGGTAGATTTTAGATTAGATATGATGGGGAGGGTTGGTGTAGGTGCGAGTGTGTGTATGTATGTGTGAGTGTGAGAAGAGAATAATAATGCAATGGGTTGTGTGATGTGTGTATTGTAGGTAATGGCAATGCAAGGAAAAGTGTTTGGTAGATAAAAAGTGCAAAACAAAAGAGTAAAAAAACTTAAATTGCAAGTGGGGCCATGTCTTTTTCCTAGTGAAAGCAAAAGGCTTAGTATTTATTTATTATTAGGCCACACCCCTTTTCTTGGTCCACCCATTCATGCCATGACACACAAAAAAACACTGTTGCTTTTACGATCACAGTTGCTGATTTTGCATAACATGGTAGTGCCACTGTGGTAACAATACAGGGTATGAACAGTGTTTATGATACCTTGGCTCGCATGGTGGCATTTTTTATTGTGTTAAATGCTATAAAAGCATCATTAGTTGTCGTACAGAGGATGAACTTTTTGCTAAAAAGTGCGTCACATGTTGGGTGAGGTGGACAGGTAGGAGGTTATTTTGTGACGCTTTTTCACAATCTGCTGCGCTTTTCTCTGTTCTTGCCTTTTCACACCTCGCTTTTAAGTGTTACCTCTCTCCCTCCACTGTTTTCAGAACTCTCTGCCACATTTTTTTTAATGTTGTTTTTCGTTAAATAATAATTTATGATAGTTTTTAATATTCTTTATATCTTTTTTTAATTTATTTCCTATCCTTGTTAATTAATTGTTAATATTAGTCATTATATATCAGTACTTTTGGGTGACTTTTAAATACTGAATTTATTATTAAATAACTATATATTATAAACCATTTTAATAATTATATTCTAAATTTTAACAACGAAACTGTCAATGAAAAATTTTAAATTTAGATTCTAAAATAAAAATCTGATCTTTAATATTGACAGGTTTATGTGGCTGAGATGTTCGTTTTTATTTCTGATAATGAGTTCGTATTTATATCTTTTGTTATTTTCTTAACCTTTAACCAATTCAAAATATTTGAGATGAGATTAAGAAGAGAAAAAAAATAATATAAACATAATGAACTAGTTGACAAAAAAAATTAGGTCACCGAATCTTTAATCCAACCGAAAGTTAGTTAATCAATTATTAATCACGAAAATAAGTTGGATTGCTTGGGAATAATGTGAGCAAGCTCTATACGTAGCACTATACGCAACCTCTATACATACCTTATACTTAACGTCGGAAACTCTACGCATTCAAATAAAAATTACTTTCACGCTTAAGAAATAAATAAATAAATAAAATAACTGTGATGAAAAGTAAAAAATACTTCATAAGAATTGTGAATTTTTTTGCCACACCACTAATAACATTTTTCAGTGACACAAAAAAAATTATTATTATTTTTAATAATGTATTTTGCATCAAATCCTAATTTTTCATCTTAATTTTAAGAATTAACTTTTAATAAATGGAAAGATGTTATAATAAAGAAAAAATGGATGATCTTTAAGAATGTAAAAAGCAAAAAATGAATCTTTTTTTTTTTAATACACACTTATAAAACTTTATTTTTTTAAAAGAAATCCTATTTATTTTTTAACTGTATCTTTTATTTTAAAGGAATTTTCAACTATATCTATTATGTAGTCAACATCGTTTATTTGTCAACCGTTAACTTTCAAGAGGGGTACTATGAAAAGAAAGTCAACTATTAACGTGTTTTGATAGAAGCTTAAATCACGTTTCTGGCTAAGAAAATGCATAATCAAATTCATTCGTATTTATGATGTTTGACTACTTACTCATCAAATTCATGTTGTGTTTGGCAGATTTTCATTTTAAAAGCTGCTTAAAAACTAAGAAAAAAAAAAGGATTTAGTAGTTCCCTTTTTCTTCAATTTAAAAAAAAAACGGCCATAAAATTGTATTAGTTTATATATCTTATTAAAATGTTGTAGAAAAACATGGTGTTCAAAATTGTAGTGAAGAAATTGCACATGATTGGCAGTAACAATCCAAAATAAATCATATTTATTGCTTGATTATCATATGTGACACATTTGAGTGTGAATTGTAAGAGAAATGAAGGAAATAATAATTGTTGAAGAGGCAATTTGAGTTGTTGTGACAGTCACATTATTATTTTGGGAAATAGCGACCAAGAGTTGTGGTCGCCACTACTTGGATAATGGTTTGATATGGAAGGGTATCTTCAAGTCACATCACTCACTCTCCTTCACAACACAAACCTTATCTCATTGCATTACCATTATCTCATCCCCACAAATAACTACTACAAATACATACTTTATTTTTAACATCATTTCCACCAAATTTTCTGTCTCTAAATATCAAATTAATACATATCACTCATCGTAATGTTCAAAAAAATTTGACCTAATTTCTTCTTTTCATTAATTTTTCTTCATATATTTAAATCGATTAATTCCTGTGTCTCTTCTCTCTTCTTCTTTTTATTATTCTCTTTCTCAATTTTGGTTCCTCACTTTTTCTTTTCTTTTTTTGCATTGTACAAAACCGGAATTTGGAAAATTTCAGGAAGAAGTAATTTAAATTTTAAGTAATAATAATAATAAAGTTTTGAATTTTATTTTCAAAGTTGGTTTTCTTTATTTCTATTCTTTTCACTTTCTTAATAATCAAACAAATAAAGGTACACCATTTTTCGTATTTTTTTTCTTCCATTCAAACAAAAATATAAAAAGTCATAATCAATGCCAATCAATTCAATTTCATCCCACAATCAACGCAAATTTATTTTAAAGACGTAAAATAAAATTTAGGACATATTCATTTTAAAAAAGTTACTTACAAATAAAAAGTATTATTTTATTATAAATAAAATTGAACAAATTATTTATAAATAACTTTTTTTCTAAATTTAAGTAAATCATGTGTAGGATTCACAATAGAATAATTTTTTTTATCTCCTGTTAAAAATATTCTAATAAGCATTATAAATGAACTAAAAATAACTAAAATCTAGAGAGAAAAAAATAATGTCATTGAGAATTAAGAATTAATAAGGAAGAATTTAAGGCTAAAAAGAATGATATAGAATCATTCTTGATTAAATTGCATTCATGATTGAAGAGAGTTTGTTAAACCAAATAATTTTATTTTATTTTTCTAATTTTCAAACAATTAAAAGAGTTACTTTCAAAGTCCGTTTCAGTTGATTGAGAGTACCACTAAAGTCCATGATGAAAAATAGTTGCATTACGAAGCTAACGAGGAAACAGCACAGCCAAATTCCACTTCAGTCTTTATCAATATCATATGAAAACTAGATAAAATTATATTCTTAAAAATTCTTCAAAAAAATTCAGCAACATAACAGTTAAAATTACGAAAATAAAGAAAATAAGTAGTTTATTATTTTATTTGGTTGAATAAAAAATACAAACATAAAAATTCAAAATTTCTTCTCTGTTATTTATTTTTCAACTCGATTTTCTCAAACCATTTTTTTTCTCACATACAATCTAACCAAAAGATTTTGTGAAAATTGAAATTAATAAATATCCACAATTTTATTGGCACGGATAAAGGGACTCTTGAATTTAAACATGTGAATCAAACCCAGACTTTGTATTTAGAAGTTACATGAGAAAAAGGAACTAACTTGGAATTATATATTGAATTACATGTCATAGTATTAGAACGAGGTGATTACAGTTAATTTTGAATAAACTATAATTATTAATTAAATGATGTTAATTTTAAGTGAATGGAAACGAAAAATCTTTCAAACATTTTATAGGAGCAAGAATTATGATTAACAAACCTGCTATTTTTTTTGGTCTCCACCTGGAACAGTTGGAAGAAACTTTGCTGAAAACGGTTCTGTTCCTTGTCTTTCGGGCACATCCTGTTTCTAGCCTCTATATGGAGACTTTTTCTCCGAAGAATCAAAACACAAACATTCTCCCCAATCTTCTCTTCCCTTTCTCTTTCTCAACCCAAACAAATTTTTTCCTTGAAATGACAACTCCATCACCAATTCAGATTCACATTGCCGTCAAACCTCATCATCATCATCAGTCATAGCACCTACTTTCTCTTCCTTTTTGAATTTTGATATATTGCGTTGAATTCTTCTGCCAATATACCATTGCTTCTCCAAAGGGTCATATACAGTTCCATTCATTCCCCACACAACAATTCAAGGTGAGGGACCACGTATGAAATCAATTACTGGCATGAAAAATTTGCCTTCTTTCTTTTGATGCCGCAAAAGGGGGTCTAAAATTTGAGAGAAGATGATGCAATTCCATCGTTCTTTAAGATCACAATCAGCATCAACAACTTTATCTGAGAAAACCACAGAGGAGCCTTTGCCTGGCAAAGTTGCACAAAGCACCGTGACATGTTTCTACCAAGCCAATGTCAAGGGGTTTTGGCGGAATGTATCTGTCTTGTGGTGCAGAAATCTCATGAACCATTCCTTGCACATCACGATTGATAGTGTAGAAGGTGTCTTGCAATATAGTGTGAAGATTGACGTGAAGCCTTGGCACTTTTGGAGCAAAAAAGGGTACAAAACCTTTGAGGTTGATGGCAACCAGGTTGAGCTCTATTGGGATCTCCGGTCTGCTAAATTTGCCGGCTCCCCCGAGCCGAGCAGCGATTACTACGTAGCCTTAGTGTCTGAAGAAGAGATTGTGTTGTTGTTGGGAGACTGCAAGAAGAAGGCCTACAAGAGAACAAAATCTAAACCTGCCGCTGTTGATGCCATTTTGTTGGTCAAGAAAGAAAACGTGTTTGCCAAGAAAAGTTTCTCCACAAAGGCCCGGTTTGATGAGAAGACAAAAGATAATGAGATTGTTGTGGACATCTCAACAGGGGGTTCTAATGACCCTGAGATGTGGATTAGCGTAGATGGGACGGTGTTGATCAATGTCAAGAACTTGCAGTGGAAGTTCAGGGGGAACCAAACCGTGATGGTTGACAAGCAACCTGTGCAAGTGTTTTGGGATGTGCACGATTGGTTGTTTAGTGGGTCTCGCTCAGGGCCTGGCCTTTTCATCTTCAAGCCAGGGCCTCCAGAAGCCGAGAGCGAGAAAGAAGGCAGTGTTATGGACGGTTGTGAGAGTGATGATGGCAGTGTTGGATATTATTCAACCATGAATATTGCTACCATTGAGTTCTGCCTCGTTCTCTATGCCTACAAAATTGAGTAATAGAGAAGAGAAAGCAAAGTGTATGATAGTTGAGGGCAAAGGGTAGCAAGGTTGTAAATTAGCTGTATTTTTGTGTGCTGGTGGATGTATTACTTCTGTTGTGAAATCAATGTTGCCCATGCAAAGTAATTGATAGAACTGGTTATTTAAAATCAGGATAGAGTGATTCATATTTGCACTTTTATTTAAAAAAAAAACGATTTTTAAGTTATTCTCTGATTCATGAAAATTTTCATTTTTGTGAGCAATTGCCGTATGAGTAGATAGGCATTGAACATCACAACATTCAGCTAACCCAAGTATGTGTTAGTGAACATGGTTTCTAATATTCTATTGTTCTGTGTCAGGAAGGATGTTTGAAACAGTAGCCGATTGGTGGAAGTATCATATATATGTCTCTCATTGCAAACAATAAAATAAACCACCTGAACTCTGCTTACTTTCCAAGTACCTTCTCTGTTATATCTTCACAAACCTGATTGCATATGTATCTTGAGACTAAATTTGTTGACATGAAGATATGTCTCATTGAGCGAGAAAAACAAACTATTTTCTAAATTTGATAAATTTGTAGTTATGTGACTATTGATTTTAAATACAGCATTTCTGTATGCAGAATAGTAGATACTATCTTATGAATCACATTTCCCTTGATATCATATATTATCCAACATTACAAATGTGACTATAGCACTCAACCCATCACTCTCACACTCACAATTACCTACTAATCAAACCCACACAATTTGTTCATAATAACAAACTTCTTACAGTCTTTTAAAATTATCATGAACAGAAAGCATCAAATATTACCATTTACAATTTCAAGCAGGGCTATCAGTAAGCTCAAAAATTGAAGAAATAGGCAGGACAGGAAAGAGAGGAATAATTAACCAGACGGAAAATTGGGTGTTGATTGTTTAAGTTTGTCAAAAGAAGAAAGAATATATTTCACTATTTCTGGCTATGCTAGAGCACAAAGGGAGAATGTAAGATAAGAGTGGCTAATGAAGTGACAAAAACACAAAAGCAAGAGTCATGTGAAGAAAAGAATGAGATTGTTGGGGTTTGAAAGCTTGAATTGATAGCATCAACAACGGACAAAGTTTGCGCGGTTTAACACTTTGGTCAAAGCAGTTGATAGAGACTTCTTTACTTACGTTGCATGCTACCTTACCACACTTCGATTTTGGTACCATTTATTGTTTCCCACTGACACATAACAGCAAGTGGGGACAAGGCAGGTATATGTGACAAAAACTTGGGCTACGAATAAGATTATTAATAGGATTAAGAAAGTTTTTTTTTTTTTTAATTTTTATATTTTTAAACCCAATCTAGCCTGTACTAATCTTCCAAGTTTCATCCACCTTTCCTTCCTTGTAGTCAGACTGCTGCATATAACATAAATTGCATTAAACAATTTAAACCTTTTTTCATCAATCAAAGACCTCTAATATGAATAGAAACTATATCACAAGGGCACCAAAACTACAATTATATTGAGGCCAATATGGCATACACCAAAACTGACAAGGTGTTGACAAATGTAAACAAACAACGAACAAAATTTTATGAACGAATATGATTAGGTGCAGAGACAAATTTATAGCTGCTATCATCTTCAATGCCAAACATTTTATGCTTATTCTTTTCCCTTTGAGGAAAAATTGCAGAATGGTGAGAAGGAAGGGAAGGATGATCAGAATTGGCTTCATCTCTAAAACTTTTGCGGATTTCCCACAGAACCTCTGCACAATTCTTCATAGGTGGCCGTGATTGTTTCAAAGGAGCAACGCATTGTAGAGCTAGTTTGAGAACCTGCTTTACTACCTTGATGGAGGCTGGACTTCTTTTCAGCCTAGGGTCCATGGCAAATACAGCATCCCCTTGTTTCAGCATCTGCAGTGCCTGCATACATGCAAATTATGTTTGTTTAATCTATTCAATCATTCTGTGGAATTTATCCTCTACCTGTTTCATTGTCCTATATAATTATCACTATTAGATACTAAGGAAAAACCATGATGTGCATTGGTTCACATTATCATCTGCAGAACTAATTTATTCTCACATTTACCAAATCACTGGAAAAATTATCAAAGCTGACAGTTTTAGCATGGAAGACTGTATGATCTATCTTTGACACTCCGTTAAGCAAAAATGCTCATATATCATATCTTCCATACACATATTCTTTGAACAGAGAAACTGAAATTGACTTCCCTTGCTTGAAAGTATATTTACTTTTCTATGATCTAGGAATTTATTCTTTTTGCACTTAAAATATAAGTTAAAAAGGTAAATGGATCAAAATGTAAATTGGTTGGGTCCGTTATACTACTACATCTTTCAAAACTTGAGATGAACTAAATGTCATTCTGCCTGTCATATGACCTTTCTTGAATAATACAGTATGTAAATGGGCATGCTTAGAAAAAACTGGACGCTGCAAAAACAAGAATTGGACCAGTAAGAACCCAAAGGTGAAGTATTATTGATGACAATCAAATCGCGAATATGGTATCAGTATGGTGACAGTCTGGGCCAGGCAAGAAAAGCAAGTACGAAGAATATCCAACATTTCAGATTACCAATGAGATTTCTTTCCTTCTATACATTATAGCATGTGTGTTGTACCAAAGAAATAATTATAAAGTATATTTTCTTCATAGATGACAATCAGATTGCCAGAATTCTGTTACCAACAGTTACGACTAAGTCAGGGAGGGGTTATAAATTGCTTTCAGAATTTTGATTGAAATTAGTTAACTTTCATAAGCAGTTGAAACAATTACAGCTTACTCCAAAGTAATGTGGTAATTTACTCCAAGTTGAAATTTGGGAGAATTGATATAATTTACCCATCTGATTGTCACTCTTTCATCAAGGGGCCTCTTCGCTTCTATTGGATGTCTTCCTGTCACCATTTCAACAAGCAATACACCAAAGGAATAAACATCACTTTTTTCAGTGAGATGATATGTTCGAAGATACTCAGGATCCATGTATCCAGCGGTTCCTTTAACTTGAGTTGAAATATGAGTTGCTGTGGGATCATCAGACAACCGTGCAAAACCAAAATCTGCCACTTTGGCCTTTAGGTTCTCAGTAATTAAGATGTTTGATGCTTTGATGTCTCTATGGATAATTGGATTATCTGTGAATTAATCGATACAAAACATGGTAACCTTACTTTAACAGATGTTGCAAATAACCTTACCTGGGAGTCGAATTAGATAGATCAAAATTATGCAGAATTCAAATATGTTGAAATATATTTCTTCCTTTCTAATTTAGTTCTATGGACATACCTGTGTACATATGAAGGTAAGTTATTGCATGAGCTACATCAATTGCTATGTCTAGACGCTCCCCTATTTCTAATCCTTCTCCCCGAATCCCTGCATTAATAATTCACTTTTTTTGGTCACCACTGTTGTATATTATAAAGCAACTACATCAGCATATAACATTATTGAATAGTGAATAATATATAAACTGCATGACTCCATTTTGGTAGATGACTGACTAACCAGGACTTACCATCAAGGTGTTCTCGAAGGTTACCATTACCAACATATTCAACAACAATGATCTTCTCATTTTCATCTTCCAAATATCCATGCAACCTCACAAGATTCCGATGCTCTATTTGAGACAAGGTGTATATTTCATTCTTGAACTCATGTAAGTGACTGTGTATTACTTCCTGCAAGAAAATTCACCACATTAGGTTCACATCATATAAATCTCGAAATCACAAAAGGATAGCAATCTAATAATCTATGTTTGTAAGAATTATAGTATGTCATGAACATGCTTCATCATCTACAGCACAATTGAGCGAGTTCTAGAGATAGGAAACAGTCAAAAGATGAACATAATATACCTTCTTGGCACGCTTCACGGCAACAATAGATCCATCATTAAGCTTTCCCTTGTAGACTGTTCCAAAGCCGCCTTGTCCAATTTCATTACCTGGAGAGAATTTTGCAGTTGACTTGTAAATTTCTTCGAAGGAGAAGTTGCCGATTCTAAGTTGTCCACTTGCAGTGCTAGATGATGCGTAGGAATAAGAAAACTTCCATTTTGATGAATTCTTGGTGTTACTCTCAGAAGAAGATAAATCAGTTGATGCTGCAAATCATGGCACATCTCAAGTTAAGAAAATCTCACTTAGAAGAATACTACAAAAGCATCATGTAACCTTTTGCTGAAGTGACTTGACATTTGCCACAAAAGCTTCCCATGATCTAAACCCCAGTTCATATAAAGGGTTGATCTTGAGCAAGCACAACAAAATAATTTCAAATCACCCAAAAACCATTTTTTTTTTCATCATACTTACATGATGCCACCCTTATGACTTTAGATGTATTTTTTCTGTCATCATTTCGAACCAGATATGAGGCTGATTTTCTTTTGCCATTGAGAAACAATGAAAAAACTTGAGCACATTTCTTGACAGCATACTTGAAAGATTTCAGTGTAAAACTGGTCTTAGGATTGCGCCTCTTCGCATCATTGGTTGCAGCAAAAAGTTGGAGATTAGCATTCTGTTTCCTTTGGCTAGATTGATGCAAATTGGGGGATGGTGTTTTCTTCATTTGGAGATGCCAGAGATATTGAAAGACCAAATCATTTCTTGTATCTAAATAAGGGAAGGTCTCATGCATTCTGCTAATGTGTTACTTTCTTGGCTCATACTTTATTTGTCTCAGACCATTTCTTCATTCACGTTTTGTATCAGTCCAATCAACATAAGTTGCCAGCAGTAGTAGTTTTGCCTTCACATTTTAAAAAGTCAAAGTCCTACAAATATTCTACCAATCATCCAACAACGTCAATGGATGAGCTCAACAAAATAATAATAAAGAACTTTTTTTGTTTTTGAAAATGTGACAAGTTGCATACTAATCTTTCATATTAAAAAAATTGTCTAATCAATTTCTAAAATTAAAACTATTGTCGTTTTAACATCTCAAACGTACAACTTAGTTTGTTTGAATAACGTCTTAAAACTCTCTACAAGAACAAAAAGTAAATATTTTTTTATAAGCTAAAATTTCATTATATACAAATTAAAAGAACAAAAATTTGGAAAAAAAAAATATAAGTTAACTATTTTAATTTATAATTTTTTTCTTATTTCTTTTTTTAGAAGTAATGATAAATTTAATATATTCTTAATATTATTATACACTCTAAATTTTATAACTTGTTATCGTTAACCGTAACAAACATTTTACAATTTTAAAACTAGAAATCAATTTGATTATTTATTGAAAAAAACTAGGTCAATGCTTTTTTGTGTGATACCAGGTCAAGCCCCAACCTGGATTTTTTGGCCAATGGCGTTGACCCACATGACTTTTTCTTTTACATATTTTATTTTTTTTCCATTTTTTTGAGATAAGAAATATTTTATTCAAGAATTTAGTTTTTTTTTTTTAATGTAATTATAATTTCTATGTTATTTTTCACAAGGAAATACTAATAAAAACTCGGGTGTTTTTTATTGACCATAAAAACATTTATGTTTTTCCTTTTTAACTTCGACTTCAATGTTTTATACAGGATGATAATATTCGTTTCCCCTATAATGTATCATTATATTTTCTAAAAAAAAAAAAAAAATATATATATATATATATATATATATATATATATATATATATATATATATATATATATTGTCAATTGTACTTTTCGAAACACTGCTATGATATTTTTTTTATTAGTTAAAACAAAAATCAATGTTTGTTGATGTGTCTAATTAATCAATTATTGTCAAACAAATTTTTTTCAACACTCGTCCCTGTCCTTTTTATGAAAGAAAGACATGTTTGTTTGAGTATTCCATCGAATTTATAAAATTTAAAATTTAAGTTTCGAAACAGAATTGGACACCAACCCTACCTAAGAGTTTCTAAATAAACAAGGAAAACTATATTATTAGTTTGGAAACTGAAATGAATAAAGTTATTATATATTTGTATGATGTTAATATGTTATGTTAATTTATAAGTGTGTGACATGATTGATTAAACATTGGATGTTTAACTTTTGTACTTAATTTATTAGAAGCTTTTTTAGAATCCTATATCAACTAATTAACTCGTTGAATGATTTGATGATATTTTTCAAGTAAAATTTCACAATGCATTGGTTTGCTATCTAGTAATAGCTCACTTAATTACTTAATAAATAATACCTGAAATTGATTAAATAAACCTTTTTATTATTGCTTCATAAGATTATAGTAAAAGAAATATTATGGTTTCATTAACTAATGTCCTTTAAACATTAGACTCAATTTACAACAAAATTCAAACTCTTTTAATAAAATTAATTTAAAAATAAACATTTATCAGATAAATTTATGAAATTAATATATTTTCTCAATGTCTATTATTTAAAAAATATATATAATATTTTATTGGGGAAATTGCAACTGAATATTCCCAAGACTGAATCGGATAAATGTGTGGGTCAGTGAGTTATTATTGTGGATGGTTGGCAAGTCAAACTTGGACATCAAGCTTTCATCACTAATTCATTGCACATGTTTAAGTGTATTCCATCCAATAATCTTTAGGATAATTTTAGAATATTCCTTATTTATAATATAGGGTTATTTATATTTTTAATTTTCTCAATATTATATTCATTTATTAATAGATCAGAAATCTTAATTTAGAGAATATTCTTTAAGAAAATTAGTCAAAAGAGTATCTCATAATCACCTTAAATAACTCTTCATCATCAAAAGTTATTGCCACTAGTGTCACTTAACCTTGACTATATTTGAGATTTGATCCCTAATTTAAGCATAAAAGCCCAGCCAAAAGTACCACTTACACCAAGATGGGTCAACTCAAGTGGGAAGAGATTAGTTGACACAAAACTCTACTTTTGTTTTTAATTCTATATTTATTTTTTGATTGTATATATGTATAAATAAGATTAGTCGTAATTAAATCCAGTTGAAATAACACCTCATATTTTCATTAGCAGAAACTGCTCAACTTAAAATGAAAAAAGTCTACTGAAATTTGAGATTCAACTTCAAAATAAACCCACATGATTTCAACTATCCAATATATAAATCCAACCTTATTTAGGAAACTAACCCTTATGCAAACACACTATAACCTCACTCATTCCAATCAATGATCCAAGAACAAGGTCACTGTTTTTAATGTAAACTGAGTTCCACCAGAGTCACATTCAAACTCAACATCATATTACCACTCTTAATGCTTCTGACTTCATGCAATAGGAAGTGTAAAACTTATATTTAACATGGATCAAATGAATACCCAGCATACCAAAGAAGCCAATTCAGAAACACATTCTCAAAATAAACCAATCACTTTGAAGAACCAAAATTCTACCACAATAATGAATCAGCGAACTTGTTCACATCAACCTCAGTCAGAGTGAAAAGCACCAATAGCGATAATTTTATGCAAAAAGCAAAATTGCCAAGTAATTTGCAGTTATGAATAGTTCACGAACAACAGAAGAAACTTGATTACATAATGCATCAACAAGGACAGTACAACCAAGTACAAAACCATTACACAACACAAATTTCTTCCATTTACAAAACCAAAGCCCAAAGACATAACCCAACCCAATACACACAAAGCCCAACCACTCAGCCTCCGAATCCATAGAGGGTCCTACCCTGCCTCTTGAGAGCATAAACAACATCCATGGCCGTCACAGTCTTCCTCCGGGCGTGCTCCGTATAAGTCACCGCGTCACGAATAACGTTCTCCAGAAAAATCTTGAGAACACCACGAGTCTCTTCGTAGATCAAACCACTGATTCTCTTCACGCCACCTCTTCTTGCCAGCCTACGAATCGCGGGCTTCGTAATGCCCTGGATGTTGTCGCGGAGCACCTTGCGATGCCTCTTCGCGCCTCCCTTTCCCAGACCCTTACCTCCCTTCCCACGACCCGACATTGTTGAATTGAAGTTCAAATTGGGATCTTTTTGATGTAACGAGAAAACAGGTAATTAGGGATTAGGGATCTCGTACAAGGGATAAAAGGGGAGAGAACAGGGTATTTATTTAGAGCGGGAAGGGTGCGCGTATGAATCGCGAGCTGTTTTCTTTCATCGTGGCCGTCCGTATTTTATTAATCGACGGTTTTTGTTTGTGATCCGTGGCGTGGTGCACAGATCGTTGGGGAGCGTTGATGGGAATAATTGAACGGCTCGATTGGGTTAGGGAAAGAAGCCACGGATAGAGAATTTTATCAGGTTATGGTCCCGTGAGTGCAAGCTGCTTTACTTGACCATTTTATAGTGTATTGTTGAGGAAAGGTGTGAGAACAAATGTGTTATTTTAATTTTTATTTAAATATATTTTTAGTCTTGTTTTTGTTAAATTTTTTTATGAAAAATGTATGTTTGGTGCGTTTGTAATATAAAATTGTAACCATAAGCAAATCAATCTCACAACTAATGTTCCTAAAATGAGACCCTAAATATCCATCGCCACGATACCAATAAATCCTCACATGCCCATATTTCCCATGCACCATTCTTAAACTTGTCTTCAGTATTGAAATTGAGGGGTGGAAAAAGCAATAAAGAAAATAGAAAATAAAATTATTTCGATTAAGAGAATAAAAATATAAAATGAAAGGAAAAAGAGTTTTTAATTGATTTGATTGATTTATATATATATATATATATATATATATATATATATATAATTGAAATAAGTTTATATTTAAAATGAAAATCAAATATAAATAAATATGAATATAAATAACTAAAAATATCACATAATAAAAAATAGATTATATATTAATAAAAAATATATAAACTTTTATATAATATAGACAAATAATTATTGAGTAGAAAAATAAAATATAATATTATAGATTATAGAAAAAAAATTATGAAGTCAAGTAATATACTTGAGAGTAACATAAATAATAAATATGATGGTAGATAATTTTGTATACATCTTTTTTTTCTTATATATATATATATATATATATATATATATAAAATAAAGATAAAGTAATTGAGTCTTACAAACTTTTTCTTTAAATAAACACAAATCTTTTAATATAAATATAAACTTTTTCTTTTAAATATATCCCTCGATTTTTTTTATAAATATGATGGTAGATAAATTTGCATGTATCTGGTATATGAAAGAGAAAAATAAAATAAATGAGACTTACAAACTTTTCCTTTGAATAAACACAAATCTTTTAATATAAATATAATTTTTTTTATATACATACTCTTGATTCTTTATAAACAATAAAATTATACATACAAATAAAGAGTTAGATTCATACACTTTTTCTCTGTGAATCCTATTTTTTTTTCCTCCCTGACTAAAGAAGTTTGGTTTTTTTAAGATAAAAAATAATAATTATACATATACAACGAAATAACAAATCATTAATAAAAGAAATATATCAAATACTGTACTTTAAAATTATATTAAGATAACCATATAATTATAATAATTCAAAAAATTTAAAAGTATTATCAAATACAAGTTTGTTATTAAGAAAATTAGACTCAGGTTTATACATCAACATACAACTATGTGTTACTATCATTATTTTTAATTTGCTTATAGGAATGTTTTTCATCATTATTTTAAAAACGGTTATCTAGAAAGGCATTTAACCTATTTTGAAATGTATAATTAGTAGTTTATTGGATATTATTTTGTATCATGCAAATATGTCCCAGAATTTCAAAAATATATTTGTGGAGTGTCAAAGAGAAAAGTATAAAATGTCGTTGAAATTCCTCAATATATATATATTTCACATTTTTTTAAAGTTGAAATAACATTTTCTTTCAGATAAACTATATTATTTTAGAGTTATAAACTAATTAAAGTAGTTTACTAAACTAAAATATTTAACCGAAATAGTTTAAATACTTAAACATAAAAAAATGGATACTATATTTATATAATTTAACTTATTTTATAGATTAAAACATATTTTAAAGTAATTATTACTTTTAGTTATTATTGAAGTTAAAAAAAAATTAATAGTGTTTTATGAAAAGTATAAAAATAAATAATGCAAAGTGGAGGTGAGGATTCCTTGTCAATTAAGAGAGAAAGGAGAAAATTCTTTTAAAGTATAAGGAATTGAAATGGAAAAGTAATATAATGTTATAAACTATTAGTGTCCAAAATGTTTAACTATTATTGTTTGATTAATTGAAAAATTAGACAAACAAACAGAGGCTTAAGGAGTGCAATTGCAAGGCAGCAAAATGGATCCATGATCTGCAAGGACAGAAACCTAATTACTGTATATTTTTTCTCTCTTATTTTAAATACATTATCGGAACACAATGCATAAGGAAAGCAAAAGGACAACCTATACATCAATCATTTTACACTGTGTAGATGGTTAGTATCTCTTTTTACACTTCACAAGCATGATAATTAGAACACGTAACCATCTCTGACGTTCTTTGGCTATCTCCTTTTGGTATACAAGAAATTGGACTGTACACTTTGTAGTTTCCAGTACTCTCATACAACTGTTAAAGAGAGTTTGTATTACATCTCATCAGCAATTTAGAAATTAAGAAGGTCCAACATTTAATATAACCAAATTAGAATGCAAAAAGTAATTTTAACTAACAAAAGAATATTCTGTAAAACATAACATACATATGAGCAGAATAAATCTTTGACCATATAAGTTTATATATATGATAGAAACTAAATGTAACATAAAAGGCCACATTAAGATTTTTGTTAGATCCAATATTTGTTTCTTTGACGATAAAACACTATTTGGTTGATATCCTCCCCACATTCGTTTCTTTAGTTTGCAAGACTGCCAACAATACATACAGGATGATACCAGGGTCCACAAAAGTAATACTAGTATGTCAGGAAAAGTTTTATTTTTGCAAGTTAAAGAGCAAATATTTATACTTACCAGGATCGTCAAAATTTACTCTTTCTCCAGTAGAGAATAGGCAGTAGAAAAGAGCAGCAAGAAAATAAAGGAGCGATGTAAGCAACAGAAATCCGGGGAAGGAACCAACTAGCTCGACAAAAAACCCAGCTCCAACTGTTCCAATTATAGCAGCCAATGTTCCAGCAGTATTTGATAATCCTACAACAAGAAACCAAGAGGTCTTCATTATAAGAAATCTTATTGTAAAGCACTTCCCAGCTCTTAACAGATTTTGCACATATTTCACCCTATTTTCCCCATATTATAAGACCACTACCTAGCATTAAAATTCCGTTGAATGTTACAAGAGTCCAATCGGTAGGCCTTGTATCTATCCAAGCTACATGAAACTTTCATGAAGAGCATTACCAGGTGCTTTATACATAAACAGCACAGCTTGACCCATTATAGTTCAATAGGTTAAATAACACAAGAAAAGTTCTTCAATTAATTCCCTATACTACTTAAATAACACCTTTTACAACACATCACTTATAATACAGGCTCTAAATGATTTCAAATGTATTTAGTGGTGAAATGTGCCACTGATCTTATTAAATGTACCAAAACAATACATATTCCTTACAAGATGAAAGCTTACCATGCAAAACACCAGAGTACTGTGGTGCAATCTCCTGTGATGACAAAGAAAATGAACAATATATTAGAGAGAGAAGACTTCAAACCAAAAAAATATAGTTTTCGCATGACCGAAAACAGAAACCTGAAGGTTCACAAGAAAGCCCGAGTGACTGAAAGATTTCAGGCCAAAAGCTAAAGTAAGCCAAGCAGAACCAACTGAGGGGGTTTTTGCTGTCGCTAAGCCAATGAGGCAGAGTCCAGGACCAACAAAACCGATGGACTGCAGTGAAAGTGCAGAAAAATAATTACCTTGTAAACTAATACATAGTTAGAACAACCAACTTCAAACTGGGATATGAGTGGAGAAAATTAAGATAACAACAGTACGAAGACATTCAAAGCTTTTGTATAATATATGCAATGCAACATACCTGCATAATCTTTCGAGTCAAAGTGACACTTGTACCACTCTGTATCATCATATCCGACCACAAACCAGCAAGGTAATTCATGATAGCCATCACAGCCCATGGAACTGCACTAAACCACGCTGCATGCCTGAGATCCACACGGTACACCTATAATGTAAAACCATGGTTCTAAGTGTTGATTTCTAAATATTTTTATCATTCACAAAACTAGATATGATAAACTTACTGAGCTGAAGTATATGGGCATCCATGAAAGAACAATAAAAAACCCCTGTGAATAAGAAAAAACAAATTAAAAGGGGCAACAAATAAGAATTTCCATGAATAATAACAACAATGCTGCATGATGTGGGCTCCTGAGGCAAATTTAAGGAACCTCTGTAATATTTTTCTTTTGGTGGCTTGGATGGGAACTGAAGATGAGGATTACCTCATGCAAATTGCAGTAAGATATGTGAATCCAATAGCAGCATAATAAATGACAATTTGCTATTAAACAACACAATATCAGCTCGAATTAAGAACACCAGCAACAATTAAACAAATGCTAAGTGTGAAGCATTACCCAACTGTGCATGGCATTTGCAACTATTAGAGACCATGTTGGCAGCTTTGAAAGCAAGCGCCTGAAAGGAGGAATCACTTTGGACTTAGCTGTCTCCACTGGAAAAGACTTTTGCCTTCTATTCAATATATACTCCAGCTCATATTTTGATATTTGAGGACTCCGGTCAGGAGTGCTAGATGTTGCAGACAACCACACCAACACCCAAAGAAACCCAGACAGTCCAAAAATCACAAAGGGACCAAATATACCACCTTGCGACATGAGAATGGGAGAAAGTGTTAGCCCTATTGCACATCCAAGCTGAAACCCAGCCATTGAGATTCCTACGGCCCTTGATCGTTCAGTTTGTGGAAACCATCTAAAACAAAGAACCAAAACCTATCAATATAAACATCATGCCTTTCTCTTTCCAGAAACTTTAAAGTTCATAAAATCATAACGAAGTGACAAACAAAGCCCATCATCTCGTGTTAAAACTCATGTCATAACTTAAACATAGTATTGTGACATTATAACTACCACCTCAAAATGAAAATCGTGCAGTGCAGAGCATAAACAACGAGTCTGTAATAGGTTTCAGTTTCACAATGGCGTATTCAAACTCATGTTGCAAGGGTTCAACTCATGCTTGGTGAGCAATTATACAGAGCTTTACTACAAACATGCTTTTTGAGATTAAAAAACTTTCCAAGCATTAATTACTTCAGACACTCTTAACCAAAATCAAGTTTGTAAAGAGTCACCTTACCTGGCGACCATGTTATTCATTGAAGGAAGAGCGACTCCTTCAGCAACGCCAAGCATAGCACGGACGACAAGTAGAGCCAAGAGGGAGGTTTGAGCAGCCCAAGGCGTTAGAAAAGTAGCAAGTGACCACAAGGCCACTCCCCAAGCCATCACCACTTTGCCACCGTAGTTATCCACCAACATCCCTCCAGCAATAGGGGAAGCCAGATAACCCCATAGAAAAGACGACTGCATCACCCAATCCAACCCCACAACTAAATCAGAATAAATAACACATGCACTTGCATCGTAAAGTTTTACTCTACAATTCAATCACACAAACTCTCATAAATAGTAAGTACATCGATTTTAATAATAAAATAAATTAAAAGTGATACCAAGAATTATTTCTGATTAGTTGAGAGTCTAAAAACATTTGCATGTCTATAAGACTCATAAAATCAACAACCGAAAAAAGAAATACAGCAGAGTGAATTCTTCAAACAGTTGGTGTGCAGAACCTGAACGATTCCAGCGAAGGCTCGACTCCACCCGTTGGCGAGGGACAAGGGCACGATGGCCACGGACATGACGACGCGATCGGCGTTGCAGAGAGCGAGGGCGAGGGCCAGCATGGCCACCACTTTGACTCTCTCCGAAGTGATGAACTCTGCGAAACTCGGCTGTGGCTGTTGGTTCTCCCCGGAGCTCGAGTTGAAGTGAGCATCGTTGGAGGACACGCGAAGGCGGGGAAGGGAACGGAGAGAGGCTGAAACGTTGGCGAATTTGAATTCCGTTCTCTTGAAGTGAGGTTTGGGAGAATGGAGCGTTGCCACTGTGGCGCGGCGGGCTTGGGTAAGCGAGAAGGGTTTGGCGGCGGGAGAGATGGCGGAGAACAGCGTAGCCATGGCCGCGGACGGTGGATGTTTTCAGTGACTAATTACAGACTTGGCTTGGTTGGTGAGGTGCTTCACAGTTGTCTTCTGATCATTTGTTTTTACTGTACTTTTAAATATTATTGAACTTTTTAGATTAAAATATAAATAAGTTTTCTATAATTAATTAATTAATTAATTAGTTACTAGTTTACCTTTATCTACGGGTACCATCTTCCATGTCTTAGTCCTCACGCTGAAAATTTATGCATTCTACTTCTTACAAATACTAACTCATTTTTGTTGATAATTTCCAACAACAAGATTTAGAACTCGTTAAAAGATATATGTATAAATATTAAAATTAATATTTTTCAACAAACTTATAAACCAACACATAAAAATTATGTAATTACAGAAAATAAATTATTAAACCTAAAACTTATTTAGTTCAGGATTTATTAAGTCTTTTGTAATATTTTTAATTCACATAAGTGGATGAAATAAAGTTGAACCGAATGTAAAGATAGAGACGGGTTCGAGCTGCAGTGATTCTCCAAGTGTCCAATCTCATTTACGGACTTCCTCCGTTTTTTTTCTATTGAGGCTCGCATTACTTCATTATTTTTTTAATTGATTCTTAAAATTTAATTTTAAAAACCTTTTTTATGAATCCAAAATTACCTTACTTGTCATATATCTGTGAAAGGATTAAAAAGAACAATTTTTTAAATCCAAAAACTAAAAGTAGCAAACTTAAATTTGGGAAACCAAAAATATAATTAAAGAAAGCAAGAAACACATTCGTTAAATAAATATTTTTTTTAATGATTCTCTCGCTTGAATTAACTTCAAAATAGTTTTGACATATTCAATTGAAATTAAAATAACACCATTTAATTATTACTTATTCAACCTCGATTAGATTATTAAAATTCTAGTAACCAATTCAATGCCCAAATTAAATCTAAAGGCCTTGCTACAATTATTACTAGAGCAATCCTAGTTCAATAATAGTTGAAACAGCAAGTTATATATTATATTTTAAATTGAAATAACACCATTTAATTATTACTATTCAACAACAATTAAATTAATAACTTTATCGTCATCAACTAAAATCTAACGACTTTCCTATAATTATTACCAATGCAACCCTAGTTCAATAATAGTTGAACGAACTAGTTATGATCCAATTTTAGAAATTATTACAATCACAAACATAAGGCAAACATCAAATAGTTGGTGTGATGCTTTCTCAGTTTCTAGGCTTTCTCATTTGTGATGAAATCAATCTGCAACATGGCAGGGAAAAAAACATATACAGCTTTCTCTTCAGATTAAAATTCCTTGCAATTAACAATGTGTGATATAGGAGAAGTACTGGAATAACGGTCGTAGTAACTAAATAAACCAAACAAAAAAAAAATTCTAGGTGAGAGATATTTTTAATTAATTTCACTTTTTAATGTACATGTCTTCTTATTAAGCTTTCACTCGGGACTTCATCTAATGAAAGTAGTGACACATACCAAGTTAGTCTCACAAAGAAAACCTTCATTTACATACATCTCATACACATCTATCTACTATGTCGAATTACATTTTGCTGTTATGCCTACCAAACAGTGAATGACGACCTTCGGCTATCAATTCTCCAGTTGCTTTGTTTTTAAGGAGAACAATTGTCCCAGAATAACCTCCTTTCCTTCCTAACAACCTTGAAGTAATTTCTAGTTCATCCTGCAAAATAATATCAATATGTGCAAAAGAATGTGAAGCGAATGTAAATACAAACACAAACTAAGTTGATAGCGTTTATGTGAGTAAACTTCTCCCTAACCACTTCCAAAATATGAAAAAAATAATTGTGAAATGATTTCTCCATAAACTAAAACTAGTTTATACATAGGATGAATCTTATGTGTGTTCAGATTTTACAAATAGGTTTTGAATGGTTGTGTAGGTGTGCACTTCATTATGAACCGTACAGCATCCAAATCCATCTAAGAAAAGTTTGGACAGCATGTCTCTCTACAAAATGGAGGCCATGAGTAATAAGTAATCTAACCAATCTTAATAAAATCAAGGTTCATGAACTCACAAACCTCCCCAATCCCCAATTCAATTCTATAGTAACTAACTAGTTGGTAGGTTTGATTTGATACAGAGTCATTATCAATTTACCACCCAAAACACAATGGACAAGAATTAATGAAGTGAAAGTAGGGTTGTTGGATACATCTAAGTAGTTAATTGCCAAATTTTCCTCTAATTTAAATCAAGGGAAACCTAGCAAAATAGGGTAAGATAAAACCCAAAAGGATGTTATTATTGTTGTTAGAACTTACGCCAACGCGAGCAGTTGAGAGAAAAGAAATGGACATGTCGACGGAAACATTCATGGGGAGACCCTCTTCGTGGATGACAGCGCCTCCTACCTCGTCCACCAGATTCGCAATTGCTCCATTCGCCAACTTCCCACTCCTGTCCTGGAACGTAACACATTCAAAATCAACCTCAACAAATTAAATCAATTCCAACTATCATGTAATCGAATCAAATAATCATGGCGAGAGAGGATTATTACGGCGAGGCGAGAGGGGACTTTGAAAGTGCACGAGACGAAACCGGGTTGAACTCGGTCAACTCGGATTCCGGCAAGGATGAAGTGTTCGTAGAAGGAGGAGTTATCGCCGGTTCTGAGTGATGGTAAAAATTGGAGTCTTGACACGGCATCGTATTGTTCGTGCGTCAACCTCAGCATCTCCTTCGCTTTCTCCATTCTTTGCCTTTCTCAGCTCACAAATCACAACACTTTTGTTTTCGTTGTTATTTGGATCCTCAATTCATGGGCCTAATGGGCTTCATAAATTTTCATTTTTCATACATACATCCATACAGATACTTTTTATTTCGGAGGAGGTATTCCTAAAATTTTAGAATGTAAAATTTACATTATCTTTTAAAAAAATAAAATTTAATTCCATATCAATCGTTACAAAATTATTTTATTATTCGATTTCCATGGAATTATAATGATCATTAAAAAAATAGGTAATAAATTAATTTAAGGATAAAACTACATATTGCACTGTCTCAACTAACTCAGTGAGCATTAATTAATCAAATTTAAACCAAAAATGCTTATAATTAATTTCATAAAAACAGGGTTTTGTAGTTTAGTTGGTGGTGTGGGGTGTATTATTGGATTGTATGGGATTGTTAGGCAAATTTAAGATGATGACTACACGAAAAAAATAAAATTATGATGTTATATTATTACATTAATTTTATAAATAATATATTTTAAAAAATACAATATAAAATATTTATTAATTTATTTACTCAATATTTATTTATTATAATTTTTCTTTTTTTAATTTTTTTATATTTTCTCATTTATTTCCTTTTTTTTTCATTTTATGTCTCTTCTTTTTCTCTCTCATCTCCTACTTATTCTTCTAATTAAACTATTATATCAAAAATTAATAAATATATATTAAAATAAATATTTTAAAATCTACATTAAAACTAAAAATATCAACTAATTATTTAAATTTATAAATTTATGATGACAATAAATAATTATATCTATTATTATAATAAATAATTTTAGTTTATAATGATATAGATAATTAATTTAAAATTATTTTATTATAATAAATAATTACTTATCTATATATGTATCTTTTATTTAATAATTTAATTATAATTAAATAAAATTATGATAATTAGTTAGATTTGATAAATTTTAAAATTTATTTATTAAATATTTTTTAAAAATAATTATAACATAATAATAATATTTACAATATCTTAAATTTTATGATAACAGTTTTCAAATATAATATATTAAATTATATATTTGTTTAAGAATAAAAGATTCATTTCTTTAAAATTTATTTAATTTAATTAAAGAATCAAATAGAGTGATAGAATAAAAAAGAAAAAGAAAAAAGAAAATAGACAGTAAAGAAAGATAGAAAAAATAATAAATAAAGAGAAAAAAAGTTAATATATTATGTTTGAAAAATGTATATTATTATTAAATTTTATATATAATAAATAAATAAGTATAATTAAATAAATAAACTTTAAAAAAATCTACTTCTATTTAACTGTTAAGTGATTATGAAATTATACCTATATGCATGGTTAAAGTTATATGTTTTATAATATTTTTTTAAATGTATTAAAAACTATAAAATATGTTTTATAAAATTTGATATTTTTTGTTTTTTTACAATCTAGTTTTACCTAATAAATATATATTTGTTACCATATTTAGTTTTTGTTATTAAGCTACCACGTTAATCATTATTGATATAATGACACATTGTTAAACATACGAGGGATTCAAATCACAGTTTATAAAATATTCGGCATGTTTATCATATTAGATTAAAATCATAGTTTATAGAAAAAAACATATAATCTGTAAAAAATTGAAATCATGAATATATCAAAAATTAAAAAGGATATGATAATCCAAATAAAAAATAAAAGTATATTTGATTAATGCAAAGGATAAGTTTGAAAAATACTATATATATATAAAAAATGAGAATTAAAATTATTGGGGTGTGAGGGAGAATTTGAAGAAGGGTGCACGTGTGATGCGCATTTAGGGTTCGCATCCCAATTAAAATCTGATGTACCACACTGCTGCTAACTTTGCAAAAATTTATACCACTGCAAGATTCCCATGCTTTGTGCCAATGCCACACCAAACCAAATAAAGTGCTGTTTGGTTCAGTTCAGGGTTCACTTGTAAATTTCCGCAACCTTAAAGTCAACTCATCATTTTATAACCTATTTAAATCAAAATCATGACGTCAGTAACAGTATATTTAGGGTTTCATTAATACTACTTAATAAGTATTATTAATTTATAATAAACAAAGAGTAATTTATTTGTTAATTGCAATTGAAGCTTTTTGAGAGCTAATTTATTTAAAAAATAAAAATAAAAAATCATATATTTAAAATACGAGAGATGGATGATAAGGGCATCGGATGAGAGATAAGTGATTTTTTTAAAATATTTAAAAATTAGAAAGGTTCAATATTTTTGAAACTAAAGAATGTTAAACTGAATTTTATTTTAATATATTTTTATTTTATGTAATGAAAGCAGTGAAATTTAAAGCTACAACTTTTAGAAGACCTAATCCCCAACTACTAAAGTGACCCTGACGAATCAACAATTTTATTACCTATATACGTAGTTTATAACTTTGCAATGAAGTTATTTAAGAAATTATATCATTACCACACGCAATGATATATGAAAATTTAAATTTTGAATGAATGACCGAATTATAAAGATTCGTACACTAGGAAGGTTTAATTGTATAATTAATAAGTTTTGGTTGTGTAATTAATAAGATTAATTCCTTGACGTGTTACTTTATGTAACTTGAATGTGTGGCCTTCATCGATGCTCATAAAGTAGCAACAGTAGTTAGTTAACAGCTCAATTGATAGGACTTGAAAATGAATAATGAGGGTAATAATTTTAATTTATTTAAATGTTTTTTATTCCTTTTCTTGTTTTAATTTCTTATGCTTTTCCTTAAGTTGCATTAGGGGGCCACCTAAGGTCCTATCAAAAGGACTTTGCCTAATTTATATCACGATTTTTTAGTTTTTTTTTTTTAATATTGCATAAAGCTATGTTTAATAAAACTAATTTTAAACCCTTAATCATGATTAGGATGTGTATTGAAGTTAACATTGTCATAGAAGGTTCGTTCGGCATGGAAAACTGGTTTATAATGTGAAACAAACATGCCCTTAAAAATAAGGGTTATAAATGTGAACTTAGTTCATAAAATGAAGTGTCTTTTGAATCAATATTATAAGATTTTGAGGAGCTTAAGGAGAATTGGGGTTTAAGGAGGGTTTAGTTGTATTATGATGAATGATGAGATGTGAAAAAAAGAAAAAAAGAGAAAAAATATTATTATGATGGTTGGTTTCCCCACTTGGTTCCGTACTCCTCTGGGCATACTTATGCCGTGTCTCCCACTCTCCTCCTTTCTTCACTCTTAAACGCATTCTCACGAACACAACAATGGCATTCACACCAACACTCACTCTCATACACTCATGACTCCCAAATCCCACAGCCTCTCCGCGTGCCACCGCCACCCCACCGCCCCCATCACCGGCTTCTGCGCCCTCTGCCTCCGCGAACGCCTTGCCGGCATCCCCTCCGACCACTCCCCTCCCCCTCCCCACCTCCGCCGCTCTAAATCCTGCTCCCGCCCCACCACCGCCGATGCCATCCCCGACCCACGCCGACGCTCTTGCGAGGCGCGTCCCCGCAGCTCCCTTTCCGATCTCTTCACCTGTGACGACACCCGAAAAACCCGCTCCCACAAACCCGCCGTCGAGGTTAGGGTTTCCGACGACGATGCCGCGGAGGAGACGAAGACGGTGAAGGAGTTCATAGATCTCGAACTACAGTTTCGCAAGAGGAATACTGCCAGGGATTCTAGAACCTTCTGGAACGTCGCTGCGGAGAAGTTCAAGAAGTGGACATGGAAACACAGGTCCAAGAAAAATGCTGACGCTGGTAATAATGATAATAATGCAAAGAGAAATGCGGAGAAGCGAAGAGCGCGGCGATTGAGAGAGACTCAATCGGAGGTAGGTGAATGCAATTTGGCTAGAAGATCTTGCGACACGGATACGAGGTTTTCGATTGACGCGGGAAGGATCTCGTTCGATTGCCCTCGCGCTTCTTGGGATGGATGTTTGATTGGAAAATCGTGTTCTAGGCTTTCCCCGATGCTTTCACTCGACGAAGATTCCAATTCCAATAACAGCAACAGTAACAGTGTTGGTTTGGAAAGTTCTAGCGATGGTAGAAGGAGTTTTGGTTTTGATAGATCAAGATCTCGTAGGAGACAGTCAATTGCAGGGCTTGAAGAGTTAAAATTGATGTCAAATGCAAATGTGAATGCGAAGGTGTCGCCGAAGGTGTCTCCGGCCACCTTCTATGGTGCCAAGTTACTCATCACTGAAAAAGAGTTGATGGATAGTTATGTGAGATCTTCTGCTGATGCTGTTGAATCTGGTTGTGTGATGGAATCTGATTCCAAGGATGTTTCAGATGTGACCACAAGGCAAAAGAGTGTCAAGAAGTTGCAGAAATGGCGCGATGTGTGGAGCAAGTTGGGTTTAGTTCAGAGAACTGAGAGAAGGGAGGATAGGATGGGGGAAGAAGAGTGTGATTCTAGGGTTGTAGTCGATAAGCCACTTGCAGAGTCTTTGCAGAGGCTTAGGAGGGTGGTTAATGTGCAAGCAAGTGAGCCTGTAAGTCAGAAGCTTATGCGAAGCTATAGCGTTAGCTGTAGAAGCCCTTGTAGAACGGATGGTTTCGCCGATGATTCTGAGAGCAAAGGGAGTGTTCTGAATGGGAAACATGAGTTTATGTTTCAGAGGAACCGAAGTGTTAGATATTCGCCAAATAATCCTGACACTGGCTTGTTGAGGTTCTATTTGACCCCATCGAAGAGCTACAAGAGAAGCAAGGCTGGAAAGAGTAGTGTTAAGGATTTGCATCCAGCAGGCAGAAATGGGTTGTGAAACTGTATTAGCTGCGAAATTGAAAGTATGCTTGGTTGTAAAAACATATATAATGTAATTTTTGTTGTCCACGATACGAAGTACATCACAGATATTAAGATTATGGTTGCAATTTGTCTAATTATGCTGGTTTCCATGATGCTATTGAAATGGTCTTTTTCCGATGGTAATGGTTCTAGGAGGTTAGGAGCAAACCTTGATTTTGCTAGAATTTAATGTAAGAATGTGTGATATGTTATTTAATAAAATTATATTTTGCTGATGAAAGGTGTATGAACTGGTAATTTGCTATAATTTCATGCAAAATGGAGCTGTAGCTCAATAAAATCAGCACGAAAGGTTCACTAAATTCTCATGTTTGTTTTGTTTACATATTACAGAGTAAGCTTCGGCTTCCAAGTTCTAGTTCAGCTATGCTGTTTCCTAGATGTATGAACTACCAATTATGAAGTGTAAACTTTCCTCAATTATTCAGAACCAGAAGCTACGTTTCATTCTTAATTATCTATATACTCAATAACCTTATATTTGTTATATCTGCTAATAATTTTTTTAGCTTTATAATATAATGTTAAGGCCGTGATGTATATGACAATGTCTGATATGTGTAATTGATACAGGAACTATATTGAAGGACTTTTTTTAGATTTACATTATTATAAGTCATTGCGAAATTCGAAAACATAATTTTTAATATCCTTTTACCTACGTAATGGCGGACCAAAACTTTCGGGCACTAGGGCAAGTGTAGTAAAGATAGGTGGATTTTTAATTTCTCCGTAGAATTTTCCTACTCATCTAGATGAGAGGGGAAAAGTTCGAAACATAACGGCGGCAAAAATGACTAGTCCCTACTATAGTAATGATTTTTTTTAAATGAAATGGGGACAGGAATCCCTGTTGTCAACCACTAGGAACCTAGAATTCGTCCCTGCGGATGAGTTAACTTTTTTTTTTCCCTTGTCGAGGACCACACGTTTATATTCCATAGAAGATAATTCTGTCGGTGGAAACATCTACTGCATAATGGAAGATAACTTCGCTAGCTTTCCAAAAGAACACAGCAAAATCCTTCCCCCAATACTTTATACTTAGCTGTACAGATTTTACAAGTTCTCTATAAGAAACATATTCTGTATCTTGGTTAAAGATTCAGGCTGTTACTGTTGTTTTTGCTTTGTATTTTGGCATTTCAATGGGGATTTTCAGGCAGGAATTAATAGGCAAGGGAAGAGTGATTAGTCTTTTCCCGCTTTCATGATTTATTAAAATTACAATATCCAAACACAAAAAATGCAAACTTAATATTTACTAACACAGAGTTTTGAGCACTCACTTAACTCATTCATTCACATCGAACCCCTTCTCCTGAAACTCAGCAACGACCTCATTCCTCATCCTCATCCACAGTTTCTGAACCTCCTGCTCAAACTTTTTGTCCTTCAGCTCCTTCTTGTAGTCACTCTCATCCTTATCACCCTCAACAGTCCCTTTGGGACCAATGCTTGTCCCAATCATTCCACCCTTGGCAATGAACTCCTGCATTGCCTCTTCATCACCCGGGTAAGGAAACATCCTCCGCTCGTACAAATGAGCCAGCTCCTTCTCTTCCTTTGGCTTTGGCTTCAGTGTCCACCAACCCAGTGGCGATGTCTCGTTGTACAACCACACTGCCCCAATCACTGCATACGTGCAAACCAAAGCCTTTCCGATCTGCTTCCAGAAGTAGTAGTTCTCCTTCCCCAGCCCTATTTTCCTCAGGAAATCCTGGGCATGTTGTACACCTGCATTGGAACATAAATGGGTCCACAAAATTTGATGAAAGATGCAAGATTCCTGTCTGAAACATTTCATCAAACACCTTGTGTTCAAGGTTGGATTGGATTGAGCAAAAATTAACCCGTATGCTATAGATATGTTTAATACGGACATTGTGAAGATACTTATATTATTTCAAATTTTGGGTAGGTAGACGGAGAGTACCTGTTTTGGGTTCTGGCGCCTGAAAGCGCTTCCTAGGCATGGCGAGGGTTAGCTTCGATCATTCGATGAACAATGCTTGGCAGCGGTGGTGACGTGGTTTAGTAGAGTTGGGCCAAGGCTGGAAAGTTCTTGGAAGTTGAATGAGTCCATCACAGGACCAATCTCATTTAAAAAAAAAAGATATATATAATACAATTTATCGTTTTGTGAGAAGTGATTTTAAATTTTCGAAGGATGTTTTTTTTATATAAAAATTAAATAAAAACTTGATGAACTTAAAAATATTTAATAAAAATATTAAGACCACCTTCTGTGTGTTCCCATCTATTTTCTCCATTTTTTTTTTGGAATTCAGAGTATAACGAATGGGTTACTTTTTTCGCAATTTTCAAAAATTAAGGAAAATAATATGCTCTATTTTATGAAATTTAAAAAGATAGTTGGAACTTCATTTTCTTATCATATCGTAGATGAAGGAGAATATAATTATATAATTAGATTAAAAAAAAAAACATAATATTTTTGCTTTCCTTGTAAGGTTGGTCCGATTGACAAGGTCATATTCCTTAACGATGCTACTCTATCCATGTAAAAGTTTTGTTTATAAATAATCATCCATCTATTTATTAAATGATCTTGGTGAATTCTTGAGACCAAACTTTATAAAAAAGTAACCCATTTTTTTTAACAATAATATAATAACAAAGCTCAAACAAGTTTTAAATCCCTTTTTGTTTTGAGTACTTGAGAAATATTTTTTCTTTAAATCGATAGAAATTGACTATTTTGATTTAAGTTCATTCTATTAATTGCATCAATTATACTACATTACTTGTATGACACGTACTGTGGACGTAAGCACTGATAATAATAATAAGAAGAAGAAGAAGGACTTTATAAATTGATTTAGACCATAGTTGATGTTGCAGTACAAGGTGGAAAACAAGGGATAGAGAAGAAAACTTTCTAATGTGCACCTTGCTGTACATGCTCCACCGTGTTGCATGAAACAGAATGTAGCACTTAATTTACCAGACACTAGTAAAAGGGCATACAGAAACAGCATAATTTGAGCATCTTTGTACAACATTACCCAGTTTTCAGCGAAGAGTTCCAATCGGTTTCTTATATGTATACAACTTTGACACAAAAAGGAACACAACAAAATTCAGCACACTTAACACTGTCAATAGCAAGAAGAAATAATCAAGGTGACCATAGTTTAGTTTGTCAGGTAACCATCCAGGACCACCATTCATAGTAGTGACCTTTGCCACAATCGTTATAAGCAAAGAGCTTAAGTACGATCCAAAAGCAACAGTGAGGAGTTGGAGAGCTGAACATGTGCTTCTCATGGCATCAGGGGCTTGCTCATAGAAGAACTCTAACTGCCCAATGAAGGTGAACACTTCAGCACAACCTATGATAAAATATGGTGGAACCTGCCAAAATATTGACATGGGAACCTCGTCCAGTTCATAATAATTGTGCCTTCTCACCATTTTAAGTCTCATACTCTCCAAAATCACTGCGTATGCCATAGCAAATATGGATATGAAAAGGCCAGTGCCCATTCTCTGGAGCTGAGTTAGGCCATTTTTGCGGCCACTTAACTTTCTTGCTACAGGCACAATGATCCTGTCATACACAGGGACCCAAAAGATGACACTGATGGTATCAAAGACCGATAGAGTAGCTGGTGAGATTTGTATCTTTGTGTTGTTGCCTACACGGTTATCCATGGTGTCCCCTTGCAGTATGAAGTAGTTGCTCATTTGACTATAAACAGTAGAAAATATGATGCCGGTTGCCCATACAGGAAGCAATCTTACAATAGCTTTCAGCTCTTCCACTTGAGTCACAGTGCAAAGTCTCCATGGATTTACTGGGTCCTTCACACTATCTGAATAGCCTAGCACTGCTGCTTTGTCAAAGAAGCTGTTACACAAAAGTATGGTAAATGTGAATAAAAAATTAGATAGAGCAACAGGGCAATGTCTTTTTTTATTCGTCTTTTAGGCCTTAAATTAAGTTGTTGTCTGTAAGTTCAAAGAAAAACTTGACAATGGTTTCATGATTTGCAAGAACTATAGCCCCACCAAAACATTTGGAAGTCTAATGATTTATAAAATTGTCATTATTTGATAGGATAGCATTTGAAATAGCATGAGTGTCGGCCAAATTACTACCTACCTTCCTATATTAGAATCAAGGGCAACATGAAAATTACTTCTAGTTTTGAATAGGATAAATAGTAGCAAGTCAGCAACACACTGATACACTTTTCGATTATTATTGCATAAAAATTTATGTGGATATAGCTTAGACTCGTTCTCTATCAGTGGCACCCATAAAAGGGTGTCAAAGAGTATTTTTCAATTAGAGGAGTAAACATAAAGAATTTTGTGGCTATGGTTTACCTTAATCCATTTGAGTGGTCAAGCTTGCGGCTTCCTTGGATAGCTGACTCTGAGTCTTCCTCTACCTCATATAACTCAGACTTATCATTAGGTACTTCAACATCATACTTTCTTATGGATGCAACTATAACCTGACACATGCGACTGAGGGGGCTACCTCCTGGCTTCTGATTCCGATACAACCTTGTACCTGAGAAGAAACTCACAACAGCAATTGCCATGGCAACTGCTGGAATGCCAAATCCCCATCCCCAACTTACATTAGTTTGTACCCACACCAACAGAGAAGCAGCAACAAGGGCACCAACATTTATTGACAAATAGAACCAGTTGAAGAAAGAACTCTTTTGCTCCTTCTCAGTTTCATCAGCATCATCAAATTGGTCCGCACCAAATGATGAAACACAAGGCTTGATCCCACCAGTGCCAAGAGCTATAAGGTAAAGAGCCACAAAACACGCTGCACTCTGTCCCTTAGTAGCATGGCAATTGTCTTGTGAATCACAGGTCGGTTTCATGCCAGGAACTGATGCAGACAATGTCAAGAGTGTCATTCCCTATGCAAAGAAAACAAAAGATTTGGTTACTTCTCACATTTTATATAAGCCAAATGGATGACTATGATTTGATGTAATTATTCATTTTCATTTGGTTCCAGTTTATTGATGCTCTCTCATCCTCTCTTCTATTGACTCTACCATGATACTTAACAGTAATCATGTAAAGATTGAAGAGACTATACTCACAATAACATAAACTACCGAAAAACAAAGAATGGTCAGATATCTTCCAAGATAGGCATCAGCCACAAACGCTCCAATCAATGGAGTGATGAAGCATGTTCCACCCCAATTTGCAACATTCTTGGAAGCAGTTGCACTATGCTGATGTAGTTGAGTCTTGAAATAAGACACAAGATTTGTGCTCATCCCATAATATGCCAATCTCTCAGCACATTCATTTCCTGTAAATGGTCTAATTAATTTCTTAACCCACAAAACATCAATTGTTGGAGATTAGAGATGCACAATGGTTACCTAAAATGAAAGGGCAGGCTCTCCAGGTTCCAGTTTCCTTTCTATTAGCAGGATTTCCACGGAAATCTACCGTTCCATCTTTTGTGTAAACATCTTCCTCAGCCATTGTAATTCAGTTGAGGGACAAGGGACTCACTTGCAACCAATCAAGCTAGAAATTGGCATGTTAAAATCCAAAAAACAAGAAAATCATTGAAATTAAACTTGCTTACTGTATAGCAACTTAAAAAATAAAACCCTTTACCTTGGATAAAATAGTACAGTTTATGGTTATTCACCACAGCTTGAGATGAAGGTGTCACCTAAGAAGCAAATCACTATGCATGGCAGGTGTTAGATGAAGACTAAGAGTGAGAGAAAAAGTTATATATAGTGTTTTCTAGTGTAAGACTAGGATGACGTTTTGTTCAAGGCATTGAATCTGCTGAATGTTACACAAACCTATTAAAACAAGAGGTGAAATCCAAGCATTACGGAGCTGCTTCTGATTGTCATACTATATTATTAGTGAACCAAAGTTTCCACTGAAAACTAAATTGCAAACTAATGCAGTAAAATAGTATTTGATGATCTGTAAATTGTAATGTGCTGTTTATTTGCGTGACGTTGGGTTTATCAATGCTGGAAAAGGGACATGAATATATAATATAACAATGCCAAGGGCAATCAGAAATGAACATGTTCTTGTTTCCTATCCAATGTAAAATATTCTAGTGACAACTAGTAATCAAATACTTGTTTGGAAATTAATTTCTCCAATCCAAGGTTATAGTAGACATTAATTTAAACACATTTCAAATTCAATTATATTTAGTGTGTCCTTAACTTTAAACTAAGAGTTTTCTTTTATTTTAATGAAAATATGAGATCTTTAAGAGCTCTTTCGAATTATTTTGATTTAAATTATAAAGATAAAGGTAAAATGTGATAAAAAAAATAGTAAACTCTATATTTATCCCATTAGAAACATAAAAATTTAAAAAAAACTGTAACAAAATTAAGTAAGCTCTCTATTTTAACATGCTAATGCACACAGCCACAAACACTTACCTTTCATATTAATATTATTAGTAAGAATAAAATTTAATACACCTTACTGATGAAATATAAATTAATTAAGTTATTTTTTTTATTAAGACTTGTAATAATATAATTAAAAATTTACAAATGAGGAAAAATATAACAATTTAAGGATATTTCATTTATATAGTATTGTTTTAAGATTAATATATAATAAAGCAATTTTTCTAATTTATTAAATGAATGCATTTTGATTGCTATTTTTTTATATAAAATAAATTTAGAAACTAGGTATTATGTGCCAAGTTAAGAAGTGTACGAAAAGAAAAATGAAAATTAAGAAAAAGAAAACAAAATTAAAAATTGCTCTGGGCCAATTCAACCACTTTGGGCTAAGCTCAATTCTTAAGAACCCGATCACCTGATGGGAAAAGTAAAAGAAAAAAAACTTCAAAAGAAAATTACTTATTTTGATGATAAAAATATTAAGTGAATCAAATAATAAATTATAAAGATTTAATGACAAATATTCTAAATCTAAACTAGATTTTTTTTAAATATCACAAGTATATTTATAAAAAATAATCTTATTTAATATCATATGTTTAATATAAATGACAAAGTCTTATCCTTAAATTGTAATGAATCTACGTGTTCATGACTCAAAATTTGAATCAGTTAATTAAATTGATTTAACTCATGTTATTTTTAAATACACAATATAATTATAAAGCATCTAAAGTCTCAACAAATATTTATACATATACTAATAACTTAGGCAACTAGGTTAAATGATTAATTAAATTTGATTAAAATTATAAAAATTATTTTTCATTCATTCATAAGAAACAATATTATATTTAATGAGAATTTTTAGGATTTTATGTATATATATTTTTTATATAAGAAAATATATCTTAGATAATATAATAGGTATAGAATAAAGATATAACAAAATATCAGATATTAATAATATCTTAATTATAATTGTCTAAATCAAAATAATAATTTAATATCTTTTTCTTTTTAATAAAATATCTTAATAACTAATTTAAATAAATATAATAAAATAATATTCTCAACAATATTTAATTGATATGGAAAAACATATTTTGATCACCCATTGAATAACTAGAAAAAAAAACAGAATAAACATAAATTAAAATATAAATTTAACAAAATTCAAAGTTAATAATAGTATAAAAGTTAAGCAAAACAATCTTTCAGTTTTTGTGGTTTATATTTATCATAACACTTATCCCAACAATATTTATAACCAATTAGGTTAAAGTTTTTTTTTTCTTTAGTGGCCTCAAGAATGTTATGAATTCATTATAAATAGTTTTCCCTCGTAACATTTTGCAAATCACAAACGATTTAAAGAAGAGGGAGAAGACATAAAGAAGAAGGAAAAACAAAAATGGGAGTTGAGCAAAGTTTGATCATACTAGCTTTGTGGTCATTGCTAGCTTTCATTGTTAGAACTCATGCAAACCTTTTAGATATAAGGAAATATGGCGCAACACCTAAAGGAGACATAACCATGGTAAGACCAACAATTTAAAATGTTTTTTTTTTATGCAAATGCATATTTAAAGTTGTAAATCATGTATCTTGATATTTTCTCAATTTTCTACTTTGCTTGCTCTTAAGGCTTTGCAAAATGCTTGGAGGGATGCATGTGTATCAACAACTCCAACCAAAATTGTGGTTCCTAGTGGCAAATACATGTTGAGACAAATAGACTTCATGGGACCTTGCAATGTTCCTATTGAGATTCAAGTTAATGGGATTCTTATAGCTCCAAAAAACCCATTCCACCTTAATGGAAGAGATCAATGGGTTAGATTTGGATATCTTAACTTCTTAACCTTGTCTGGTCAAGGAACTTTCCATGGTAGAGGCAAAATGGCTTGGAATCAAAACAATTGTCAAACAACATTGAATTGCAAGAAGCTTCCTATGGTAAACTATTTTTCTTAATGTACATTGCAATGAGTATATACTAATGAATTTTTTTTTTCGAAATTTCTAACAATTCACTATATGATGCACTTTTGGAAATCTTTTGCACAGAATTTGGGCTTTGGTTTTGTCAATAATTCAGTAATTCGGGACATAACATCAAAGGATAGCAAATATTTTCATGTGAATGTTTTTGGGTGCAAGAACATATATAACATTTACAAACTTCAGAGTCAGTGCACCTGCATATAGTCCTAACACTGATGGAATTCACATTGGAAAATCAAGTGAAGTGCAAATTACTAACTCAAAAATTAGCACTGGTGATGATTGCATATCTTTGGGTGATGGAAGCAAAGGAGTGAGGATAGTTAATGTAACATGTGGACCAGGACATGGTATCAGTGTTGGAAGCCTAGGAAGATACACAAATGAAGAGCCTGTAGAGGATCTGAGGGTTAGAAATTGCACTCTAAAAAACACAAACAATGGGGTAAGGATCAAGACTTGGCCTGGTACCCCAATAATTTCTCGTGCCTCTGACTTACATTTTGAAGATATCATAATGATTAATGTCAGCAACCCAGTAATCATAGATCAAGAATACTGCCCCTGGAATCAATGCTCAAAACAGGTATCTAACCCAAACCCACTTTTCAGTATGATCTTAACCATGCAATTATATATAAACGATCGAAGTTGATTAATTTATTTTTATGGTTTTGTTTGAATGGTTAGATACCATCAAAAATAAAGATAAGCAAAGTGAGCTTCAATGACATTAGAGGAACTAGTGCAACCGAGGAAGGTGTGGTTCTTGTTTGTAGCAGTGGTGTTCCATGTGATACTGTAGAGCTGAGTGACATAGATCTGAGATTCAATGGAACAACTCTGACCACTGCTAAATGTGACAATGTCAAGCCCATATTTGGAAGGAAAGCACCAACTTGTGTACTTTAGAACTTTACAAGCTACGCTCTTTGCTTTCAATTACAGTTTAATATAAACTAAACACTCCATAAGAACTTTCTAACTTATTTGTTATCACATGTGATTTTTCCTTTCTCCTTGTAAAATGTCAATTTTATAAATACGAGGTTTAGGTACTTACGTAAATGTCTGTCAGGAAATATTATTATTATTATTATTATTATTATTATTATTAACTTGTTAAACAAAACTAAAACGAGGAAGAGATAAAAGATGTCAAAAAGAACACAGAAGACTACACTTTTCTACATGAATATTTTCTTGGGTGATTACTTTAAACATTATGTCATACATTACAATATAACTTTTTTTTTAAAGAAAACCTTACGTCTATAAACCTAACCAACTATAAGTTTGTGTTTACAATATACGTCAACAATTGTACTTGGCATTTATAAATTAAATTGTTGGTCTAAGTAAAATTTGGTTCAAAGTCTTTAACAATTTCATGAATAAAAAATGATGAAAAGGAGACATTTATTAAAAGTGATAAATCACATTCTTTGAGAGAGAGAGAGAGAAAAAAAGTTATCAACAAAATTGTTACAATATTTTGGACCAATATAACAGAACTTAAAAAACAAAATGTTAATTTACAAGGACTCTTTTTCATAATCTAAGGAAATATTTTTTCAAGACAAAATCATCATTATGAAGTTCTTGAACGTTATTTATTAATTATTATGAGGAAAAATTTTGCACACATTGAATTAATTATTAAATTGAAACACAGTAGATTGATGAGGATAAAGAGAAGTTGTTTAATGAGATGAACTGCTACCAACTCCTCCAATCTTTGGTTTTGAGGAAAAGAAAGTTGTTATTTTGATCTAATAATAATAATAATAATCTCCCTCTGCCAGCAATTCTTGAAAACCATTCTTCACCAATACTTTTTTGTTGGGCTACCATTAACACCCACCTCCACTGTTTTCTTCATGTGAGCCCCCCTTAAAACTTCAAATGCTAAAAAAATGGTAAATCCGTAGGAAAATCTTTCTTCACCCACGTTAATATAATTTGTTTAACTATTTGCTTAAGATTTAAGAGTGATTTTTTAAGTTTCATTCTAATATTTTTAGCTGTTTAAAGTTAAGACATATTTGACAAAAATAGAATAAAAAGAAGAAACACTTAAGTTCACATGATTATCGAATCACAAAGTGTCATGTATATTGATTTTTATGATATTTGTCTTAAAATTTGTAGCAATGACATGGGAAGATGATAGTAAAGAAGTATTTTATATTATCAACGCATAATCGTTATTAGCACTATTAGTAATGAATATTAAATAAGGATACAGTTTATGTTAATAAAGAATATTAAATAAAGTATATTTTGAGAAAACAAAAACATATTCATTAGATATTAAAATTCTAATCCATCAATATCAAAAAGTTTTTGTTAAAATATTTTAAGGCAAAGTGAAAGGAATTAAAAGTTTATTCAAATAAAAGTTGTTTGGCAAGTGTGCCTAATCGAGTTGATTTGCATTGGAAAAAAAATTCAAACAGAGAGACTTTTAAGTTATTAAAAACAACGATATATTTTTATGCGTGACAGTTTCAAATTTTTTGTGATAATTCATTTCTTACGATGATGTCAGTGCCTCACCAATTAATCTATCTGGAATCTGGATAATATATATGTTAGAAGTTTCATTTTTTAAAATATTTTTACCATCAATATATCATGTTTTAATTTTTCTTTATACAAAATAAATTATGTTCGAGTATATCAATAATTTTTTTTTGTTCATCATCATTTAAAAGACCTGATTAATATGTTAGTTTTTTTATAGCATATAAAAAAATGTTATATTTTATAATATAATAATTAAAATTATTATCATTTAATTAGAGAAAAATAATAAAAATTAAGAAGAACTCCTTATTAATCTGGTTATTGCCTATTTGAAAGAGAACGAAATTCATTAAAAGTGAAGTTGCAATCCCTACATCAATGGTTTATTTTCAACACGTGGAACCTGTGTGTGAGTAATTTAGTTTATAACAACCAAACCAAAAACTCTAATGACAAACAAAACGTACACTTATTTCATTCTTAGACAGTTTCATAATTGGTTGTGGTGTATGTCATCTCTTTGACTTCATCGAAAGCACTAATAGCCATGTTAGCTGAGAATCGTTCTACTTCACCCAATATGGTTAGACCAAACCCAGTATCTGATGTGACCACCTAGTCCATCACAAACAAAAATACACTAAAAAACATCACCCAGAAACTCAACTATCTTAGCTTCAAAAGCTGTCTTATTTGATGGATAACTTGCTACTTTATGTGACATACAAGAAAAATAATACAACTTTCTGGCCATCTTCTTTTTGTCTTTTGGTGTATATTATTTTATTCTACTTATTAGTATTTCTTCAACCAACTGATTAAAAGGACATGACAACAGAGAAAACCTCTTTATAAGCTTGCCCCCTCTTACTTGGTTTGCATATTGTGCATTCCACAAAGTAGAGCTAGCTGGCCATCAAAGGAAAAACTACCATCTGTGCTTTGTGTGAAGGCGGAGAAAGTTTAAGGTGTTCATGGCCATGATGTGGTTTAGAATCATACTTCTAATATCGGCTTGTATGCTTCCTCTTTCAGTGGAAGCCATGGTTCGCCACTACAAGTTCAACGTAGGTGCATTGCATATTTCATATTGCATTACACTCTCATTTAAGTTATCATGATATAAGTTGCTTTTGAGCGTTTGCTCAGAATGCACCAATTATTGTCTAATCTAAAACTATTCATTACTGCACGAAAGAGCCTAACGGTTGTGTAGCTAGTTCAACTGCAATTTAGATATTTAAAAAATAGAATGTAAAAACTAAGAAAAGTGATGGCTAGGTGTAATGTTTGTGTTTTCCTATTACTGTTGTCATTTATAAGTTTTATCAGCACTGAGATTCCTTAATAGACACCATTGAAGTCAAGCATACTGGCCTAAATGTTCATGTATTAACCTTATATCTTGAAACGAAAATTTTATCGGTAAAACATGTTCCAAATTGTTCTATCAGGCAGGGCTAGTATCTACTAGAACACGTACACAACCCTGTATCTTTATCAAACAGCAAAGTGGCAGAAGCATATATATTGTTGAGCAATGCAAGGCACTCAAGTTTGGTGGATGTCTCAGACATGAAGTTACACTTTATCATTCTTCTTGGTGATCAAGAATGTATGCATTTTACTATGACACTGACTCCTTAATTGGTTTATGTTGTACACAGGTGGTGGTGAAGAATGTCACAAGATTGTGTTCAACCAAGCCCATAGTAACAGTAAATGGAAAGTTCCCAGGCCCCACCATCTATGCTAGGGAAGATGACACTGTTTTGGTAAAGGTGGTTAACCATGTCAAATACAATGTTAGCATCCACTGGTGGGTGTGCTAGAATTACTTTATACTCTAAAGTCTAACCTTGAGTGATATTTTACATTACATTCTTTTACTAATTTGACGGTGAATTAAAATTGAACAGGCATGGGGTGAGACAATTGAGGACTGGCTGGGCCGATGGGCCTGCATACATAACTCAGTGCCCGATTCAACCGGGCCAGGTGTATGTGTACAACTTCACCCTCACAGGGCAGAGAGGGACACTTTGGTGGCATGCACATATCCTCTGGCTTAGGTCAACTTTGCATGGTGCATTGGTCATTTTGCCCAAGCTTGGAGTTCCTTACCCTTTTCCCAAGCCCAACGCAGAGAAAGTTATCCTATTGAGTCAGTTCCCCTACATTTTCCTGTATATTCTTTTAGAGAGAAAAAGTTATATACCTACAGAATAAAATAAATTTATATTGTTAATCAACCAAATACTACATTATTTATATAATAGCTACATTAAGTATCATACCAACCAATAGTGATCTGTGATTAGATGACAGTATAAAACTGTATTACACTATTTTTTATGCCACTAAATATTCCAATCTATAAGTGTCTATTGCCTAGTCAAGAATTAGAGGAAAGAAATGAGATTTTGCTAACCAATTAAGGAATTCAAATAGAAAGTGTTTAGTAGAATTCATATTAGAAATCAAAGTCAAAATACATTATCAACTCATTTTAATAAAAACCCTTATGGTCTGAATTCATTAATTAGTGACTGGTGGACAAATCTCACCGCATCAAAATTTCAAATTTGTTCAGGTGAATGGTGGAAATCAGATACTGAGGCCATAATAAATGAAGCCTTGAGATCTGGGTTGGCCCCAAATGTCTCTGATGCCCACACCATCAATGGCCATCCAGGACCAGTTCAACAGTGTGTCTCTCAAGGTGAAACTCCTGAACATAGGCCCTTGAACATTAGACTAAGCCCAAGATGGAGAATAATTTCACTTAAATTTTACTTGGTTTGAAAAGATATTATCTTTTTTCATCTTTATTTCACTGACAATTACAAAATTGCCAAGTAATTGATATTTTTGCATAAATATTTAAAGGTAAGACACTATGTAAAAGCAAGATCACAACATTTTCACTGAGAATGAATAGTAACTTCCACCATGCAGGAGGGTACAATCTTCAAGTTCAACCTGGAAACACCTACTTGCTAAGAATAATCAACGCTGCACTGAATGAAGAGTTGTTCTTTAAAATTGCAGGTCATCAACTCACTGTTGTTGAGGTTGATGCTGTGTATACAAAACCTTTGAAAACTAACACCATAGTTATAGCGCCTGGCCAAACCACAAATGTTCTTCTAAAAGCCAACCGTGCCACTGGCAAATACTTAGTAGCAGCCACTCCCTTCATGGACTCTCCTATTGCAGTGGACAATGTGACTGCCACTGCCACATTACACTATTCAGGCTCACTTGGTTCCACCATCACAACCCTCACTTCATTACCTCCCAAAAATGCCACCCCTGTTGCTACCAAATTCACTGACTCACTCAGAAGCCTAAACTCCAAAAAGTACCCTGCTAGAGTCCCTATAAAGGTTGACCATTCCTTGCTCTTCACTGTCAGCCTTGGAGTCAACCCATGTCCCACTTGTCTCAATGGAAGCAAGGTGGTTGCAGCCATCAACAATGTGACCTTTGTGATGCCTAAAGTCTCTCTCCTCCAAGCACATTTCTTCAACATAAGTGGAGTTTTCACTGATGATTTTCCTGGAAAGCCTCCAGTGGTTTATGACTTCACAGGGACACAACAACCAGCAAATTTGAGGACCAATAGAGGGACAAGGGTCTATAGGCTTGCCTACAACTCCACTGTGCAATTAGTCTTGCAAGATACTGGAATGATTACACCTGAGAACCATCCTATTCATCTCCATGGCTTCAACTTCTTTGTGGTTGGTAGGGGACAAGGGAATTTCAACTCCAAAAAGGACACCAAAAAGTTTATCCTTGTGGATCCTGTGGAGAGAAACACAGTTGGTGTTCCATCTGGGGGGTGGACTGCTATTAGATTCAGGGCTGACAATCCAGGTAAAAAAACTATGAGCTACAATCTTCATAGAAAGATCAAAGAATTTGCAATGCATGTCACAATTTTTCTCATACGTTTTTTGTTTTGTTTTCTTAGGTGTTTGGTTTATGCATTGCCATTTGGAAATTCATACAACATGGGGATTAAAGATGGCATTTGTGGTGGACAATGGTAAAGGACCAAATGAGTCTATACTACCACCTCCAAGTGATCTTCCCAAATGTTGACAAGATGACCAATATACAATCTTTGCTTAGGGAGGAAGAGAGGGGAAACATGTAAAGACAATATACTTTCCAGAGAGAGTGAACCATCTAGGCTAATAACAAGATTTTCTTGAAGCAAATAAAAAGGACAAGTTGCTAATAGGAAAATAAGACCAATCAACATGTCTTCACTTACTGTGTTTTTTTCCTGTCATTTGTTCATTTTTTTACATTATTTGTACTTCTCATCTCTCCTCTTCTTGAAAAATAACTTACGCTTTATGTAATTATATATACAGTGTGAATCTGAATTTAAAGGATTTCCAAAATGTTGTGCCTTATTTACTTGCATCAGATGTTCTGTTCACTTGTTTATTGGTACTACAAAGCTTTGCCACTGATTATGCAATATAATTGAATAGCATGAAATTTTATTTCACAATTAAGCTCAAAAGTATGGTTCCAGGGAAAAAAATCTTCAAATAAATACTTCTTTTTACGTTCAAATGGATTAAGATAAACTTAAATTAACTGTTAACTTTAACAAGAAAAAAAAAAAAAAAACACACACACTTTACTGATTAAATTATCTCTCATTAACTAACGAATTCACCCGTGAGGAATTATTCATGTTGGTAGAATTTTCTTTAAAGAAGGATAGAGTTTATTTTAAAAAAATAGTTTTACATATTATATAATAGTGTATTGATATACTATTTCATTTTGTTCAGTGGAAAATCAAGAAAAGGAGAAAAAAAAGTAATTAAAAGTAGAAAATCATTAATTTTCTTAAATAGATAAACTGAAACTTTTTTTTTTCTGAAGCAATAAGTACTATAAAATTAAAAGAATATAAATGAAAAGCAAAATGAACGAAACGCCCAGATACCTTCATTGGGCCTAACATATCTAAACATTCAATTAAAGAAATGAACTCCATTGTCTGAAAATTTTATTTATTTTTTTAAAAGAAAAAGTATTGTTAGTCTATTCCTATATTGATTTTATGAAATAAAGTGTTTTTAGAAGTTATTTTTTTAGAATCACCAAAATTCTTATAATGGCAAACTAGCAAGAAAATAATCTTAGACCCATTACCAAAATGAATGATTGAACCAAAAGAAAATGTACTTGAAATGAATGATTCACAAATTCCTCAGATAAAAATTTAAAAAATGTATTATTTACTCAACTTTTATTTAAAATATATATGATTACGTCATTTGTTCCTCAACTGCTAAAATAAAACAAAAAGAGTTTTTTTTTTCTAATAAGTTTTTAGGTCATCATTGATAAAAAAAAAACTTTGTGAAAAGATAAGCATTATTGAGTTAGGTGTATACATGGAGCTTTCTTGGCTGGATTCGCATAAAGTGAGTGTACTCTCATTGGACTTTTCTCAAAAATAATGTTCCATTTTTTATTTTATTTTATTTACTCATCATTACCTTTAAAGTTTAATTTAAATAAAACAAAAATTACTCAATATGACTTTGAATCAATATGTTAATAATATTTTCCTTGTGTTTAAGTTTAAAAGGATTTTTTTTGAAGTTGTTTCAAAAGATAACTATTTGAATTCTATAAACAATTAATCTAATGAAGACTCAACCACATTTTCTCACTCTTCTTTTGACTTTTGCACGGGAATCTTTCCTTTTATGGAAACGATTCAGTGGTGACTTTATTAAAAAAGAAACATATATATATTCATTAATTTTCCTTTTAAGTTGCTTTTCAACTTTTATTTTATCCATCATAAACGTGTAGGTTTTGTATATGATTTTCAATCATTTTTATTTTCATATTGGTTCTTAATAAATAATTACTTGAAAATAAAAAATATTATTTTAATATGGATATGAAATATATGAATTGTTTAAAAATTGATATGGTTATTTAAACACATTATAATAAGATAAAAAAAAACCCTTCTCTTTAGATTTCATCTTAAATAAGAACAAAAATATAAAAATGATATTTTTTTATTAATAACTATGTATAAAATGTACATTTAAAGTTATATTTTTCAAACATTATATTTTATGGAAATATCATTATATACATTAATAAATTCTTCATATTTATGATGAATAATATTAAATTATTCTAAAAGTTAAAGATTAATTTTTTACATTACCAAACTAAAATATATATATTTTCTGTAATATTTCTTCTGAATTATTATTGAATCCATTTAACTCTAAACAATAAGTCTAACTATGTTATTTCTGATTATCGCTCATTTATTTCTGAATTTAATGATAATTTTTTTTAAATGACATAAAAAATCTATTTATAGAAATAATTGATTTAATATTGTTATATAAAAAAGATAAGAAAGATTGAGAAGAGAAGCGTGGTTAGCCAAAAATAAAAGGATTACTCATTGGTTGGTTGGTGCAACGGTGGTAAGAACCAATGAGAGAAGGGCACGTGTAGAAATCTGAAAGCATGGGGCCCACCTCCTAGAGATCCTGAAAATGCTACAATTATTTTGGGAAGACACCGAATGAGAAAAGGACGTGAGTTATGTTGTAACCGCATGTGGGACCCACCGCATCAACTTGCTGTTTCGTGTCATTTACCACCCATACATCTCAACCGTTGCTTTGGCGCCGTATCTCCTTTTATTTATTATTTTTCTTTTCAATCAAATCAATTTTTACAATAAAATACTAATATATTTTAACTAATATAAATTAATTAAAATAATAAGAAATTATTTAATTACCTTGTTCATCCTTATTTATATCATAATTTAAACCAATTAACCCCATTTAAGAAAATCTTAATTAAAAATTATCAATATTCCAGAATCATATTTGTTGTATTTTAGGTTCAAATAATTGGGTGAGATTTGATACTCGTAAATTTTTTTATATTTTTTGAAAGAGAAAAATTATGCCATTCGTTTTAAATATTTAATGAATTTTTAACAAAAATATGTCAAATAATTAAGAAATTTTGTGGGGGAAAAAATTAACGCACCATTAAAAAATCTTACATTTTTATTTCTCTTTTAATGAAGATGAATTTTAATTGAAAATTGTATTAAAAATTCAAAGATATTGTGAGAGTACATTATTGAAGATTTCATTGAATTGATTCTATTTTAGATTTATTGATTAATACCCAAAGTCACTTGTTAATATTTGTTGCTTTTTATTATCGTGATGTTAACAAACAAATTTTTTGAGTAAGAAATGTTATTAAGTTTGGTTCTGTTTACGACGGAAAAGTTTCTTAGCAGTGTATACTACTCTTTTATGCTTCCAGTTCTGATGAAACAAAAATGGTTAAATAGTGAGGAGATTTATACATAAGATTCTAAGTTTTAGTCTTATTGATATTGTATGAAAAAAAAAATACACAATATTTGTTATGAAATATTTGGTTAAAAAATATCAACCGAGTCTAGCTAGTCCTAGACCTAGTTCAGAAAATGACCAATTAAAATGTCAAGTCAAGTTTAGACCAATTGAATAGGTCTTAATTTGTATTAATTTTTATTATATTTTAATGATGGTCAAAGTAACGTTAAATTAAGTAAGAAAGCCAGAATTTAATGTAACCAATTATCATTATATATTTTGGAGGGGAAAATTTAGTTTAAAGGTCTTATTAAAATGCGTGAATTGAAGATGGCTGTTAAAAAAAGCAAAAGGAAAATATTGAATGAAATTATCAGATTAATGCATTAAAACATTAATAGTTAAAAAAGAAATCATATTAAGAAAATTAAAATTAGGTTTAGAAATAAATAAAAGAGTTGGCTTAATGTGTTTGATGGTATAAATAAAAAAAAAAAATTGAAGAATTGATCTTAGCTTAATGGCATTGACTAGTGCGTAGCAGGTGGCTCTTCCATCATTTATGATGAGCTGCCAATACTCATTTCTTGTCGCAATTCCAACCGATGGAAGGAAAGAAAATTCAAAATCATAAAATTATTAAATGAATAAACACATCTATGAATGTTGCAAAATGCACACAACTGATTGTGTGCATTATATAGGAAGAGAGAACTCTCTTTCTCGCTATAGTTGCAGACACAGTCCCCACAATCACATTATATCCAATCACTGCTCAACAACACCAACTTGATCACTTTATTTTAGGGTGCTTTCTCTTTGTCAAAAAAATCTTGGAATTTTGTTTAAATTCATTTCTTCTAGCTTGGTCACTTGCTTTTCAGCTTCCACATCACAGCTCTTCCTTGCTTGGGGATCCTATAATTATTTTTTTTCCCCCAGTTGCTTTGTTTATTATTATTTCTTCTCCTTTCCTTGTTGCACAGACAAGGAAAAAGGGAGAAAGAACAGTTTTTTTTTTTTTTTTTAATTTTTTTTAATTGAATAAGTATTTCTATGCCCTCTGTTGCTCTCATAAAACTATCTTGACTCTTTTCTGTTGTTTCCTAATTGGGTTAACACTCATCGCATTCATTGTGTTTGCCTTCTCCATTTGCTTTTCCATTTTTTGTTCTCGCTTAAAGTTCCATTTTTTATTTCTGGGTTATATTGCTTTCTGTGATTCTGTCTCAGTTCGTTCTGTTTGGTATCTGAGAGAGAAGTTCATTGGGTTTGCAGGGTTATCTTGGTAGAATTTAGAACAATTGGGTAACGGATAATAGTTTTCGTTCATCATCAATTTGGAGCATTTCTCTCGGATTTTTTGATTTTTTTTTTATCAAGTGGGTCTTCTCTAGATTCCTGAGGAGTCTCATACTCTTAGAGAAAGGTATTCTGATTCCCTTCAAAAATGCTTGTGGGTTTATCCTATTGTTCTGGTAAAACTTCCACTTCTGTTTTCATTTCTCTTTGCCTTATCTTCCTCAGTTTTCACTTTTCACCAAGCAAGTTTCAGTTTTCCTGTTAATAAGCTCAAATTTGATTGTATGAACTTGTAAACTGAACTGATGAAGTGGGAAACTATAATCCTTTCTCCTACACCTTCTTCTCCAAACTCCAACACCAATTGGTTGGTTGAAAATAATAGGAGCACAAAATGGACCCCTGAAGAGAACAAACTCTTTGAAAATGCTCTTGCAGTACATGATAAGGACACCCCAGATCGGTGGCACAAAGTGGCTGAAATGATTCCAGGAAAGACTGTGGTTGACGTGATCAGGCAGTACAAGGAACTAGAAGTTGATGTTAGCAATATAGAAGCTGGGTTGATTCCAGTTCCTGGCTATAGCACTGCTACCTCACCCTTCACCTTAGATTGGGTGAACACTCCTGGTTATGATGGGTTCAAAGGAAGTGGAAAGAGATCATCCTCAGTGAGACCTCATGAGCAGGAGAGGAAGAAAGGAGTGCCTTGGACTGAAGAGGAACATAAGTAAATTTTTACCATTTGCATTTGTTTTTACACATTGTTTTTTCTATTATTCACATATGGTGCTAACTTTACATATAGATTTTAATATATGATATCATTATCATTTGGAAATGTATATCTGTTTCAAAGCATGGGTGATTGTGTGAAAAGCTAGAATTGAAAGTTAATTAATGCCGGAGGTGTTGGGACAAGAATTCTGTGTAGATATTAAAGAGTTAGATTTTTTTTTTTTCCAATTCATAGCTATGTCTTTTAGGGGAGTTTGTTAGGTAAAAGAAGTTGCGTTCTTTACTTTCAGTCTTGGAGTTCAAACATCCCCTTTGATGTTCCCTGCAGATTGTTTCTACTGGGTCTGAAGAAGTATGGGAAAGGTGATTGGAGAAATATTTCTCGCAATTTTGTGATCACTAGAACCCCAACACAGGTGGCTAGCCATGCTCAGAAATACTTCATAAGGCAACTTTCAGGAGGCAAAGACAAGAGAAGGGCTAGCATACATGACATAACAACAGTGAATCTCACTGAAACCACCACAACTTCTTCAGAAGACACCAACAGATCCACTTCATCACATGTGCTTTCACAGCAGCAGCCAAATTCTACTCCAACTACACCCAGAACTCATTTTCAGTGGAGTAATCAGTCAGCCACAGGAATAGCTATGACTTTCAACCCTGCTCATGAAAGAGTCTTCATGTCTCCTTATGGTGCTAACACCTTTGGGGTTAAAATGGAAGGACAGAATCTGCACAATGAGTCTTCTTACTTGGGACCTCAGACACAGAACATGGTTTTCCAAATGCAGCAGCCGTCACAACACTAGTCCTATGCATCATTAGCCCTTGTTGTAGTGAATTATTAATGGGTAGAACCAGAATATTCTGTCTATTTCAATAAGTACAGTGCTTGAGTTGAGTTTTTCCCCAAGTTCTATGTGAATATCCTAGAATGTTGGTTAGTTATGAACTTGAAGGAAGGTACATACATTTGTTTCTTCAGAAAATAAAAACTTCCTGCAAGGAGAGTGGCAGGCGACCAAATCCCCAACGTTGAATTTTGGTTGGTTTTTCTATGTTGTCTAAGAATAATTGATTTCGAGCCAAGTGTCTAATGGAATGTCAACTTAGAGAGGAAATAGACACTTCGCATTTGATAACTATCTAGACATATATGTATGTGGAGTATACTAATATTGGCATTGAAATCAAAGCAAAATATTATTTCAGAAATCATAATCTGAGACCTTGGCAATGGTTATTTAAAGGGTAAGATTAAGCGTGCACAAAATATTCTGCATCATAGTAGATCTACCAAACCAACCCTCCAAGCCCTGTTCAGTGAAAGACCTAAATGGCATCTCTAAACAATAACGTGATTCCATGATAAGGGTAAATTAACGTTTCTGTCAAGAAGATAATGAGGATAAATATATTTGGAGCTTGATCTCCTTTGTGTAACTTCACGAATTAGATGGTGATATCGTGATTTGTTTTAATAGACAAGGAGTTCATTAATGGGATTGGTAAGAAAAATTATTACTAGAAGAAGCCACTATTAGTATGAGACAAAAGTAGTTCAGTTCAATTCAATTTGATTTGCAGATATGATAGCACCCAAAAGATTGTTTCAACATTAAACAAAACCATACAACTTTGAAATTCTTTTACCAAGATCGATCTGAGATTATATTTAAGGCCTGACATTGCACCTAATTTTTATGTATGAAAGAATTGGACGACCTACTTGTGTTTCTCATTCTCTCTTTTAATCTAATTGGTTTGACAGTAACATAATGTGCATGCACTAATTCAAGCATCACGTACTTAAAGTCCTGTTTAGTTTGGTAATTCTTGATAATTTATTAAATCCTTCTTAAGAATCGTACAGGAAGAGGAAGATTCCTTCCAGGTGGAGTATTAATTATTTAATTAGAATAAATTATGGTACAAAGAGTGATTAGACAGGCAATATATTCTTAATAATGTATACACTTAATCCAAAGAAAGCATCATAGTCTTTTTGATCCTATATGTACGGTCCCTAGCCATTAAACAAACTTTAAACCTTTCACTCTTCTCTAACATCTTGGGTTGTAACAAAGAAAAAAGGTTATTGTCGAGCTCATACTGAATGCACCTGTAATGAATTCCAGTCCAGAGAAGTTAAAATCTAAAAAGCCAAGTTATTTTTTTGGGAAAAATAAAAATAAACAACTGTGTCGTAAAAAGTTCAACAACATATATTAATGTCGTGGTCAATTTCTATTTCGTGGATGATTAACCTTGTGAAAATGAAAACATTCTAAAAATTAATTATTCCATGTGCTATTGGTTCTTTTTCTGCCATCATTGTCTGTCTCATTCACTTGCACAAAGACGCGCCCACAATCTTTTCCTTGGACGGAGAATCTCTAAGCTAATTAAGTGCATCATTGATACGCAAAAAGTAGCACTAATTCTAATTAACTTATTATCAACGCACTTGATTAAAGATGCTAATCATCAATTCCTTAAAGAAGGATATTAATATTATTATTATTATTTACTATTATTATTCTCACTCTCATCTTATACATTACACCATAAATCCAATGAAAGATTCTGCATAAAAAATTTCGATTTTAACTTTAATGTTATAAATAAAACTAGTCTTTAATAAAATTAATACACCAAGAGATATATAACAGAAATATATTGTTGCATAATGAAGAATTTAAAGTATTTATTACAAGATTTTATTATTTCAAATATTTATTCAACTGAAAACGAAAAAAAATAGAAAATAACAAATTGTGAAGAATGCATGAGAGTACAAGCCAAATGGGCCAGCATGGTTTGACGAGACAAACCACCAACTTTTCTCAAAGGCATTTTGTTTTTTTTAGTGGTATTAATTGCAACCCCATATAATAACCCATAATTTCATCTTTGTTTATTGCCAAAAGTTTAGATGGAGTAAAAAAAATATTATTAAACAATCTATGGAGAAGAAAGATTTTATTAAAAATGGTCAACAAATTTTGTAGAAATTAGTCTTACAAAATCAGTAAATACTATATACCAGTAACGTGTTATTCAAACAGATAGAACACATAACTTGTAGCGGAAAATTATGAGAATGATTATCAAAACGATTCACTAAAATCATCACTTTTAACATTTACCTTCACTCAAAGCCATAGAGATCATTTAGAACGTGTGGTTATTTCCGTTTTTATTTTCATACAAAATCAGTTTTATAGTAATTGTGTTTGTTTAAGATATTGAAAAAAAAAAAGAATGTACAAAAATACATTTTAAAATAAAATGATTGTAATCATAAGAAAAAAAAGATTTGTACTTTATAATTATTTAATGTTTTAAGTAAAGACCATTTATCATTAATCATTTTTTACTATGAATCACATTTTGAATTCAATTTTAAGTACTTTAGATAAATAATATTTTAATCAACTTCAGGAGATTTTGAAAATAAAAATAAAAATTGTGCTTTTCATTATTTTGTGCTTTCATATTCTTTTCTTCTTCTACATATTTTATGTATCTAATTATATATAAGAATATGACTCTCCTTTATTAGATTCAAGTGAATGAGAATTGCCCTGAAATTTCTTTAGGTGAATCAAATTCAAAGCAAACATTGCAACCAATGCTGAAGTCCTCTGCAAATGGAATTATTAATCAGAAATCATGTCTAGAGGTTGCAAGAAAAGTGGGTATAACTCAATGGTGTTTTGATTGGCCCATAATCTATGAATGTATAAGAGTGGGGCTTAAGTAGCAAAAGGATGATAGTGAGTGCATCATATCTCATTGGGTGATGCAGTTGTCTCCCAGAGTTTTCACACCAATGGGAATAAAGCAGAATATAGGCAACAAGGTTATCAATTTAGGCATTTATGGAGAAATAGAAACGGTGAAGGACATGAGACACAAAATAAGAATCGAATACATGATTCAATTATGGCCATCCTCAAAGCTCATTTGTGCAAATGCCATGGACATATAAATTACAATATGGTAACTGATCATATCATACTTGCATGGATGTTTCATGGCAGAATAAGAAAAGATTGGTGCAACATTGTTCATAAACTCCTTCTGTTGAATCTCTGAGCAAGTCTTTAGTCATGTAAATTCTCTTTATCATATGTTAGTCCATAACCAAGAGGGAACAAGGGGTCACATGAACCAACTCCAACAACTGGTTGATCAAGCTGTTCAACTCTTCTGAACCAAGTCATTGGTAGTTGACCTTTGAAGTCATGATCTCCAAATATAACATCTGTGATTCCCTGTCCTTCAGTACCTGGCAACCATGCAGCAACAAGAGCATCTATCTTTTCCAATAGACACTGTTCTAAGAGCAAAGGTCTACCAGATATCAGAATCACAAGTGTGGGGATTTTATCAGCAACTTTTTTCATAATTCCATCACCATTAAATGAGATAACAAGGTCTGGGTTGTCACCTCCACACTCAGCATAGGGACCTTCTGTTAGTATCAGAGTACCAGCACAAATACACACAACTAAAATAGAGACTAGAAAAATAACACTGACAATAGGCAAAAATTGAAATTTTTATAATGACTACCCTTTCCTTTACAATTGGAGATTACCAATACTCGGAAAGTAAAAGAGAAAGAAGGAGAAATTTTGGGATGTGGAAATAAGGAGGGAGGGGCTCCTTTTATAAGAAGGAGGAGAGCCCCCAATTGAAGTTCCCACCGATGTGGGACTTCTTTCTTCACAATCTCCCACTTGAAGATTTTGATGAAATTAATCAAATCTTCACACTATGTCTTCTTCTCTCACATCCATGTTGCTTATGCTTTCGATAGGCCATAGAGGGATCGATTCCGTAAACTTGTCAGCATTAACCGGCTTTGTCATTACATCTGCTAGGTTCTTCTCAGTGTGGATCTTCTGTAAATCTACACTTCCTTCTTCTACTACTTCTCGAACAAAATGATATCTTATTCCTATGTGTTTTGTCCTCGAATGAAAGGCTGGATTCCTTGCAATGTGTAAGGCACTTTGACTATCACGATACACAACAATTTGTTGTTGCTTGTGACCAAGTTCCCCCATTATTCTTTTAATCCAAATAGCTTCTTTACATGCTTGGGTGACAGCCATGTATTCAGCTTCCAGTAGTAGACAGAGCTACCACATCTTGTAACTTGGATAACCAACTTATCGCCCCTCCATTGATGGTAAACACATAACCGATAGTAGACTTCCTTTTATCCGGATCACTCGCAAAATCCGAATCAACATAACCTCTAACAACCGCTTCGATCCTCCATAACATAATGTAACATTTGAGGTTCCTTTTATATACCTAAGGATCCTCTTCACATTTTGCCAATGCTCTCCACCAGGATTCCCCATGAATCTACTAACCACTCCCACTGCTTGTGCAATGTCCGGTCTTGTACAAATCATGGCATACATAAGACTTCCCATCTGTCGATGCATACGATACTCGAGACATTTCAATCCTTTCCGCTTCATTGCTAGGACTCATACTTGAGGATAACTTATAGTTGACAGGAAGTGGGGTAGAAATTGGCTTGCAATCTTGCATGTTGAAGCGCCGCAAGATCTTAAGTAAATAATTCTTTTGAGAAAGCCAAATCTTCCTATCTTTTCTGTCTCGGTGAATTTGCATCCCTAAAATCTTGTTTGCTGGTCCCAAGTCCTTCATATCAAACTCCCTAGCCAATTGTGCCTTCAATTCTTGGATTCGAGCTTTGTTAGGGCCTACCACCAACATGTCATCCACATACAACGACAATATGATGAAATCATTTTCTTCAAACCTATTGTGGTAAGTACAATGGTCCGAACTTAGTCACGTAGTATCCGAGGCTAATAATGAAGGAATCAAATCTCTTATACCAACACCTTGGCGCCTGCTTTAGACCAGTATAGAGATTTGTTCAACTCCGCAAACCAAGTTTTCTTGCTCTTTGAAGCCTTCGGTTGGAGCATATATATTTCCTCTTCAAGTTCTCCACGAAGAAAAGCAGTTTTACATCCAATTGCTCAAGATGTAAATCAAATGCGAGCACACATCGCCAGGACAATTCGATTGTTGTCAATCTAACAAGCTGGTGAGAATATCTCGTTGAAATCAATGCCTTCTTTACGAGCATATCCTTTTACCACCGAGTCTAGCACGATATCTTTCCACTTGATCATTGGCATCTCTCTTGATCTTATAGACCCATTTGCAACCAATGGCTCTGCGACCTTTTGGAAGTTCCACAAGATGCCATGTCTTGTTTTTATAAAGAGCTTCAATTTCTTCTTCCATAGCGACCATCCATAGAGGAGCTTCGAACCACTCACGGCCTCTTGAAAAGTTGAAGGTTCTCCTTCTTCACTTAGGAGACAATACGCATCATGACTTGCCATCACATATTGTGAATGCCAAGATGGTCCGACTCTTTCTCTTGTTGATCGTCGGAGTTCTCCTTCTTCCACCTCATTTGGCTCATGTTCTTCATGCTCCTCCTCCGACTCGGAGGAATGTTCGAAGTCTTCTTCTCTATCCGTACTATAGTCTTGTCCTTTTCCGAGTCGTCATTTATCCGCTTGCTTTGCAGTTCATTTTCCGCAAAGACGACATCTCTGCTAACAATAACTTTGTGGGCGGTGGGATCCCACAATCGATACCCCTTCACACTCGTCGGCATATCCCAAGAAGATGCATTTCCTGGATTTTGGATCCAACTTCGTCCTTTCTTGGGTGTTGTACATCACGTACGCGGGACAACCGAACACATGTAAGGAAGAATAATCGGTTGATTTTCCACTCCACATTTCCATAGGAGTTTTCAACCCAATTCGTTGTTGATGGAGACCGATTTATCAAGTAACGAGCAGTATTCACGGCTTCGCCCAAAAGACTTTGTTATGCCTGCAGGTTTGCGGCATAGCTCCGGTTCTCTCTAGAAGAGTTCTATTCATCCGCTCTGCTACACCATTCTCGCTGAGGCGTGTGTGGAACGAAAATTGTCTCACAATTCCTTCTTGCTTGCAGAATGCTAGAAAATCTCCATCTACATATTCTCCTCCATTGTACGTCCTCAAACACTTGATTCTCCTTCCGGTCTCAAGTTCTACTTGTGCTTTGAAGTCTTTGAATCGCGCAAATACTTCGAGACTTCTTCTTGATAGGGTATACCCATAATCTCCTCGAGTAGTCATCGATGAACGACACAAAATATTTTGCTCCTCGAGAGATAATTCGGCGATTCCCGGACATCGGAATGGATCAAGTCCAAAGTTTGCTTACTCCTTGTGGTGGTTCTTGCAAACTTCAACTCGTGTTGTTTGCTTGTCACACAATGCTCACGAAGGGTAAATCGACCTTCTTGAGCCCAGGTATGAGATCACGTTCCGCAAGAATCTGCAGACCTCGCTCGACATATGTCCAAGTCTACGGTGCCACGTTACCGCCACTTCTTCTTGGCTTGTTGACGCAGTTGTTGCATGATTTTCTTGCAAGGTGTCTCCCATAAGCACATACAAGTTTGCCATGATTTTCTCTGCTTTCATGACAACTATGTTTCCCCTCACTGCCTTTAAGATTCCTCCTTCAACATGGATCTTGCAGCCGAGGTCATCCAATTGCCCTATAGACAATATATTTTTCTTCAAGTCCTTCACATGTCGTACTTCTTGGATTGTACGAATAGTACCGATCATACATTTTTAATTTGACGAGTACCAACTCCGAGCAATCTCTAATGCATGGTCATTTCCCATGAACACGGATCCACTCGAGATAGACTCGTAGGTTTGAAACCAATCTCGGTGTGGGGTCATGTGCCAAGTTGCACCTGAATCCATTATCCACTTGTCATGAAATTCGTTTCCGCTATTAGAGCTGATTGCTGCTTCGCTTACTAGAATTACTCCTTCCTCTGAAGTACTCGCAACGCAACCCTGTGAGGTTGATTCTTCATTCTTTCTCTTCCAACACTCTTTCTTCGTGTGCCCTTTCTTGCCACAGTAGTAGCATTTAAATTTGAAAGTCTTCTTGTTTCGAGAGCTCGATCTGCCATGATCTTGACTCCCACTTGAGCCATGTTCCCTTGATCTTCCTCTCATCATTGTCAAAACTTCTGCTTGTTTAGAACTTTCTACCTTATTCATTCGCCTGGATTCTTCTTCTAGAATAGCTCCAGCAACATCGTCAAAGTGTAGTTGTCCTTCAATATTATTATTTGTAATGTTGATGATGAGTTGATCATACGAGTCTGGCAAGCTCTGAAGTAAAAGCTCTGCACGCTCATTCTCAATTATGTTGAAATTTGCTGCTGCTAATTGGGCAAACAAGGTGTTCAGTTGGTTGATGTGGTCCGTCACCGATGTGGACTCACTCATCCGAAGAGTATAGAGTTTCCTCTTCAGGAATATCCTTGTGTGAAGTGACTTCACCTCATATAATTTAATGAGGGCATCCCAAATCTCCTTTGCAGAATCTTTCTCCGCAACACTGGATAGAACTGAGTCTGCCATTGCCAAGTGTAAATTTGCAATAGCGTTGCTATCAATTTTCTTCCAATCTTTATCCGCCATTTCTACAGGTTTTCCCTCAATTGCTTCTGCGCAATTGTCCTTTCTCAAGATTGCCTTCATCTTCAATTTCCACAACGAGAAATTGTTCCCATTGAACTTCTCTATCTTGTACTTTGCTGCCATGGTTGTGTTTCCACTTATGCAACTTTCACTTATGAATAGTATTGTCTCATCGGAACAATAGTAGTAGGCACGTGAACCGAGTACACTAGGTAAGTTCCCAGGAAAGAGAGGTGAGTCACTAATGGACACACTTAAGTACCAAGTCTTTCCTAGCCAGAACTTCCCCAGACAACAGTTTCACACTACTACACCTTTTCCAGTAACAACTCTTTTCTGATGTGGAAGATCAGATTAAACCGCAACCACAGAGCATACTCAGAATTTTACCAACACTATCCTAGTGACTAGCGCAACGGAATAAGAACGTGGCTCTGATACCACTGTTAGTATCAGAGTACCAGCACAAATACACACAACTAAAATAGAGACTAGAAAAATAACACTGACAATAGGCAAAAATTGAAATTTTTATAATGACTACCCTTTCCTTTACAATTGGAGATTACCAATACTCGGAAAGTAAAAGAGAAAGAAGGAGAAATTTTGGGATGTGGAAATAAGGAGGGAGGGGCTCCTTTTATAAGAAGGAGGAGAGCCCCCAATTGAAGTTCCCACCGATGTGGGACTTCTTTCTTCACACCTTCTCCAACCACAACAATGGCGAAAGAAACTTCGTCACATTCTACGGTGTCTGTTGATGGACATTGCTCATAAATAACTTCTGTTTCATTCCCTACAGTTTCCTTAACTGCATCCAAGATAGTTGTGCCTGAAATTGCAGTCATATAAGAGACCCAGCAACCATCCACAGCCAGATAATGTGACAAAGGAAAGGCAATTGTATAAATAAGGAAAAATTTGAAGAAACTTGGGCTTACCTATTGTGATTCGACCACTAGATCCATACTTCGTACCTGTCCATCCACCACATTGATACCCAATATCATCAGCATGAGTTCCAGCAACAAGGATTCTCTTGGCGTTCTTTTTCAATGGAAGAAAGGGTTTACAAGTATCCTTTCCATTTTTCAACAGAACCAAGGACTTTCGAACTGCTTCACGAGCGAGATCTCTATGTAGCTGTAGAAACAATTATATGGTATAGCATAATCTACCAATTACATTGATTTCACATATATAATCAATTGATAGAAGAGTATAAAAACGTTAACATTTTGGCAAGAACATAATTTTTATTTTTACTTCAAAAAGGAGCAATAGTGATACCAATTCTGATTAGTTAGGATAATTTTTCCCTTGTACAACAGTCTAATTTGCAACATTTTAGCATGAGTGATGCTAACAAAGCACTGCTCTTAATTACTTGAAACAGAGAATATCACATTCTCTTTGGAATTTGGATAACCCATATTTTTTCCTTATGCTTTGACCTTGGGGCCCTCTAGCAATTCCTTTCTCTTGTATTACATATAGAAATTTTTATCCACTCATTCTTGCTCGCTCTATACTTTAGTATGCAAAACACAAAAGAAAGTCTACTAAAGATCATTTGTCATATGTATTCTTCAAACTATTGTTGAGACACTGAGATGGTGGTGAAAGTTGAAAATAATTCAGCTTAATCAGACTCGGATGCATGTTAAATTATTCAAATAAGACTATGTGAATGTAGCCTAAATACTTGAAAAAAAATTCTGTGTGAGCTGAATTTGCTTACCTTACAACCCAACTACTTCTAGCAAAGATCTGTCTGTGAAAGGAAACTCAAAAAGTTCAGTAGCAAACTTCACTCTCAAAATGCGCGCTACAGCATCATCAATTCTGGCTATTGGTATTTCCCCTGATTGAACTAGAGACATCAACTCTTCTATAAATATTTCATATTTGAAAGGAACCATCACCTGCATATTTAATTGTACTTTTAAAAAGGGAATCAAGCGATCTACGCTATTTTTCTATGGGAGCTGAAGATCTTTACCATGTCAATTCCAGAATTAATGGCAGTGGAGATGCAACATCGATAATCTGATCCATAGGGTTCACATATTTCATCAATTCCCTCCCAGTCAGAAATCACAAATCCCTACAATGGAGCATATGTCTGTATACAATGCTTTACTTGAATTCCCAGATAAAAGAAAATGCAAAACAGCTTCAATCATGCTTTGTAGTATCTTATTACATTTCACCCTGAATTAAGGATTACAAGTGAAATTCTCCTCTCTTGAACAAAGAAAAAATGTTCAAATGATTTGGCATGTATTTTCTTCATATAGAAATAACTAATAAGATACTGGAAAACGATAAATGAACATCGCTACAAGGCAGTTTGATTAATTTAATCATTGACTAAAATATCTACCTTGAAGCCTAGCTTTTCTTTCAAAATTTCAGTTAGTAGAAAATGGTGACCATGGAGTTTGTTCCCATTCCAGCTTGAATATGAGACCATAACGGTAGAAACTCCCTTAGCTATACAGTCCACATAAGGGGCCATGTGGATCCTCTCCAATTCTTCATATGATAGTATGGTATTGCCCTCGCATACACCTTTCACTGTACCTCCATCTCCAACAAAATGCTTGGCACAGGCAATAACATTAATCCTGAAGTACCAATTAGATGTTTGGAAGTGGTTTTGATGAAGATATATGGATCCTAACATAGTATTGATTTTCAAGAATGATAGTTATGGTCAGAAACAAACATTTGGTCAACTTACAAAAATATTAACAAATTTCATAGTTTAAAATAACCAGTGTGAAACATTTTACAGCAGAACTGATTGTGGTAGCATAGAAGGTAAAATACATCCTCGAGAAACATCTTGTCTCTTTCTTTTCTTCTTTTTTTCTTTCTCAAGTGAATTCAGAATCTAGGCAAAATGATCCAGAAAATAAATAAAAACATGATAACAAAAGAAAAGATTAAGTTTTGTCCTCCTGCAGGAAATTCTCTATAAATTGTTATTAAATGGCAACAGTTTGCAAACTATATGCAATGGAAGTTATATTGGTTGCTTCTCTCTACCTCCCAGCCACAAATGGGTAGCCCCTTGAATATCTTTCTGGAGGATGGCCCTGCAAGCCTAAAACAACAGAAGTCATCTTTCTGACTATCTCAGTGTTTTCGCTGTAGCTCTCGTAGCATCTTCCCCATCTGGGATCTTTGCATACCTGTCAGTTCACCTATGCAAGTGAGTCGCACATTTTCATTTCATCTATTTGTTTAGAACAAATCTTACGAGGCATAGATTAAGCATAAAAGAGACACAACATAATATCTTAATTATCCCCGAAGTTTTTAAGATATGAAATGTAAGTATGTGTATGGTTTAGTAGAAAGAAGAAACATTAGAGAGAGAGCTTTTTGTGTGAATGTTTTAGTATCAATGTACACTTCTACTGATATTTATGTATTATTTATAAAGCCTAAAGGTAAAGAGACAGTGTAAAACAACAGAGAACAAGAATACAAATGTAGGACCATGTTATGACCCTCTTATAAGATCTTTTTAGCCTATTTTGAAAAGCTTATCAAAATCAGCTTATTTCAAGGATCAACTTTTGTACGGATGCATTCTAGCTATCTCCAGAGTTATGGAGTATTGCCCCTGTCATGCTCTCAAGTTCCAAGACTAGAGCAGTAAAAGATACATATTAGCACTAACCAATCTCAGAATTCCATTAATTGAATGAAACAACTTTCAGCGAATAATGAATATGATTTGTTTTTGTTTTCAGGGTTGTTGTACAGTCACACTACACACTAAACCTGTAAGAACATCTTTTCATTTGTGTTTCCTTTGTTATCCATTTGAATTTCAACTGATTGTCAATAACTGCAAAATTCCCGTGCTTTACACCTTTCTGGAAGGTATAATAATATTCTTTTCTACAGAATGAGATAGGATGCATGCAACTTCCATAGTAGCAACCAGATGAGAAATCTACCACACAAATTTGATGTTCAGAGTTTCTTTATTTCTCTAGCAATTAAATTGTTTTGTTTCTTTTCAAGTGAACGTTATTAATTATGCACAACATACTAAGAAATAAGTTTCAACTGTTAGTGAAATGCCACATAACATAACTCAACAGACACAGTTGTAATTTATCAGCATAAATAATTCAGAAGTTGGCTGTGATGCCTTACTGCCACACAAGGAGCAAAAGTATAGTGAATTCCACTTGCTCTAAGTTCAAGAGATGTTGCAGCTCCAATTCTCTGAACTAGATCAGCATCTCTGTAAGTACACCATGAATGAAAAATCAAATCTTGTTTAAGATAAAAGCAAGAACGGTTTGTCAAGACAAACACAATTTTACTTGAGCATAAGGAGCAATCTCTGGTCAAATCAGCAGATGACTTGCTCTAAAAAATCAAGAACATAAGGAATTTCTGGAATGTTTCAAATAAAATGCATATAACCAACCCCTCGACTTTCCATTCTTGTCATCATTGAAACCTCTCAGTAACTACTTGTTATTCATTTGGCGTATTTATATTTTGAAAATTTCGGAACCAAGCAGGAACTTTTCCACAATAAAGCCTAAATTGGTATTCAAAAAATTATCATGTCAATGCATTGGAATGGTTCTTTAAAAGTTCTTGCCAGTTGTCACCAAATTAGTACCTAAAAACTCTTTAAAGTACCTACATTGGTAGGAACTATTATGTATGTTTCATAGAAAAATTAGAAGATCAATCTTAAGACTTTTATTCTTTTTCCTACTAGCAAATCAAAGTAAATTGGAAAATTCAGGCGTGGATAATTGGCTAAAATCTGAAAGATGCAAGGTCAAATCAATTAATCACACAACACACTAGGGTCGGTCTAGTCCCAGATAGGGTGGATAATGTGTGAAATCATTAATCTAACTTCAGTGTGAGCACTGTACACCATAAAAAAAAAAAAAAATCAATGAATCACAACAAAGTGAACCAATCCTCACCCCAGAAAATAAAAGAAGTAAAACAAAATGCATACCAACCTGGTAGCTCCAAGGCCAACATTGTGAGGGAATATAGTAGCACCATAAACATTATTATTACCATGAACAGCATCAATCCCATAAATGATTGGTACGCCTAACCGTGATTCAAGTGCCAACTTCTGAAACCCATCCACCATATCAGCCCAATCGGATGACAGTGCCTTGTCAAAAGGTCCATTCACTCCATTGTGTGGAGCACTGAATACACTCCCTTTGCTCAAACCAAAAAACACAAAAATCACCAAAATGAAGGTAATAAATGAAAGCATATGCAGAGAATTCAACTAATAAAAAACAGACTCTATTTCACTCCAGGTGACCAACTTCCATGATTCAGTCAAAACACACTCATAACACAAATTTTATATATAAATGTATGAATGCTTGTATATATGGTTGTATTTACCTATTGAAAAGTGTTTGATGGCAGAAGGGGTAGCAACTGAGCGTTCAATTTGAGTCATCTGACCAATCTTCTCCTTCAATGTCATGAGAGAAAGAAGGTGTTTCACACGCGCTTCAATGGGTTCATGGGGATTCATGTAGACGCAATCCATGTAAAGTAATGTAACTCCCAAACTGCTTCTCTACTCTCCTCTGTCAGACAGAGTTGACCTCCAAATGAAACCTTACAAACTTTTGCAATAAGCCAACTCCATTGCTAAACCAAAGCTTTCTTCTTCTCTTTAGTTTTTTAATATGAGATTTATAATTTATACCCTTTCACTTTTTTAAACATCGATAATGATAATTAATTGATAGTTCTAACACCAGTGCTTCAATTATACACCAAAGTTTTAATTAATAATTACCTCTGAACTCTTTCTTAATCAATGGTTTACACGATTTGTATTATTCGTACCATCATCTTCAACATTATTAGTATTGTATTTTCTTAAATATGCATACATTAGTTTTGATATACATGAACAAGTATCAAATAGTAACATTATCAGATAATCAGTATTGCAATTGTAAAAATTAAAATTAAAAAAAGACTCATAACTTTCTCTTTTTAAACCATTTGTATGAAATCCTTTATTATTATTATTATTATTATTATTATTATTATTATTATTATTATTATTATTATTATTATGAAAGTGTTTTTTTTTATCGATTTAACCTTTTAATTATATTTATATGTTATCTTAATTAATTGTGATAGCATTCTGCAGAACTATGGTATTAGTCCTGAACACTTTTTAATTATATATATAGATTGTATTGATTTTTTTATATTTTCAAAAATCTTTTTATTATCACAACTACAAAAATCTTTAATAATACTCATTCAATATGATTAAGAATTAGTATAAAAAATTTGTTAGAACCAAAATTTGGACTGGATCAACATACAATGTTTTAAACAATATAAAAACAAAAAATTATTTTCTGTACAGTACACAAAACATATCTTCTATTTTTTTTCATTAAAAATTTGAAATTAATATAATCCTAAATAATTTTTAAGATAAGAAATAATATTATATTTATCTTAAACCTAAAAAAATCATGTATTTTATGTATTACTAATAAATCATATTTAAATATATTACACCTACATTCTTATGTCTTTTTAACTTCAAATATAAAGAATTAAAAGAAATAAATAAATTTATCCTTTTATAAGAGAAAATAAAATAGAAATATACAAAATATTAACGGTTACGAAACAAATAAATAAAATGAAAATAAAAAATATTGACTTTAGGAGACAAATAAATAAATGGTAACAGTGATTTGAATGTGATATATAATATAGATACAATGATACAAGTATTTTCTATGGGTCTTACTTTCTAGGTTTACATCGTGAACATGGTAGCATATGTGCAATGCAACTAATAGAATAATGTTACAAATTTCTATGGAATCATGAACAATATCCATGCACTAAAATTGATTACTCTATATGAAATTCTGTTAATTTTCTTCAATTTCAAACTCTAATCAATGACTAATGGAGCTTCACTTTCTTTGGTCAAACTAATTTTCAATCCACACAATATCAAGCCTTAACACTTTTTAAGGTGCACCACTTTAGAATCTCCTACAAGGCCTTCATTTGATTATTTGCTAGTAATTATTGATTCAAGGACCTTGGTTGGCAAGTCCTTAATATCATCATCATAATATTTGGTTGCCCGCTTTAACCATCCTACTTCTTTTGAACTATCATTTGAATTATCATGATTTGGTGTACCAATATACTCATGTTGGAGTTCTTTCTTCATGATCTTTCACATGTTCTATATTTCTTACCTTATCACTTTCTTCTACAGGATCAAATATAACCATGGTTTCATTATTGTTTAACTCCTGATCAATAATTTCATTCTTCTTCATCTTATCACATTCTCCTTTTGTGTTTTCATAATTGGTTACTTCAACATCTTCCATGTGTTCTATGTTTCTTACTTGATCATTTTCTTCTGTAGTTTCAGTCATAACTATGATTCCATTCTTGTCTAATTCTTGGTCAGTGACTTCATTCTTGTTTGATTCTTGGTCAATGATTTCATTCTTATTTGATTCTTGGTCCATGGCTTCATTCTTGTGTAATTCTTGGTTAATGACTTCTTTTTGGTCTAATTCTTGGTTAGTGGCTTCATTCTTCCTTATCTTATCATGTTCTCCTTTAGTATCTTTAACATTAGATACTTCAAAATCTTCCATTTGTGCTATGTTTCTTACCTTGTCACTGTCTCCCATAGGTTCAAACATAACCATGGTTTCATTCTTGTTCAATTCATGATCAGGGACTTCATTCTTGTTCATTTTGTCGCATTCTCCCTTTGTGTCATCATAATTGGTTACTTCAAGATCCTTCATGTTGGTCATGTTTTTTTCCTGGTGACTTTCTATCGTAGGTTCAAACATATTTGTGGTTTGATTATTGTTCAATTCCTGATAAGTTCCTTCATTCTTGTTCATCTTGTCATGTTTTCCCTCAATGTCTTCATAACTTGTTCTTTCAAGATCTTTCATGTTTGTTACATTTTTTTTCTCATGACTTTCTATTATAGGTTCAAATGTAATCATAGTTTCATTGTTGTTCACTTCTTGATAAGTGACTTCATTCTTGTTCATCTTGTCACCTCCTCCCACTATGTTTTCAAAATTTGTTACTTCAAGATTTTCCATATTTGTTATGTGTTTTTTCTGATCACTTTCTTCTGTAGGTTCATGTATAACCACAGTTTCATTATTGTTTAATTCATCGCAAGTGACTCCATTATTGTTAATTTTGTCATATTCTCCCTCGGTGTCTTCATAATTTGATCTTTCAAGATCCTTTATGTTTGTCACATTTTTTTTCTTATGAATTTCTATTGTAGGTTCAGATATAATCATGATTTCATTATTGTTCACTTCCTGATAAGTGGCTTCATTCATGTTGATCTTGTCACCTTCTCCCTCTATGATTTCAGAATTTGTTACTCCAAGATCCTTCATGTTTGTTATGTTTTTTTTCTGGTCACTTCCTTTTGTAGGTTCAAGTATAACCACAATTTCCTTATTGTTCAATTCATCGTAAGTGACTCCATTATTGTTAATTTTGTCATGTTCTCCATCTGGGTCTTCATAATTTGTTACCTCAAAATCCTTCATGTTTGCTATGGTTTTTGTCTGGTCACTTTCTATTGTAGATTCAAGTATAATCATGGTTTCGTTCTTGTTCAATTCCTTATTAGGGGTCTCATTCTTGTTAATCTTGTCATGTTCTCCTTTTGGGTCTTCAAAATTGGTTACTTCAAGATCGTTCATGTGTGATATGTTTATTGCTTGTTCACTTTCTCTTGCTTTTTCAAACATAGTTATGGTTTCATTCTTGTCCAATTCTAGGTCAGTGGCTTCATTCTTGGTTGTCTTGTCTTGTTCTCCTTCTGTCTCTTCAAAATTAGTTACTCTAAGATCTTCTATGGTTCTTATTTGGTCACTATTTGATGTAGGATTAGATACAACCATGGTTTTCTTCATGTTCAATTCTTGATCAGTGGCTTCATTCTTGTTCTTCCTGTCATGTTCTCCTTCTCTATCTTCATAATTTGTTTCTTCAAGATCTTTCATGTGTGATATGTTTTCTTCTGAATTGTTTACTCTTGTAGATTTAGATATAACAACAATATCATTCTTATTCAACTCTTTGTCAATGACTTCGTTCTTATTCATCTTATCACATTCTCCTTCCATATCTTGAAAATTGGTTACTTCAATTGTACTTGGTGATGGATAGTTTTTAAAGGTACCACCTTTACCCAAGTTGCCATTCTTCGTATGATCTTCAGAGGTACTATGTTTTCTTTCATAATCTTCATCAGAACTCGTGGTTATTGTTTCAACACTGATACATGATTTTGTGATAGACTCTTCTCTCATACGTGCAAGGGGATTTTCTTCATCCTCTCCCGGACTTTTTAAGGATGATTCTAATATTAGAGAAATCAATGGCACCTATTCAATTTTACAAGAAAATTTACATTAGTATATTAGCTAATATACCAAAATATAAAAAGTTTAAAGATTAAAATTTACTTTGTGATCAAATATTTCTCTTGATTCCTCACTTATATCCTTGGAAGACATCATCATATTTGCTTGCCTATGGACTTCTGCCAAAGCATCTACTATAATCAAGGGAGTAAGTTTGCCTCTTGTGTCCTCATTATTCTTTAACTGATTTTCATCTTCTAGGTTACAAACTTTTGCATCTTTCATCTCACTACATATATTTGATTCTTGAATGGAGTTCTTCAGTTGATAACTCTCCTCCTAGACAAGTTAAAAACATTTTCATATGATAATTGTTATTTTTATTTGTACCAAATATATTTGAAGTAAAATAATATTAAAAACATTATCGTGTATAATAATAATAATAATATTTTTGTGTACAAGTATGTTTATATTAAAATATTTGAAGTAAAATAATAAAATAAAACTTGGTTTTATGATATGATAACATTGTACCAAAGTTATTAACATAATAGCATCATGTTCCCAGTTAGATTAAAGTTATGATATGCTAACGACTAACCATTTTTTCAATAGATGATGAATTTATACAACTAGTACCTGAGGATGTCCCAAGTCAATGTTATGTGATTCAACATTTGCATCTTTCATGGTGGGTTGAATATTTTGAGGAGTAGAGTCAATTGAACCTTCACCATTTAATATTTCTTGTGTCACATCCCGTATATTAGATTGTTGAACATCAACGTGTGTCTCTTGATTGTAAGTTGATGATGGAACTTGGTCAGCTATATTTTTTTGTGTTATTAACAATACGGACCTTGGTGAAGATGTTGAACTTGAATTGATTGAGACTTCATCATTTACTTTTTGTTGCATATCTAAATCAAATGCACTAGGTTCTTCATTACCTCTTGAGTTGTGTGTGTTATCTTGCTCAGAGGTGGTTAAGTTGTTCCCATCATTGATAATTTGTTCCTTACTTAAATTCTGTGAGACGTTGAACAATTTCTATTAAACAACAACAAAATTGAAAATGATAAAAATACAAAAATTCTTACCTAAATACCTTCCACAGAGTAAACAAGCAAAGCAAATAGTATATGTTAAATTTTTGGAACAACCAAGATAAATGATGAACAACACAAACATATTATACAACAACACCAAATTGACTCACCCTTGGTTGTTTTGAATGCATTTCATGTGGTGAATGGTTAGCACGATTATCCATCAATCGCATCAATCGCTTCCAACGTGCTGTCACAACTGAAGAATGAGAAGGTCCTATCACAAAATCTTTCACATTACCAAAGATGTTATTATGGTCACTACTCATTCCATAAGTTGGAGTATCATCAGGCATGTCAGATCTTGAAGACATTGAGCTCACATCAGCTGCATTTTCTTCATCTATGTTTTGCAGAGAAAGGGGTGAAGAAATGTCCCTCCAACTGTGTACTTCTGAGATATCTTGCTCACTTATTCTACGTACATCTCTTGAATGAATTGAGGCTCCCCACATATCTTCACTACCAGAAGTAACATCTTTATCAATATCCCCATCATATATAACGGATTCTCCATCAGTGGTTGCAGTTGCCTCATGGTTCTCATCAACTGTCAATGTAGGTGAACCAAGTTCAGAAACCTCAACTTGTAAATCAGAAGCCAAGGAACATGAAGGGGTGTGACGAATTGGATGACTAGTGAACTTAGTTTCTTGGTTCTTACCAACAGGTGGTGAAAGAGATTCATATAAAGAATCATTTATTTTAGTAGCACTAGCACTTGATATTGGTAAATTTTGATCCATCACTTGAGACTTTGGAATTATTGATTCTTTTAGCTTCTCTGAAACTTCATCAATATCAACATCTATCCTTGGAATTAAGTCTGACTCAATTTCATGGTCTGACATGGTCTTTGTTGCTTGAGCATTGTCCACCTCCTCAACCATTTTATCAATTTCACATTTTTTATCGTTTTCAAGGGTTGTTTCCTTTCCTTCCTTTGAAAGAATATAAACTTTTGACTTACATGCATTAGCTTCTTTCAATAATAATTGTTCAAGTAAATTATTACTTCCTCTACCTGCAAGAATGAGTAAGATATATTCAATTTCATCATCAAAATTTATTTCAATTTCCTTTTTTTATTTATTTTTTCCATTAAAACAAAATGAAAACGAGGATGAGGAAGAAATGAAGGTGATTATCAATATTACCTTGGAGTCTTTTGTCTCTTGGGAGTGTCATCGTGTGACCTTTGACTTCAAGGTCTTCTTGTCCAGTTTGTATTAATAAATCCTTTAATTCTAGATCAAAACTATCTCCAGTGAGATTGGGTTTCTCCTCAAAAGGATCATATGGAATATCAAATGGGCTTCTCAAAGCAGATGGAGCAGAACCAGGCATTTCTATGTCATCAAACTCTTTTTGAGAATCAAAAGGTTTGAGTCTTGTAACAAATAGAGGAGCAATTTGACTTGGGGTTACTGATTTCATGTCAGCTAGACCATTTGCAATTTGCGACTTCATTTGTTTTCTTGCCTTCCTCCTAGCTATAAGACTCTGTAACCTTTTGTGTCTCTCCAACTCACATGGCCCAAGATCCATTTCATTTTTCAGATCATCTTCTTTCAATTCTACACTTTTATCACCATCCTCTTTAGTTTGTTTTAGATCCACTTTGTTTTCTGTCTTTTTCTCTAATCCATCACCTTGACTCATCAAATCTAGCTTAAAAGGCTCAAACAATAATGTTTGCTTTGTTGGAGCCTCAAGTGAATGAATACTTATATCTTCCTTATAAAGTTTAATCCTTCCAAAATCTCTGTTACTTGTGGTAAATTCATTATGAAACACTGATGATAAATCTTTGGCTTTCATTTCCAAACCACCGTATACCTCCAATTTTTTCCCAGTGAAATTTCTTCTTCTACTCGTTGCATTATGTGATGGACACTTATAAAGCAATCCACGTCTCTCATTCTTGAGCACCTTTGGGGGAGATTTTATTTCAACCCTTTTCTCCTTTCCTTTTTTCTCTTTCTCTTCATGTTGGTTTTGCTCAGAACTCCAAAATATTCTTATAAAAATGGCAATGCACACAAAAAATGGGGACAAGAAGACCAACAAATTGTAGATATAAGAGAGAAATATATACAATATGAAAAATACCAACGAAGCACCCGAAACAAATGGATGCTTTCTCATAAAACTGTAACTAATCTCAGTTGAAACATGAAGCACTTTTGACAAACGAAATTGAATGTCCCTTACATTCAAACCCATTTTCGTTTCCTTCAACATTAAAGAAAAATGTGATCTTTTGCCATGGGAGAGGATAAAAAAATTGTAAATGTAACTTATGTTCTAGTTAGATAACAGAGTAGGAGAATATCAATGATGAGAAATGAAAATATTGATATAATTTTTTGTTTCGGTGCATAAAAATCATTCTGAAAATTGAAAAACTAAAAAAAGAATAACCAATAAAAAATAGGTAAAGTAATTCATAATTTACGCTTAACAATCAAAAGTTTTTTCTATCTTCTTCCCAACAAATAATTGGCCATTGAAACTATAACAATTTATTTTTTCCTTTTTAAGAAGCTTTTCCATTGGTTGAGAATCTTAGAGAACCCTCCAATTTAGGACTTAAACTCTGTGCTTCTTATTCCTTCAGAGTCATATAGTACAAAAACTTAGGCCCTTGGAACAACAATATTTTTATAATTCGAAGACAACAAAAAGTATTTTAGAAAATTACAAATAAAATACCAAATTTAATTTTCAAGTGCGTATATTTTTTTATTCTTCCGTTGATTTTATTTGTGTTTTTCTTTAGACTCAATATTTTTACAAATAATAGGCAAAGAAAATTTTAGGCTTAGATTTTTATTTTTATTTATTTTATAAATGTTCTGATTACATTTAGTATCTATTTCTGGTGGAATTTCGATCGATTTCGATTCTAAGGGTGTTTTGATCCTAATCAAAATTCTACCACGTAAGTTCTTTTTGCTTAGGCTAGCAATTTGATTTTCAATCGAAAACGTGTATGAGAATCGAAAATCATAAGATATCGAAAAAGTTGTTTTTGATATTTTGTATTTAAAGTATTGAAAGCACTAAAACTATCGAATCGAAAACAGAATGTTAATTTGCGAAGCAATATAAAGTGCGAAAACCCCAAATTTGCATTAATTGTAAATAACAAGAAATCGAGATTGCAAGAAAGGTAAATGACAAAGAATCGAAAACAGAGCAATTACAAATAACATGAAATCGAGATTTGCAGAATATTAAATAACATGGAAACTTAAATGCATAAACTTAAATTTTCATTGAATTGAAATGGACAAGGAATCGAAAATACAGAAACATAAAACTGCTGAATTTAAGTTGCATCAAAATAAATTACCAAGGAAAATACAGAAAGCGGTAAATGTACTCAGTGAGCAAGGAAATCCAGATTGCCAGAAGCTTCATGGTGTTCGTCGTTTCTCCGGTAGACTTTTCACTACTCGATTCCGTTCTCCGCCAATTTCGCCCCCATGTTCCTTCCTCCTCTCGCACTATTTATAGGGCATCATTCAAGCCTTCCAGGAGCGAGTTAACAAAACTGCTACCACGTTCTTCGTGCGCGTTGCGGTTTCTTCTTCCGTGGTGTCAAAGCTGTATCCACGTTCCCATGATTTTTAACTTCGCCACGATTTAGAAACTGTTTCCTATATGCGTGTTTAACTCCTCTTGGTCACGATTTTGATTTTATGTGGGTTAACCTCTTTTTCGATTTAGACTTCGATTTTATCGAGAACTTTGGATTTACTTTTGATCCCTTTTTTACCTTAGCATCATATACTTCTAATTTCTTGATTTGTTCCACAATAAACTTTTGACTATTGTTTCTCCAATTCTCGATTGTACTTCCTGATGTTGTGTTACGTGCTTTAGACATCGAATGGTTTTTTATCAGTCACGTGTTCTCTCTTTTCTTTCCTTCATTTTCGATCGCTTTTCTCGATTTTCTACTAACAAAATGCCCCCTTGGAAGAATATAAATGATTTCTGTTTTATATTCTTTCAATATTCCCGCCTTAGTGTTTGAAAGCCCACAGGATTTAGGGTTTAGGGTTTCTGGGGTTCTAGGGTTAAAAAGGGGTTTTAGGTTTCTTTTCCACTTTACGTCGCCGTCTCGTCAGTCTGTTGCCTTTCAGTACAAGTTACATTAATTACCTTTCCCTTCCGTCGCTTCCAACTCCCTAGACGATTTCCCTTTAACCTTTCCTTGGTCTTTACTCTGGTCTTTACGCGAACTATCACCCTCTTTGCAATCTCATCTTCTCCTTTGAGCTCCTGCCTTCGTCCCTGTTACCTCATCCGTTAACTCTTCCCTTTCTGTTTTCCTAAGCTCACTACAATGGAGTTGCCAAACCTTTAACACACCCTAAATGGGTTCGAGAACTAAGAACTTCGAAAGAAACATTACGTCCCAAACCCAAAAACAAAGACATTATTGTATCGAGACTATTTTATTTCCCTTACCTTAACCTCCCTGAGGCTCTCCTGCCTCCTTGGCTAGTACATATCGATCGAGTCAAAATTTTGACTCCATCACCTTTTGGTGAGGTTTTATTGTTTTTTCTTAATTTTCAATTCTGTGTTTTGGAAACTGACTATCTTCATTCCTCGACAGTTTCAAAATCTACTAAGGTGGTCGCCTTCGAGAAGGCGCAAGAGAAAGAAAAAGAAGCAAGCTGGGAGTCCCCAGATGAGTCGGACCCTCTGGCCTTTACTAGGAAGCGAAAACAATCGGCCATCACCACCACTTCGTCTTCGAAAAAATCGAAGGTACTTTTTGATCTCTTTTTGTCTCATTCATTTTTCTGTTTATAACATGTTTCCTTATGGATTCTCATATCTCTTTTCGATTTCTACCCTACAGAAAAAATCGAAGAGTCCACGACCAGTCCAACCATCCACAGCAGATCCATTATCAATGGATTCGAACACCGTTCCTTCCACGGGTCAAACAACACCCGTCACCCATTCTAGTCACGTGAGTTTCCTTTTTTATATAACCTCCATGTCTTAGATTTTGATAAGACTTGTATCATGACTCACATTTTCGATGAATTTTTTAGGATAATCCATCGGCGACTATATCGACAACTGTCGAAACTCAGCTTCAGCCTTCAACACCGATCCCTGAGGTATAGTTCTTTTTTACTTGTGTATGTGTCTCTTTGTATGTCTATATATTTCCTTCTCTAATCAAGCGTTTCGATTTACAGCAAGCTGAGACTGTACAGACTCTCCCACCTATCTCAATGCCGCTTGCTCTTCCTCCACCTGGTATTTTCCCTTTATGCTTTCATCATTGGATTCTTCATTTCATCCTTTATTTAACTCTCTGACTTATCTTTTCAACTTGTTTTCTTTTTTAGTAATTATTCCCACGGTTCAAATCCCAGACTCCCCATCTCCCACTACCACAGAACAAATGGGTTCTCACCTATTTTCGATGCCAATGGTCGAGCTAATCTCGCCAACTTTGCCTATGCTGACCGGGCCCACTTCAAGCGGCGTGCCAGAATATCGAGATGCTATCGAGGAAGATCCATTCGCGATCCTCGATATTCGGTATCGAGCGGCGCCACTTCTTCCAGCCAGTCTTCTCAACCACCCGCCCTCGATCGAAGGAGCTTATCGGCTCAAGCATCGCTTCCAGACCTTCTTCTACTCTTCACCTCTGGAGGTCCTAGTGGAGTCTTTTGAACGGAAACGACTTTTCAAGGAGATCTTGACCTCCATCGAGTCTTTCCCCGAAGGAATGCTTCCCAAGGGCTTCGATGCAGAGATTGCAGCAGCCACAGATCTGTTCAACCAGGCTTATGCTGCAAGGAAGAAGAGACAATCCATAACGTCTAAAGTAGCTGAAGTCTCTGCGTTCCAGGCTAAGAAGTCTGATTTGTTGAAGACTCAGAAGCTTAGTCGAGGAGAAGTTTTGGGTGCGTTGTCTTCGGTTGAAGTCGAAATCGAGGCGTTGAAGAAGAGATTGCAACAACTGGATTCGCAGAACGTCAGAGTTAGATAAGATTAACTCTTCTGCGAAAGAGGTGGCGCTATCCTTAGGTCAAAGCATGGAGCAAAGACATAAGTTGGCCATTGAAGAAGCATCGATTTCATCATCCTGGGCCCAATTGTTAATAGATTTTGAGAATCTAAAGACTCAATATTTGTAAACATTATTCTTTTAATTAATGTTAAATATTTATTTCTTTTATTCGAGGTTTATATATCTTTAAGTACTTTCCATTTATCGATAACACTTTATCTTTATTATACCAATCAATAATCGAATAAGCGTTACTCGATAAAATTTTAACAACCTCGAAAGGACCTTCCCAATTTGGTGACCACTTCCCATAGCTTTTACATTTCTTGTCCATTGGTAAAATTGTTTTCCACACTAAGTCACCTTCGTTAAATTTTTTCTTTCGAACTCTTTTATTATAAACTCGAGCAATTTGATTCTTCTGCAACATCATACTATTCAACGCCTGCACTCTTCATCGAGTTCGTTTAATTCATCATACATCAAACTCCAATAATCACAACTGGGTAAATCATTCTGCCTCTGTATTCGATTCGATTCAATATTTATTTCGATAGGTAAGACTGCGTCGTGTCCATATACCAACTTGTATGGGGTATTTTGTAAGGAATCTTTAGGTGAATTTTGATAAGCCCATAAAATTTGTAATAACGTTTCATGCCATGTTTTTGGTTTATTACCAACATGTTTTTTGATTAGCCCAATGATCACTTTGTTAATTGCTTCGACTTGCCCATTGGCCTGAGCGTAATATGGGGTTGACGTTAATAATTGAATATTTCTCGATTCAGCGTATTTAATTATCTTTCTACCAGTAAACACTGTCCCTCTATCTGTAGTGATAGACTGTGGGATCCCAAATCGATAAACGATGTATTCTTCAATAAAATCAATTACATCCTGCTGATCAACATCCTTCAGTGGTATTGCTTCTACCCATTTTGAAAAGTAATCGACAACAACAATTATATACCTATGTCCTTTCGATGATTGTGGAAAGATTTGTCCGATTAAGTCTATAACCCAGCCTCTAAAAGGCCATGGTTTAATGATCGAGTGTAATTCGCTCGCGGGCACCTGTTGTATCGGACTGAACTTTTGACATTCTTCACAGGACTTGGCATATTTGATACAATCTTTTAAAATCGAGGGCCAGTAATAACCTTATCGA